CTTCTTCTTCTAACTGATAACAACCACATTTTGGAACCGGTCAGCAATCCTGTTGCACGGTGCCATCGTGTGATGCATTGCACTGAATTGGAGCTTTTTTTTCCAGTAGCAAACAACTCGGCTTCAGAGGGTACAAGGCTCTCTACCACTACCACCCTGCCACCCCTTTCAGGGACCTGGCTGTAACTGGGAGGAGCTTTTCCACCCTTGTATGGAGCTTGAAGTGGCTGGGCTTAAACCAGTCACAAAAGTACCTAGTGACTAGTAGTGGGAAAGCACCAACAATAGTTTTGCAACTACTCCAAGGTATTTGGAGCTGCTTGTATTCAGCTGCCTGCAGTACAGCTGTGGGGATGAGCGCCCAAGAGCAAGTTGTTGAGGAGAATAAGGGAAGGCTCATAGCTCTGTCAGAGAGCATGTGCATATACATACAGAAGGTCCCAGATTCAATGTTCCCCAGATTACGAGCCCACTGTTCTTAACCACTACACCACACTGGCTCCCACTGGAATTCTCAAGCTGTATGGGCCCAGTGAAATAGATGCTATGCTAAATCTCCCGTATGTTTTACACAGATTTCAGCCTCCCACCCCCACCCACTTCATTTGTAACTCCTTGGGCCAGCTGAAAACTTTTTAAAAGGAGAAAAAGGGGAAGTTGGATTTGTCTGGGAAGCATCCACATGGGAGTCAGCGTCCCAGTTTCGCAATCAGAGTTCCGCTTGCTAACCGTCTGTCAGTCTGCATGTCATGTAATTCAATCCAATCCAGGCTACAAAGCATTGTTATTCATAATCATTGCCAGCTCTGCTGGCGAGCAAAGGGAGGGAGGGCTAAGAAAAAGTGTGTGTTTGTGTGTGCGTACATGTGTTGGAGTTCAGCTTCCTGCCTCCCTGCACCTCTTCAGGGGGTATAGGCCTTTGCAGGAGCTCTTCCTCTCTCCAAGCATTAGATGCAGAGGCGTAGCTAGTCACTCGGGTGCCTGGTGTGGCCCACACATCCTGCAGCCGGGGACGGGGTGAGATGTCCATGGGCGTGGGGCGAGCCAAGTCAGGGCGTGCTGCGTGGAGCCTATCTGCAGCCTCCCCCTCAGCTGTAGGGCAGACATAAGCAGCACGGAGCTTGCAGGCAGTCCGCTCACCACCTCCCCCTCAGGAGACACGTGTGGCTCAGGCACGCTGCAGGCCCCGCGGTGTGGCACCCAGTGCCTCCCACCTCACCTAGCTGCCAGTGGCATAGGAAGTGGGTGCAGGAGTTATTATTAATATTATTATTATTATTATAAGTGTTGTGAGCTCAATTTTTTTATTTTAATTTTAAAAACACATATTTTTGCCATTTTGTCACCCCCTCCATGATGACAACAGGGGCACCCGCACCCCCCCTTCCTACGTCACTGATTAGATGTAGGTTTTGTTGCATGTCTCCCCAATCTCCAGTAGGTGTTAGATTCCAGGCGCTTACCCAGGCTTTGTGTTTCCATTGAGAAATGAGACACAGCAGAGACGGTGGTGTCTTTGCGATATATGATTTACACATATATGCAACCTGAGCCTGTGATGGAGGGTTTCACAGCATCAACGCCCCAGAAGGGTCTTGTTTCTCCTGTAGCCACAGCCTTGGATTCAAACAGAACTCAAACATCTCTCCAGCTTGGTGCTTTTATCTCCAGCTTGCTGCATGTTTTCCTGTTGCATTCTTCTTACGCTTGGGAAATAAGTATGCAGTTAAAGTCTCCACCACCATGAACCCAGAGTAATGAGACACGGAGGAGGGAGCCCGCTCTATCTCTGCATGCCTCTAGATTAAGTGGGATGGCATGTAAAACGCATGCCTCTTCTGGGCCTCCTTCCTTCTAGATCAGAAGACACACCCAGCTCAGTGACTCATGATGAAGAGCAGAATAGCCTCTTTTGACAGTAGGCAATTTGGGGCAGGATTCAACCACCAAGTCCCATCCACCAGTGGAAGGTGTGAAAATGGTTCCCTAGCAAGTAAAATAGCTTATGTTACCACGTTGTTTGGTACTGAATCATCTACAATGTGGTAAGGTAAACACGGACACTTAAATGATTTCCCTTGAAAATTGCAGCATACGTGCAAAAGGCAGTTTTCAAATATTGGCAGATTGGATGGTTTTAATTAAAACAAATACCAAAAACCATTGCTGAACAACTTTCTTTAAAAAGAAAGCTGACTTTGAATTCATAGAACAAAACACACATTTTAATCCAGCAGCTATTGTTTCTTATTCATGCAGACATGGTCAGATTAATGATTAAAACGTTGTCCTGAAGTTCTGCAACTATGTGTATATATATTGTTGTGCACGTCCCAGTCTCCAAGTAGTAAGAGAATCCAGAAGTTCCAGCTCTTAACCAGGGCTCTGTTTTCCTTGGTCAGAGGAGACTGCACTAAAACGAATGGAGGCTTTAAAACTTGCATGTGTCTTTGATACTTTTCCAAACTTGATCCTGCACAGGTTGCCCCCTGTTCTGGGCAGTCCACATCACTGCAAGGGACCAGCCAGGAATTATTCATCAGCTGCAACAATCATCTGCTGAAATCGTGTTGCCGTTTCAAGGCAGGAAGCAAAGACTTGCCCTGTACTACCACTTTTGTGCTACCGTTCAAAGCTGAGGGGTGGGGGCATTAGATAATTGTTTCAGTCTCAAATGCAACTAATTAATAGGCTACACAGCGCCTTCTGAGCACACGCAATTACAGTGTACAGTGGTACCTTGGGTTACAGATGCTTCAGGTTACAGATGCTTCAGGTTACAGACTCCGCTAACCCAGAAATAGTACCTCAGGTTAAGAACTTTGCTTCAGGATGAGAACAGAAATTGTGCGGTGGCGGCGCAGCGGCAGCAGGAGGCCCCATTAGCTAAAGTGGTACCTCAGGTTAAGAACTGTTGCAGGTTAAGAACGGACCTCCGGAACGAATTAAGTTCTTAAGCCGAGGTACCACTGTTTAGCACAGTGTCTCTTTCACCTGTGTAGTAAAAAAAAGTTTCTGAGAAGCTCCACAGTAGAATCTTGTTGACATTCGTCTCATACTTTGAAATGTGTTTTTCTGGAATTTCATGCCAGCTTATTTAGAATCATTGACCCATAGAACTGTAGAGTTGGAAATGACCCCAAGGGTCATCTAGTCCAACCCCCTGCAATGCAAAAATATTCACTAAAGCACCTATGACTGATGGCCATCCAACCTCTGCTTAAAAACCTCCAAGGAAGGAGAGTCCACTACCTTCTGAGGGAGTCTGTTCTGCTGTTGAATAGCTCTTTCCATCAGGTGGTTTGTTTTTTTATACTTAGTCAGAATCTCCTTTTTTGTAACTTGAAGCCACTGGTTTGGGTCCTAGCCTCCAGAGCAGGAGAAAACAAGCTTGCTAAAAGAAAGCGCTTCAATTTTTAAAAAGTGCACTCCCAGAAAGTCTAGTGAAATGAGTTTTCCCATCTTCAGTTTGCTACCACCTTCCCCTTTGGGCAATAGGCTCGTCTAAAAAACTACCGAAACGCATACTTTTCAGAAATCCATGCGAATACTTCATGTGGTCACAATTATTCTGTATTGGAAACGTCCCTCGCAGAGACCCTTGAGCAACAGACGGGCTCAATTTGGCACCGCGGCCGTGAGTGACATGTTGATAGTGCAAGCTGTCAATTTATAATGCGACAGTATTTCCTTCCTCCCCAGGAATGTTAGGGGGATACACCGGAAAACGTTTGAAGTCGCAAAGGACTTAAAACGATATCGCATCATCTCAGACAGCAACAATAAAGCTTAATCTTATTTTACAACAGAAAGTTTGCAAAAAGTTTGGCTCCAGTCAGGCTCTCCGGAGCGGCAGCTTCTCTGCTCCACTAAAACATGACCTGCGGATGCTCCCTCTTCAACATGCTCTGCCAACAGCTATGATTACTCACAGCTACCCCATTAAGCACATTCTCTGACACTCTGAGGCTGCCTAGCTCCGTCAAGGTGATCTCTAAGTGGCACGCCACCAACAGCCCCTGATAACTAGAAGCTCAACCTCCCTTTGCTGCTTAAGAGACCAGTCCAATGTACATTAACCTCTTGCTTTGGGTTTGTGTCCTTTCTTATGCCCTCCCTGTGTATAATTTTGGCACCAAAGGACATGCAACTCATCATTATTTTAGTGAACCTATCTGTTCTGTAATTGTAGGGGGCTGGGCTAGATGACCCTTGCGGTCCCAACTCTGCAATTCTATGGAAGGGTTCTGCAAAGATTGGTACTCATCAGTGTGGCTCAGCAGTTTGCACAGTGGATTTGTCTTTAGGCAACTTGGAGACCAGTGTCCACTCAGCTGCAGGCTCACTGGCCGGGGTCTCCTTCTCCTAGGCTCAGTTCCCTTTTTGTAAAATGCGAATAATGACTTATTTCTAAGAAGACATATGGGAGAAGGATTATATTGGCAGCTCCTTTGCACTCTGATTGATTTTACAGCCCTATTGATATGTGTGCACATTTTTGTTCAGGGCTGAGACAGAACCTAGGAAGCTGACTTATACGGAGCCAAACCACTGGTCCATGTCCTTCACTAGGGTCTACACTGGCTGGCAGGAGATGCCAGGGACTGAACCTAGGGCATTCTGCATGCCAACCATGTGATCCACTACTGAACCACAGCCCAAGCTCAAGCAAGTAGAGCACACAAGGATATTCCATGGAATTCAGCTTCAAGAGAAGCTCAGAGTACAACTAAATGTACAGGCTTTAAGTCAGTGGTTCCCAATTTTTTTGGGGGGGGGGCACTGCCTTCTTGGTTCCATAAACATTCCCCAGGGCATGGGTGTAGCCAGGATTTTTCTTACAAAGGTCAGAACCTCAGATTTGTATTGATTTAAATTGATTTAGGGGGTGGCAGCAGCCTCCCTTGGCCATGCTCCAGGGCCTCCTACTCTATAGGAAGCATTATTCAAAATGGCAGCTTGCACAACTACTAAGGAAAATAACACCACAGTAAAATCCATTCAGAAAACAGAAATGGCACATTTATTCAAACTCCAGTTCAAACTATGTAGTTTAATTAATTCCAACTAAACTGATGAGCTTGATCCACCGATATGAGCTTTCCAAAGTCCGACAGTCATTTATATATCACATGTGCCAAATTGGATAAGCATCCCTACAGAGTCCTCATCCCCATATATCAGATGGGAAACAGAGGTTATGAGACAGGACATGGCTGAAGAGGTATTTGAACTGAGGACAATCTCTGCAGTGCAAGCAAATGCTAGGAGATGCAGTGGGATGGACTAGGAGACTTGGAACATGGACAAGGCACTTGCAAGAGCAGCAACAGGTTTGGCGTCAGCAGAGCGGTGGGGGCAGGGAGTAGGAGACTTGTAGTAAAATTAACAAGCCCCACCAATTCACTCCCCACTCTCATTTTAGCTAAGCTAGCTTCCCCCATAGCCTTATGAAAACAGTAACTTATGCAGCAGCAAAGCTGAGGTCCTATGTGCTCTCCCATCTTTGAGCACGATGCAGGAATGGGGCTGAGGTGTGTGTTGTGGGGATATGTCAGTGATTAGAGAAAGAGCTGGCAGAGGATTTGGGAAGCTGTGCAGAGAATCGCAGGGCTTTCAGACACCCAATGATGGCCGAGATGGCAAGCATTTCCAATGAAGCTGTAACTTTATCAGAAACAACACTTTGTCTCAGAGGAGCAAGTATCTGAGCAACGCCTTTGCAGGAATAGAACAATTGTGTTTCCTTTATTTATGAATTGCAACCTTTTCAAAAGTATCCCCCTCTGGATAACCAAAAGTCTTTCCAGGTCACCCACTCCTTTTTTTTATTAAGCCCCACAAGCAACCGTGCCAGTTCTGGGCATGATAAACAGCTGAGATGTTTTTGCAAAGCAAAAAGAAAGAAAAAAGTCAAGTTGTCTAAGTTGTCTATATCTTACTCCAAAGGCAAGGAAAGTCAGGTTGCCAGTCGAGTAACTGCTGTCTCCTGACAGTCCCCTCCACCAGGCTTTGCTGAAGTGTCCTGACAAAGCAGAGGCACCAACTGCTCGCTGCCGCCCTTCCCTTCGGACTGGACTGGCATTCGCATCCCTCGCGGTCTGGGGCAGCGGCAGCCGCAGCGTCGCTGGCCAGTTTGTCTCCAGTCACGAAAGCAGCAGCCTTTCCAAGGCAGCCAAAGGTGCCTGGCAGAGTTCAGTAGCTCTCACACTCCGCTCCCCTCCCGCTTCTCCGGCTCCTGCTGCGAGGATCAGGCTGTCTTTGGCAGGAGGAAGACCTTGGAAAGTTGCACACATTCCTGGTGCGAGGGATCAATCTGCTGCTTCCATTCTCTCTCTCGGAGGAAAGCACGGAATGGCTGCGCACGGGGGACTCTGGGACCACCGCGAGGGGAGGAGGGAAGCTCAGCCCCCTTCCCAGACGGCTATAAAGCCGCGACGGGCATCCTGCGAACTCCTCAGAGCAGAGCCAGGAGGCATCTGGCAGAGGGAGGGGGCAGTTCACCGACGGGACGAAGCGTCTGGGGCGATAAAGTCCCCACCCGACGAGCTCGGTCGGGGCTGAGGCGGAGGAAGGGTCCCCCGACGGCTTCCCGCATCTCTCCACAAGGAAACCGGTTTCTTAGGAGTCCCGCGGGCGTGCGCCCCCCATGGCGGAAGGCGGGAGCCACGACGGGGCGCCCGGCGCGCTCCTCAAGAGCGCCGTCCAGCCGGCACTGCTGCTTTCTTGCGTCCTGCTGCTGTACCTGTGGGCGAGGAGGATCCCACGGCCGGCGGGCAAGAGCCTCCCCGGCCCCGTCGGGTGGCCGCTGCTGGGCAACGTGCTGCAACTGGGCCGCCTGCCGCACCTCACCTTCGGCGAGCTGGCGCGGCGCTACGGCGACATCTTCCAGCTGCGCCTGGGCCGGCGCGCCATCGTGGTGCTCAACGGGGAGGCGGCCATCCGACAGGCGCTGGTGCAGCAGGCCGTGCCCTTCGCGGACCGGCCCGACTTCCTCTCCTTCGGCCTGGTGTCCGGAGGCAAGAGCATGGCCTTCGGGCGCTACAGCGAGCGCTGGCGGGCGCAGCGGCGGGTGGCGCACGCCACGCTGCGCGCCTTCTCGACGGCCAACACGCCCAGCAAGCAGCTCTTCGAGCAGCACGTGGCGGCCGAGGCGCAGGAGCTGATCGACGGCCTGCTGCAGCTGAGCCAGGGCGGCGCTTACGTCGACCCTTCGCCGCTCTTCGTCGTGGCCAATGCCAACGTGCTGTGCGCCCTCTGCTTCGGGCACCGCTACAGCCACGCCGACGGCGAGTTTCGCGCGCTGCTGAGCAGGAACCACCGCTTCGGGCAGACGGTGGCGGCGGGCAGCTTGGTGGACGTGCTGCCCTGGCTGCAGGCCTTTCCCAACCCGGTGCGCAGCGTCTTCCGAGACTTCCAGGCGGTCAGCCGCGAGCTGTACGACTTCGTGTGCGCCAAGGTAGCGCAGCACCGCAGCACCTTCCAGGCCGGCGCCCCTCCGCGCCACATCAGCGACGCCATCCTGGAGTGCATGGAGCACGGCCCCGGGGCGCAGCAGGGCCTGGGCGGAGACTACGTCGAGGCCACGCTGGCTGACTTGTTCGGCGCAGGTCAGGACACCACCTCCACCGCCCTCACGTGGGTGCTGCTGCTCCTCCTCAAGCACCCGCACCTTCGACGGCAGCTGCAGGCGGACCTCGACCGGGTGGTGGGCCGCTCCCGGCTTCCGACGGGGGACGACCGCGCCTCCTTGCCTCGCCTGGAAGCCTTCCTCCACGAGACGCTCCGCTACAGCAGCTTCGTGCCCGTCACCATCCCGCACGCCACGGCCGCCGACGTGCTGCTCGACGGCTTCCACATCCCCGCGGGCACGGTGGTCTTCGTCAACCAGTGGTCCGTCAACCACGACCCGCTGCGCTGGAAGGACCCGCACGTCTTCGACCCGACGCGCTTCCTGGACGCCCGGCAGGAGAACGTCGACCGGGACCTCACGTGCCGGGTCATGATCTTCTCGACGGGCAAGAGGCGCTGCATCGGCGACCAGCTGGCCAAGCTGCAGCTCTTCCTCTTCACCGCCATCCTGCTGCAGCAGTGCGAGGTGGAAGCCAACCCGGCCGAGGAGCTCACCTTGGACTACGTCTACGGGCTGGTGCTCAAGCCCTTGCCTTACACGGTGTCCGTTTCCCCGCGAAGCGCTCTCCCTAGCGGAGAGGAGGAGGGAGGGAACCTCGGAGGGACCGTCGAGGGCGCCTCTTAGCAATGGCGCTTCCCTCCCCACCAGCAAGTTCTCCATAGCCCCTGCTGGCTTTTCAGAGCTGCCCTCTGCCAGAGGAAGTTGATGTTCCCCCCACCAGCCCCTCCCCCTATCTTTCAGAAGCTCATGGCTTCAGACGGTGCCTTTCATACAGGGATGGGGAACCTGCCGCCCTCCCAGATGATGGTGGCTTGGCCTGAAGCTCCCATCCGCCACAGCTAGGATGGCCAGTGGTCAGCCAGGATGGGAGTTCTAGTCCAGCAACATCTGGAGAGAGCCAAAGGTTCCTCATCCAGCTTAAACCTGCTGGGGGGGGGGGGTTCTGAGCCTGCTCAGCTCACCTGGGTGACCCATCCAGAGTCCTCCAATCAAACATCTTAAATTTGAGATACATTGAGACTATTGTGACTGGGGGGGGGGGGAGAAACACGTTATTGTGGTGGTGTGGGAAATTGGCATCAGTTACTTCCTTTGGGACTGTGAACTTTTGTAATAAATGCCTCTTTGAAGCAGGCACCCATGCAGACAGAAAAGGTCTCCTAGATTCTCCCAGCTCCCCCCTCCCCCAAAAAATTGTGTCAAGAAGTTTGTCACTTAACTGTACTGTTGATCAAAAAAAGGAGGTAAGGTTGTGTTACGTGGAAAGCATTTTTATAGGAAGCATTTACTTGGAAATAATGTGTAGTCAGTGTGAAGAGTATCACAGCGACAATGCCTTTAACTGCAGATCCTTCAGCTAGGAAATGACACATAGGGGTGGCCCAGCACTTAGTTATTATGTATACATGTGGACAGTTGTCACCTGGGACAATCCCCATGCAGTTTTGTGTCCCTCCCACACTTGTCATATTTGAAGCAGAACAAGAAGAGTGATACTTCCTACCTGTGGCAGCCAGGAGCAAGTAATCTGTGCTCTGACTTCGCTAAAAATTAACCCTGTGGCTCCATCCCATCTCATAGGGCGAGTCATATATAGAGTTATCTTTCATTAAAAAAAAAAAAGACATGGGGGAAACCTTTGGTTGGTTAGTGGTGCTAAATATGGGCCAAATTATTCCTGTAGCAACCTCTCCCACTGCCACTAAAGTAGGTACAGGGAATCTGTAGCCCTCCAGATGTTGATTAACTACAATTCCCATACTCCCTGAATATTAGCCATGCTGGCTGCAAACAACACCTGGAGGGCCACAGTGCCCCATCAAAGGAAAAGCAGTTTCAGCAAAGCAGCAGCAGTGGAGGGGACCACAACCCTTTTCTATTCCACTGGCTTTCTGCTGAAATTCCACCACACTCTCGGGTTGAGATACATGCCTGTGACAGTTATGGTTGGAACACTGCCAGCTGTGGGAGGGAGCCACACAGAACATAAGAATAGCCAATGGCAAAATCAAGCTCAGCATCCTGTTCTCACAGTTGGCCAGCCAGATGCCTGTGGGAAACTTGCAAGCACGACTCCACGCACCAGAACACTCTCCCCTCCTGTGGTTCCAGCAGTTGGTGTTCAGAAACATTACTGCCTCCAACTTCGGAGGACGAGCACAGCCATCATGCTAGCAGCCGCTGGAAAAATGGCAGGCAGGGGAAGGGTTAAGCAACTCTGATGCTTCTCTCAAAACTTGCTTTTTCTTAGAAGCACCTGGCAGCAGAAGCTTGCCACTTGTAGACCTAGTGCTGCTCTGTTCTTGACCAAGCCTCTTCAGTATCCATTAGTGGATTACTCAAGTTGCAGCACAGATGTGGCACGTCTTGGCAGCTTTGTCACTTCCAGTTTGCGCAGAAATGAAAGTGAAAATCTCCTTGTATAGTGTGCACACTCAGCCAGCTTGCCCCCTCCTAGCCCGGGAACAGGAAGTACTTTGGCTGCATTTTTCTGCATTGAGTTGCGGGACAAGCTGTTCTTTTTCTGTTATCTATCAGTGGTTCCTACCTTGAAATTCAACTCGGAACCTACCAACTGTTTTTAATAAACGTTACCAGATGATTGATTAGAAATAGCATCTAGACCATTACGCTTTAACATGATATGAAATCAAGACACTTAAATTTCCTCATTTGCCAGTTCTACTCTTAACAGCATTTCCCCTGTACTCCATTGGGGATTGCATTCTTGCTGTGTGCCAGACCTCATAATGGAGAGCCTCTTCCGTCTGTCTCCCACCTTCTTCCCATTTCCTTCCTCTTTGCCACTCACATGAAATTGGACCAGGGCCACAGATTGTCCACACACACACCCCGGCACCTTCCAGGTTTTCCCACCCCCAAAAACTGGTCATGTGGCTGCAGCTATGGTGGACAAAATACTCAGTCCTCAATGCCAGTTACTGTAGAGTTGTTCTACTGCCAGCATTGGAGCTGCTCTGGAGGAAGGAGTTGGAGATGCAGACTGTTTTGAGCCTGCTTGGCTTTCTTTCTTTTTTTATAATAATTTTTTATTCATTTTCCAAACATTTTTATACAATCAACTCATATTAACTCTCACATTCATCAATTTTTGACTTCCCTCAGTTTCTCTGCAAATCTTTCGTTAAAATTTCAATTGTTAACGCATTTCTGAACTTATTATTGCCTTTAACCGTTCCTCTTCCTTTCTCCTACTTTCTTTTTTACAATATTTCTTAATTTTTCACAGAGACTCTTCAAAACCAACAAGCGTTGTCTGTGCATCACATATGCTTTTCAGATAATCTGTAAATTTCCCCCAGTCCTCGATAAACTTTTGGTCTTTCTGATATCGAATCTTCCCAGTCAATTTATCCAGTTCCGCATATTCAGTCAGTTTCATTCTCCATTCTTCCACAGTTGGAATTTCTTCCTGCTTCCATCTTTGCGCCAGAAGTATTCTTGCAGCTGTTACAGCGTATTGGAAAAGTTTACAATCTTTTCTATTAATTTCATTACCTACCAATCCTAGTAAGAAGGCTTCTGGTTTTCTAACAAATGTATATCTCAACATCTTTTTCAATTCCTTATATATCATTTCCCAGAAGCCTTTCACCTTTTGCATTCCCACCACATATGATAGAAAGTTCCTTCTTTTTCTTTACATTTCCAACACTTGTTACATGTTTTATACATTTTAGCTAATTTAACTGTCGTTATGTACCATCTATATACCATTTTCATTACATTTTCCTTCAATTTACACGCCGTAAATTTTAACCTTTCATTCTATAATTTCGTCCAATCATCATATTGTATATTATGACCAAAGTCTCTAGCCCAATGTATCATTACTGATTTCACCTCTTCATCTTTTGTATGCCATTCCAACAACATTCTATACATTTTAGACAAATTTTTATACTCATTATTCAATACCTCTATTTGAAATTTTGATTCTTTTCCTTCATATCCACACATTTTACAGTCTTTTTCTAAACATTTCACTAATCTGGTAGTAGTGCAACCAATCATAAACAAATTCTTTCACCTCTTCATAAGTCTTCATTTTCCATTTCGCGCCCTCTCTTACTATCAGTTCTCCATAAGTTATCCACCTCCCCTCATGTTTATCTTTTTCACACTCATCACTTCCAATGGTGAAAGCCAATGGGGAGTCTTGGTTCCAACAAATTTTTATACCTCTCCCACACATCTATCAATGATCTTCGGAAGATGTGGTTTTCAAAGCCTTTATGAATTTTTTTCTTTTCATACCACAGATATGCATGCCACCCGAATCTATTATCAAATCCTTCTAAATCTAACAACTCTCCATTCACTAATTTAATCCATTCCTTTAACCAACAGAGGCATGATGCTTCATAATATAGTTTCAAGTCTGGCAGGCGAAGCCACCTCTTTCTCTCACATCTGTTAATAACTTAAACTGAATCCTTGGCTTCTTGCCCTGCCAGATGTATCTTGAAACTATTTTTTGCCATTCTTTGAAAATTGATGCCCCTTTAATTATCGGAAGTGATTGGAATAGAAATAACATCCTTGGCAGCACACTCATCTTTATCTTAGATATCCTTCCCCAAAAAGATAGCTTCAATCTTCCCCACACCTCCAGATCCCTTTTTATCCCATTCCAAACAGGTACATAATTATTTTGAAACAAATCGATATTCTTGGGGGTTAACCATACTCCTAAATATTTCACTTTGTTCACCACTTCCAGCCCTGTACTTTGTTGCATTTCCTCTATTAATTCTTGGTCCATATTTTTCACAATAATTTTTGTCTTTCTTTTGTTTAAATAAAAACCTGCAACTTGACCAAATTGTTCTATTTCTTCTAGGATTCTTTTAACACTTCCCGCTGGCTCTTCTACCATCATTACAAGATCGTCCGCAAATGCTTTGACTTTATACTCATTTTTCCCTACAGACACCCCTTTTATTTCTTCATTTTTTCTTATTGATTTTAGCAAAACCTCCAGCACCAAGATGAATAAGAACGGTGATAATGGGCATCCTTGTCTTGTACCCTTTGTTGTTTTTAGAGCCTGCTTGGCTTTCTGCCTGCAGAGGGGCATGTTCATAGGCAATAGCACATTGGGTGCATGTGAGGCTGACGAAGAAGAGCATCAGCCTAACACACTCCCCCATTTTACTGCATAGAAGTTAAGCTCATGAAGGTCTTGCAAAGAGTAACCTGTGAAGCAGCCACATGCTTTGGAAGAAGCAAGGAGAACTGAATTCTTCTTAGTACAACGATGGTGACCCAACTGCACATTGCGTTGCATAGTTGTCTGTTATCAGGGTGATCAAGGATAAATAGGAGTTGAGAGTCCAAAAACTACCAGAAGTTCCCCATCCCTGTTTTAAACATAAGTGGAATCTGCACTTGTTTGCTTTTTGCTGAAAATCAAGGAGTTAACTTGCGTAGCTGTTTCTTCTTTCCAGCAGCCTTTATATTTGTCTAGTAAGCCACATATTCAGGAAAGGTTTTGAAATGCATAAATAATATAGCCTATTTTTGAATCTACCATTAGGCTTTTCCTTATTCCTATGTTTGGGTGAAGACCATAAGTAGCACTTTTAAAAATATTCTTTTGTATTAAACATTACTTGAGTGTTATTTAACATTTTTAAAAATGTGACTATTATTACCTCCGAATAAAGATGCTGTCACAATTGTTTGTCTTCTTGCAGCAAGGGATTAAAGAAATAGAGAGATATCCTACACAAAGTAGAAGTTTCAGATGAGCGCAAATAGCAAGCACTTTGGCAAAGCCACATGGCTGTTCACTTACTGTCAGGAAAGCCGCCATCCAACATTATTTCTCCAGCACCAGTAAGGTCACCATCAGTGGTGGTCAGAAACATTTTTCATGAATCCTCTCCTTTGAAGTGATTAAAAATTGCTGTTAATACCTATGAAAGTTAGCTGGATGGTGCTGGTCTCCTACCATTATACTTGTACAACTCTGCTTTGTTAACACCTGTCAGAAATGTTTGTGAGTCTCAAGCCTTCCTGTCCTAACTTAGTGGGTAGAAAAAGGATTGGAGGTGGGGAGAAAGAAAGAAACACTGGGCACATTTGAGGTGTAGCAGGAAAAAAGCTAGCTAAGTGAGAGTCTACAATGGTCAAAATGTCGCAGAATATCACTATATGCGCCTGCTGTTCTCTGGGGCCAATCTAGAAACAATCCTCTAAGCCAAAACATATGATTAAATTTCGAAGTCTTTCCAACCAGTAGGGGAGACAACGATATCTCCCGTGGGTGGGTGTTGTCCCCATACATGCAATAGTTAGGAGCCAGCTCTTCATAGCTACCACTGGAGAGAACATCTGTGCCCTTTTCACAGCTAAGAAATGTGCAGATTTTATTTAACACATTAGTCAGCAAAAGCCATTTAAAGATGATTATTGGGTGACAGTCGAGAAGTCATAATGCAACCAAGGAACTTGGGGAATCTGGCAGGCAATCACAGCCTTTCAAGGGAAGATCTCAACATTCCCTCACGTAGCACAGGATTTGAACATAGTGGTGCAGAGGTCTAAAGAAATTTTAAATGTGTTCTTCCAAAATACAAAATCACATATTGTCTGGCACTTCTTTAAAAAAAAAGTTAACTTTTTATTGGGTTTTACAAACAGGGATCTTTTGTGGGCATCCATCTGTCTCACGAGACAATGGAGTGTGCCTTCGGGGGTGAAGCCAAACTGCTGTGCGAGCCACCAAAGTGGCCACCCTGGGGCGCAGGTCTGGCAGTGTGCATGGGACAAGACCCACCCCCCTTGGCCTCACTGGTGTGCTCCAAAGAAAAGCAGGGGTCATAGGAATAATAATTGTACAAATAAATAGACCAAGTCTTCTCATGTCACATGTACACCATAAAAATAGTATATATTTTCTGTAATATCTGTAACATGTTTCATTATAAGTGGTCAATGTGCAAGTTCTTGGTTCATGGAGTGGTTTAAATAAAAACAGTAACAAAGGATAAACAGGCAAGAACAATATTACAGATAACATTCAACACTGCATAGCTAAAATGCCTAATCAGCTAACACTTGTTTTCTGAAAGCTGAACGCTTATTATTTGTTTTTCCCCACCCCAAAAAAATTCAAGTGGAACTTGACTTTATTGGTAAAAGGTAAAAAAAGTAAGGTAAAGGATCCCTGGATGGTTAAGTCCAGTCAAAGGCAACTATGGGGTTGCTGCACTCATCTTGCTTTCAGGCCAAGGAAGCCGGCGTTCATCCACAGCTAGCTTTCTGGGTCATGTGGCCAGCATGACTAAACTGCTTCTGGTGCAACGGGACACCATGACAAGTGCCAGAGTGCATTGAAATGCCGTTTACCTTCCCGCCACAGCGGTACCTATTTATCCGATTGCACTGGTGTTCTTTTGAACTGCTAGGTTGGCAGAAGCTGGCACAGATCAACGGGAGCTCACTCCATCATGGGGATTTGAACCACTGACCTTCTGATTGGCAAGCCCAAGAGGCTCAGTGGTTTAGACCACAGTGCCACCCGCACCCCCATTTGTTGGTAAACGTCTAAATAAGGGTATCTGGCAGGGGCTGGAGAGAGGGGGAAAGTTACGAGCCTTGCAGAAGTCAGGGTGGAAGCTGATAGAACTCTTTACTATCTTTTAAAACCATCCTGCAGTCAGCACATCTAGGCAAAGGTGATGCCACCAGAACCATCATAGCAGTTATGACCGCCAAACACACATGCTCGACCCAAGCTCACGTGGCAAATGGGAGCAGGGGATCTGGTTTTTTTTTTATCAATCCATAGGAAGATAATTCAACCAAAATGATCAAGGGGATGGAGCAACTCCCCTATTAGGAAAGGTTGCAGCATTCAGAACTTGAGAAAAGGCAAGTCACATGGTAGAAATTTATAAAATTATGCGTGGCATGTAGAAAGTGGATAGAGAATTATTATTTTTTAAATAACACTAGAACTCAGAGACATCTAATGAAGCTGCATGTTGGAAGATTCAGGACAGAGGAAAGTACTTATTCATGCCGTGGAACTCACTTCCACAGTGATGATCACCAACTTGGATAGCTTTAAAGAGGAGTAGGAGATTATCATCACCTGCTAGCCAGGATGATGATGTTCCATCTCCACTGTCAGGCAGTAAGAGTCAGAATATCAGTTGCTGGAAATCACAGGCAAGCAGTGCTGTTGCACTTATGTCCTGATTGTGGGCTTCCCACAGGCATCCAAGCAGCAGTGTGGTATAGTGGTTAGAGTTCAAATCCCTGCTGGACTAGATGGGCCATTGGCCTGATCCAGCAGGCTCTTCTCATGTTCTTATGATTGTTTACAGAAGGAAATCGTGAGCCCCTAATAAAGTCCACCAGACCTCCCCATTTGGCTAAGCCATGCCTATTTGCCCTACACTAACATATGACATCAGGAGTGGGGCAGGTAATGTCACGGCTGGGCTAAAAAGGAGTTGAAGGCATCACCAATGCACTGCAAGTCTTAACTTTGTGTGGCCTTTTCCTTTATTAAAATAATTCCTGTAATTTTAAGGAACCAGTTATTGACTAGAGTCACCAATACAATGTTTGTTAATTACACAGTCTATGTCACAATACACTTCTTGAGAAGTCTGGAATCAGATTTGGGTTTCAATTTTTATCCCTTCAGCCAAGTTATTCCTGGAAGAGGCTCTCCAGCCCCGCTGGAGCAGCTTTTCAGAGCACTGCAGGGGGAAGTATGAATCAGTAAACGTCACCTCCCTGCACTTCCTCCTGGGAGAAGTCCTCCGAGAAGAGTTTTGCTCACAGAACTCTGGATACAAGCCACAGTCATATAAAAAGAATGCAGATATTTTTATTTCAGAACTGTTACATACTCATCATTAGGCAGTGTTGTCACTTTTATTTCAAATAAATTTGAAGTTAAAACCACCCAGTTTTACAATTAACTCTTGTATTAGCTTGATTTTTAAAAACAAATAGACAGCTGCATGAAAATAATTGTCTTTTGTTCCCTGTAAAATAGATATTGGAAGTAAGTTTTGTCAGTAATGCAAACTGCCTTTTTGAACTACCTCTTGTCCATTAGACTTTTAAGTCCTTAGTGACCCTCTGGGAGGGTTGCAGTGCAGTCATAAAAGATTTTCACCTTTATATTCACAGTTTAGTCAACAAAACTTATGCAACTTTTAAAAAAAACCACCACCACCACCACACACACATAAATCATTTCCACCTAAGGCTGCTAAAGTGCACCTCCTTCTAAATGAAAAGAACCACTTTCCCCAAACCATCCTTCCTCAGAGATTACTCTTCTCCAAAATACTGATCTCAAGGTATACCATCTACCACGCTCAAAATGATATTGCCTTGATTACTTAAACCAATTTCAGAAAGCTATTCTGTTTTCAACACATGATTCTATGGTGTTAGTGATAACAGCAATCTCCTGCAAAGGAACAAAAGGAGGCAGGCAGGCAGGCAGAGTTCTCTCTCCAGGTCCTTAGATGAAGGGCAAGGCACACATACGTACATAGCCAGAGGATCTTGTCCAGCCTATCAAAGCTTTTTCCTCCCAGCCTGCAAAATCCCACGCAGTGCTCCCATGTGGCAATTCATTCAGGGGTTGGGGGCAGGGAGAGAAGTTAGTCGGATATGGAATGCAGTTAAAGGACCATTCTTGTGCTATTGCAATCATACTAAAGACCTTGCTTTGGTCAAGTGCATTAAGATACTCACTGCTTTGTGGGCCCTAAAATGATCACACAGTGCAATTTTACACAGGGCACCACAACATGACTATGTCTGTACTTGAATGAAAGGTTGATATCATGTGAGGTTACTGAAGGATCCCTTTCTTCGTTTACTTCATTGGCATTTTAGTCAGGTTCGTCAGGCTTACTTGCAGAAGCACAATCAGATCAGTTACTTAATTCATCCATCTCACATAAAAATAAATGTGTTTGCAATTGACATCATTTCTCTGTAGTATCAGAATATCACACGTGGAAATTTAAAGCTTTAAACACATTAGGAAATCAAACATTGAATCACCAAAGGTCTCATAAATAAGCATGTGGAATGTCAGAATTGGGGGCAACGACGACGAAAGAAAAGTGTACTCAATAGTGCAATCCTATCACATCTCTCAGAAGTATGTCAGTTCAGTGAGGCTTACTCCCAGGTAAGCAAGTACAGAATTGCAGCCTTAGTTACAGTTCTCCATCTTCTGTAAATGCTTTCAGAGCATACTTTTTAAAAGCAGCACTCACAGAAAATACTTTGGTCACTGTCTAATAATTCTTACGGCTCTCCCAAGCATTTCAATTAGTTCTTTCATTGGAATAATAAATAATTTGGTCAGGCACAGAAATCCAACGAATTTTTAACTTCAGAAAAATGTAAGTACTTCTGAATGCAAATATATGGACTGGTCCTTTTCAAGTAAAACTTGTGAGAGCCTCAAGGCCAGATGGGTGGGGTATAAATAATAAAAGGTTGTTATTGTTAGTCACTCCAATTTTCACTCAAACAAAATGTCCAATATCCAGATGCACATTTTGATTAGCGGTTTTAGAATGGGATAGGGAATCTTTCTGACTCCACCAGTCAGATCCCATATCAGTGCTGCAGACCAAATGTGACTGGTGTTTTTTCCAGCAGCTTCCAATGCAAAGCGCTCCCTGAATCATGGAGGGGTTTGCATGGAATCCTGCTGAACTGATTTATTTTAATTTAACGTCTCCATCAGCCATCCCTTGCAAGGAAGAGGTGCACACAGCCAACTCAGGTCTTAACTCTGCCCTCCCACTCATCAGATCACACTACAAGTGACAAACAACTGATGGTTTGAGGGAAATGGCCCACAGGTCTAAGCTGAAGATACAATTTGTACTTCACCTGAATGAAGTATGGAGTAAGTATTAGAGTAGGACATTGTTTAGATTGTGTACGATGGCATGGCCTAAAATTCGCAAGGGGCATGAACTAAGTTGATTGTGAGGTAATGTTATTACAGTACTGTAAATTAGCAAGGGCAACAAGGACTGATCCAAGGACTTACTGTATTTAAAACAAGTATTATTTCAGGCATTTATACAAACCTTTAAATACCGGGAAACTTTCACTATGTTGAATTAACTTGAAGAACCCTTCACTGAACATTTTATGGCCAGTCATTTTGAACATGCAAGGAACTACCCTAGTGATTTAGTAGTTGGCAGTATGATCTCATCCAAACCACATGGTCACAAGAATACATAACACTGCCACCTACTCAAAGGGCAGTATCCAATACTTCTCTTACTCAGAGTACAGCCACTGAAATTAATGCACATGACTAACGTAGGTTTATTTATTTCAGTGGGTCTACTCTGAGTACAACTTAAAGTTGAATACAATCCACATTTCTGATTTTGCAATCTTAACCGAGTTGCATTTCCTTGTGAGCACAGTAAAAATAGGGCTATAAAAGTACCTGCTTCTCTTAACGTTTATAGGACTAGGGTGAAGCCTATCTAATGTTTTTAGATATAAATATGAATTAAGGAAAATATGCACCAGGAAAATCTTTGGACAGAAATATTTCTTGTCTTCCAACTTGATTTGTTGTAATGTTAAAAAGCAATTCTAGTGTAATGTTATACAGTGGTGCCCCGCAAGACGAATGCCTCGCAAGACGGAAAACCCGCTAGACGAAAGGGTTTTCCGTTTTCAATGCGCTTCGCAGGACGAATTTCCCTATGGGCTTGCTTCGCAAGACGAAAATGTCTTGCGAGTCTAGAGATTTTTTTTTCGCTCCCCCCCTTTATCTAATCTGCTAAGCCTTTAATAGCCTTTAATAGCCTTTTAGCAGCTAATCCCCTAAGCCTTTAAGCCTTTAATAGCCGCTAAACCGCTAATAGCGCTAATCCGTTAAGCCGCTAATAGGGTTGCTCGCAAGACGAAAAAACCGCTAGACGAAGACTCTCGCGGAACGGATTAATTTCGTCTTGCGAGGCACCACTGTATACATATTTGGGTGAATAGATTAGATGATTTTTATATAAAATATTCTCTCTAATTGTGTTTTCTAGAAATGTTAAATACAGCAGCGTGTATTCAATAAAAATCACTGTAATTATCCAGCTAAAGTGAGCAGTAAATTAGGTTTCAAGGGGACTGAGAAATCCCACTTGAATTCCTGGCAAAAATTACAGGACACAGAAAACAGAATTATTCTGCACTCTGGAAGTAGTAAGATTGTTTGGTTTACAACAGGCTGAAACTGACTGGTAATTTAATTCCACCTCTTAGGCATTACATATTCTGTACAACTCAGTGACAGCTCTGGGAAATACAGAGCTTGGTTCTCTTTCAGAACCAAGAATTTCCCCCTATGCTGTATTCTACAGTAGGCAGGTAATGCTCATGGCTGAAGAGAAGGAATGAAAGATAATTTTAAAAATATATCTTGGAATATACTGTTAAAGGCCAGCAGATGAAGAAAACTCTTTGTTTTTATTCCTTAAACTTAAAACAGATTTTAATCGCCCTTTGCAGCAGTGATGTTAGTTCTTTCAAACACCTCCAAAAACTGAAGGCAAATTATTTGGTCCCCCAACATTAAGGTTTTTCTAAGTTTTTCTGCTGGGTGCCCCTTGTGACTTTAAAGAATGGCAGTGCCACAGTTATAGCGTACTGTGCGGAAGAAGTGGAGTACTCTAAAAGAAACACAAAGTCCACAAGCAGCTTACAAGGTGTATGTGTTGGACACAATAAATATTTTCAGAGTTATTTGTAAGGGCTCAAACAGAAGTCTAGCTTGTGGAATATTGTATTGGCACCCAATGTTCTCCTATCAATCCCCACTTGGATATTAACAATGGGGGCAATGGAAAGTGACAGTACTACGCTGCCTTGAGTAAAAACGGCCAAGTCAACAATATTTATCGTGTGCAGTGAACAGAGTGTCATGCGTCCACGGATTAAGCATTAATCATTTTGCCAGAGGAAGCCGTGATCTATAATTCTACCTTATACATCCAGTTCAAACTAGATGCAACACAGGGGAATCCAGAAAACAAGATCTGTTGCCATTTTCCATTTAGATCAAAGCAGTAATTGGGTTTGGGCTGAGGCTGTGGGCCAGTAGAGCAGTGGTGTTTACCTGGCTTCCTAATGTGAAGTCACTGCCAGTAGCAGAGAAGGAAAGGGGCAAAGTGACATGGATTGATGTAGATGCAGCATTGGGAATACTGGATTGGTCCTGCCATTGTACCTGCACAACACCAACCTCCCCGTTGCCTTGCCCCTCCCCTTCCTATTTACCAGCAGCAACCTCTATGCTGGGAGGCCAGGTAAGCAATGCCACCTTGCTCTGCTGATCACTACAAGTGTGGGATATTAGAAAAGTGGACAATTAAAGCTTTCCCATAAACCTCATTCCCAAATTTACTCCCCCCACCCACCCAGTTCAAGCTATTTGTCTTATGGCAAATAAACTGGAAAACATAAAGGTATTGGGTATATACCTAACATATAGCTGGGGAGATTCTAAATGGGAAACTGTTTTTAAATGAGAAACTTTTTAAAAACCCTCCCCAGGTCTGCTTTAACCTAAAAACTATGGGAGATCTTGTGCCTAATTCTGCCATCACATCTAATATAGGCCTTCTTTTTACTGATTAATTTCTAATGTATTATGAAAACAGGATTAACACACAAAGTGTCATGTTGATCACATCACAATTAAGGAAGTGTGCAATTAATGTGTCTTGGAAATGTCTGGCTGGTGAATATGCAAAACACAAGCATGAAAAAATAATCAACTTGGTAACTTCTGTTTTGAGGACACTTGAGCATACTGATTTAGAAATCAAGGGATATGAGCTGAATCACTTTTCTTTGACTATCATGCCAGCCTAATTCTTTGAAAAAGGACTGCTGAAACCACAGTTTGATTTTTCATTTTCATTCTGCGGCATGTTCAAGAAGCCCAGTGAGGATAATAATGACTGTGAAACCTTTTAGACTGGCACTTTCACTGCATTTGCACAACTAATATGCAGACAGATCTTTCAACTTGCTTAGCCTTCTGAATTTGATTCCATCTCTTCCATCTCTCTACTGCTTTCAGCGTCCTGGAGGAATGAAAAGGAACAAAGTAAATTTGTGGCTAGCTGGTTTGAACTAATCCCATCTGCAAAATTATACAATCAGGATGATCAACATGCTATTCTTCTCCCAACCTCCTAGGGAGAAAATGAAACAAACAACCCTGACTGGCTCTTCTTCCTTTTCCATACTGTTTATACTTCAAAACAGCGGTGGAAACCTTTTGCTCGTGGCCCTAATTTGGCCTAGCAGGGGCCCTAATTTAACCTGTCAGGTTGTTTTCCCCAAAATATGTCTACCTACTAAAGACACAACTGCATATGAACTGCTTAAAAGTCTTCTCCCAATGTTTCCTTGGAAAGCCAGGCTCAATGATGGTCAGCTGATCAGTGCTGACAGCAATACCCTCTGAAGTTGTCCATTTGCAGGCACAGTTTGAAACCAGCTGGGGAACCTCAAACATTCTATCTCCCTGCCCCCCTTCAAACACAAAGCATATACAGTGGTACCTCGGGTTAAGAACTTAATTCGTTCTGGAGGTCCATTCTTGACCTGAAACTGTTCTTAACCTGAAGCACCACTTTAGCTAATGGGGCCTCCTGCTGCCCCTGCGCCACCGGAGCACGATTTCTGTTCTTATCCTGAAGCAAAGTTCTTAACCTGAGGCAATATTTCTGGGTTAGCGGAGTCCATAACCTGAAGCATCTATTACCTGAAGCGTAGGTAACCCGAGGTACCACTGTATTATACAATTACCAGAAGTGGACAGCAAGGAGGAGGAGCTAAAAACACAATTCCTGCTACAATCCTGTACCTCACCAAATCAAAGATATCTAGTAGTACAGTAGTAAAACAGCCACAGGTAGAGCAGCGCAGTCCTTTCCGCTGAAAGTAAATACCCAGCCTATCAGATCTATCTAGGGCATATCACAACCTAATCTCCTTGCGTAAGTCAAGCATAATCAGCAGAAGCAGCTACCCATCCTAGTCCTAGGCTCTCACCCAGAGCCATCCACTTCCAGTCCTGTTTCTCACTCTGGGGGAAGAAATACTAGACAAGATCACCAGCACCTGGCCTCTCACCCCAGACTCCCATTCAACAAAACTCAGTATCCCCTAGGAGACTAACCATGCTGTAATATCACTGGCTGACACTTGCCCTGATTCCGAAATGGTGACCGTGCCCCTGCCGACCCCACTGGAGGATGCCTTGCTACTTGTGGCCAGCCTGGTTTTTATGGCCATTAGATGTTCATTCTTCACTTTTGACACTCAATTCTGATTTATATAGATGCACACTCCTCCTACAGCGCGCAACTTGTTTTCCTAAAATGCCTGGTTAGCAAACGTCTTTACCCTAGCCAAGTCTGACAGGTTTTTGCTGCCTGAATTGATGGATCTAACCTTTTCTTGATCTCTGAAATTTCCTGTTCAGTGACTGGAATTCTTAAGTTTGACATCTGGTTTCCCTAAGCTTGGCAGCCTGCAGTAGAAGATTTGCTAGTGCAATACTAGATATTGTTCTGGAGGTGGCAGTAACACCAGTTTCGCATAATATAAAATAGTGAGCAAAATTCAGTATATCCATAGTCCGAAAGTCATTTAAGGAGCTGTGCAACAAAAGATAAAACCCCTTTCAGGTGAAAACTTTTAAAAGAATGAAGATCCTCAAAACAACTGTAGGCATTATAGCCTAGAATGAATATTCCAGCTTAAAAACATCTGACAGGGTCCGTGAAGATCTCACCTCTAGTTCAATATAGCAAGTTCAATGCAGCCAGTTTCAACTTATTTAACTGCAATATTAATATTATATTAGCGGCCTGTTACCTAAAATATATCCAAGCAACATTACACAATAGAAAATTCATATAATTTCTGTTGATGTTAGCCGCCCTGAGGCTGGCTCTGGCCGGGGAGGGCGGGGTATAAATAAAAATTATTTATTATTATTATTATTATTATTATTATTATTATATGTTAACATTCCAGAGAACATTTATAAAAAACAGCCCCACCATAACAGCGATAGAAAAATTACTTATCACCACTTACCACTTACTTGCAAGATTTGCATGGGCTACCAAGATGCACCAGACAGCCACTTTGCTCCTCTAAAGTCATTTTGCTGCTGTGCTGCACTGAATTCAGCCACGGTTTGGCTTTGTGTGCTGTCCAAACCTGGGTTGTGGTTTAGTGCTCTCCATACTAACCATGAGCTGCAAACCAGGAAAGCTAGACTGCAAGCCAGAGTTCATGCAATATAAACCATGGCTTAACTTGGCAAAGCACAATGGCTAGAGAGCAACAAAATGGCTGTGATCTTTTCTCCCAGAGTCTGGCTAAGTCACGGTTTGGCTTAGCATAACATATAAATCAGATCAGTAGGATTCAGCAGTTTGAATATTTAGGTTCACCTATTACCTATTTAAAATGACATTAAAGTTAACATATTTTTTTTTAAAAAATTACTCAGGAATAGGTTTAGAAAACTGCTCAAAAAGGAAGAAGGATAAAATAAATCTAAAGTGTAGATTTAATAGGCTGTCTATCTCTGAAGACAGATACAACTAAATATGAGATGGCATATTATTTGGATCTGTTAAATCATCATCTTCACACATGAATGACACTCAAACACTACCTCTTTTGTGATGACTGGCAACTCTGAAGCCAAACCCAGCCAGTGAGCAGCTGCCGAGTTATCTCCTAGTTCCTTGTAGCACTGCAAGAGAGAGTGGGGAGGGAAAGCAAAATTAAAACAAGATAGAACATTTTATGAGGATGTGTATTCCATTAATAAAAAATATAATTTATCTTTTCAAACACTGAAACCCATAGAGAACAGAAGAGGAGACGCCTGGAGAAAGCACTTTCCAAAATATATAGTAGACTGAACTCTAAGAGAGAGAGAGAGGCATCAGAATGGGGGACATCAACAGTCCATGTACAAACCCATTAAGCTGTACTATTCACTTCAGAATGATGTTCAAGAGACGAGGCAATAGCAACTGCCATAGGTAAGGTGTTCTTCACAGGCACATCCAAGAGGATGTTGTGAGCCGGTGACGCAAGAGTGAATGTGACGTTACATTCAGCACTGCTGACTGCATAGTGCTTAGGCTGCCACACCCCTGGGGGGCAGGCATGGGGCTGACACCCTCCTCACAGGCCCATTTAGCAGAATTTGTCTAAGCATCTTGGGACGTATTTTACCCTTTGGTTTCACAGAATCACCAGTGGAATCAAAATACCCTGATTCGCCTCCAAAAGGCGCACTCTTCCATTGTCTCCCGAGACAGACGGATGCCAACAAAATTATGTACAACAGATCATTTTCTTGGAATATAAGAATTTAGTCATTTAGTCGTGTCCGACTCTTCGTGACCCCATGGACCAGAGCACGCCAGGCACTCCTGTCTTCAAACACTAGCTAGATACAGTGGTACCTCAGGTTAATTACTTAATTCGTTCCGGAGGTCCATACTTAACCTGAAACTGTTCTTAACCTGAAGACCACTTTAGCTATTTGGCCTCCTGCTGCTGCTGCGCCGCCAGAGCACGATTTCTGTTCTCATCCTGAAGCAAAGTTCTTAACCCGAGGTACTATTTCTGGGTTAGCGGAGTCTGTAACCTGAAGTGTATGTAACCTGAAGCGTATGTAACCTGAGGTACCACTGTATATATAAAAGTCCTACTGTCAGACTGTGAAACCCTATACATATTTACTTGTGTTAATCCCACCATGGCATGGCCAAACTTGGCCCTCCAGCTGTTTTGGGACTACAATTCCCATCATCCCTGACCACTGGTCCTGTTAGCTAGCGATAATGGGAGTTGTAGTCCCAAAACAGCTGGAGGGTCAAGTTTGAGTGTATGCAGGATTGCAGCCTTAGTTAAAATGGAACAGTAGAAGTGAGTGATTTTCAAGTGACTCAGATAAATTATTTTGCTAAGAGGTATAGGAAAGTCTATATACAACTACTAAAAAGTGTTTAAAATATTATTTATTTGTTTAATACAAATTTTACACCACTTGATTGTAAAAAAAAAAACCCAAAGCAACTTACAAAAGATAAAACAGAAAAATTGAGAAAAATTCACAATCATATATACAAAAGTTAAAATACTAAAACAGATTAAAATTACCTCAACTTTCTAAGCATCTGCGGGTAGGCTTTTCCAAACAAGAATGTTTTTAGCTAAAGAGTGACCATATGTCTCATGATGGTGTGGTTTAATTGCACCAGAATCCCAATTCACATTTCAACTGTATCATATGAAACGCTGATATTTAGAATAGTAACTTTCTTATTTTATTAAAAGCAAACTTTTCTTGAAATGGAAGAATGATGAAGAAATGATAATTAAAATGAACTTAGATCTAGGCTTCTTAGACATATCTAGGGAAAACATTCCATGGTGGGGAAATTCTTATAGTCCTGTACTTATAACTAAAGATTATATTCATTTGACATCCTAGTCATGTATGAGATACACAACGGCCCACAGTGTAGTAAAACAAGTAAAAAAGTAACCTGCACAAAGATTTCTGCATTTTGTTGACTTCTTTTTTAATTTTATTACCACCTTCCAGTTTTTACAGAAGACTGTCAAAGCAAGTAAAACTTCTGGCAAATTCAAATTCGAATATATTCCAAGCCAGGAACAGAATCTTAAAAACTTGTACACTACTCAACATAAAATGAGGTTGTTTGGGACTTGGGGAACAGAGTGATTTTACAGGGAGCAAATCCCTCTACACTCTTGCTTGGCTTCTCCTCTGGCTATTGTAGCAAAAGCCATTTGGCATTAAAACTTTCATGGGCTCCAACTGGAGGTCACAGAAACAGGACAATGCAGCTCCAGAAAAAAATCATTCAGTTTGTACAAACAAGAACATATTTCAAATCCTTTGTGGAACCAAACCGAACGCTTTCCATGTAAATCACAACACGATCTACAATATAGAAACAAAAACCCAACAGCAACAGCCACTACCCAGTTGGAACCATAGATACTAGGGGCTAGAAAGCCTAATGATCATCTTGAGTGATGCAGACCATTGGAAGGGTGTAGCATAGTTTTTCTAAATAAATAATGGTCTGACTCTGCATTAGGCAGTTTCATGTGTTCAAACCAAGCAGTCAATTCTGAACTTCTGACATACGTTAACACACAACTTTTGTGGCCCAAGCAAACATACACTTACCTTGGCAATGTATATTCTTCCCACTTTTGAAAAACCAGCACTCAGGTCTTCGGCCTACAATGAATATGAAGAATTAAAGATGATTCAGAGAGATTACACTTTAGCTCAGGCTATGCAGGTTCTACACTGTTCATCAGACAGAAACTGTCTGCACTCTACTGGGTCATGAAAATGGGGAGGGGGCCTATTAGAGAGAAACTTCTGCTACGCTCACATCATTTTAAGAAGCAGGGCTTTCAGATACTTCTGCATGTAGCCCATGTGAGTCAGTTACCCTTGCCCATCAAAATACATGACCTGTACACCTAACGAAACATCTGGAGGAGCAGTCGTATTAGTCTGTTGCATCAAAAAGACCACAAAAATCTTGGAAGCTTACCCCATAGTATTTATTTTAGCCTTTAATGCAAGGGTGAGGAACTTTAGGCCCGGGGTCTGCATGCAGCCTTTCAGACCTATCTGACTCTCAGTGGTCCTGAATTATACTCTTCAGCCTGGCTGAAATGTGTCCTTGAACTGTGATAATTGTCTCACATTTGACTGGATGGAAGCTGGGAAAAGATGTGTGTTTATGTGTGTAAAAGTTTATTATTTATTGCACTTATTAGTCACTTTTCTTTTACAAAAGGTTTACAAAATAGTACAAAGATTAAAACCATTATAAAACCAAAACAGATCCATACATCTAAAAGGTAGGTCCTAACATATTCCACTCACTGAAAGAGGCCACAAATATCTAAACCCCTCCAAATTAAGGGGTAAAAACCTGGCTAAGAGAAATGTTTTTGGCTGGCACCTAAAAGTAGATAGTGATGGAATAAATCGGGAGCCGCCACCAAAAAGGCCCATTCTCATGTTTAAGAAGCTTGGTAGCTTATTTTGCTGTTATTCAAATATGCTTGAAAATGCTGAACTTTAGCTGCTTTTGTTGGTTGTTTGTGCACAACTAATAACTAGCCATTTTAGTGCTTTGCTCAACTGTTAGTACCTTTAAGAAATTCTGCAGTGCATCCTGAACAGTGGCTGTGGGGGGTTCTTCATACAAGGCAGCAGCAGTTTTCCTTTCCAACCATCCCAGATGAGAGACCTGCATAAAAACAAAGATGGGAACATAATCTTCCTACTATAACTTGGCAGCCAACACAAAACCACCTAGTTCATATGCCTATCTTGCCAGTGATTCCATTTGTATGGCAGAGGAACAGGATAGAATGCATCCGTCCTTCCAAGAATAATGTAATGCAGGTGCCCTACAGAGACCAGGGTATACCACACAGAAGGTATTAACATGATTATTTACCATAAAAATAAGATGGCGGTGGCCTCCATGTGTTGCAATGTGCAGTAATAGGTAGGGCATGGATTAAGAACCAATTAATCTAGTGTCTCCTCCCACCAGTATTGCTTCGTTTTTGAGATGAAATATTAGAGAAGTAGAGGTTGCTACTCCACACTGCCATTCAATATTTAAATGACCATTTGCTTGTAATGACACTCTAGTTGATATTCTGTTTTGTTATCCAACACTACTAAATCTCAACTGCAGCAAAGTTGGACTCTGCTAGCAGTGGAAGAGCAAGCTAGCAGTCCCATTGCCCGGGCATTTTTTTTTTTGGATGCCTCATAGTCACTGTACTAAATAAACTTAGCTCAGTCCAGTTTTTTTCAATAAGTGAATGAATTGCCCTCAATTCATTCCTTTCTTTACACCATTGAAAAATATAAAGCACGTGATACAGTTTTTTAAATACCTGCAACCGTTTCTGATAAGAGCAACAGAAGAAAAACACATGCTAAGCATTATACAAATACACTGTATGCAGGAGCCCTGGAGTGCTCCAAAACATCCTTAATCACATCCATGTGTGTTCAAAAGAGGGAAGTGTGATTGTTTTTACTGGAGTAAAATTATGGGGAAAGTGAAAGCATGCATTTGCCTGCAACTAATGCTTTTCTTTCACTATCCCTTTGTGTCCACTTCCCTTGCCCCCTCCAATGAACAAAGCACTAAATCAGGATCTTAAAACTACCTAGGATCTTGAGTTTCTTACAACTTGGAACTGCTTTCAGCATAATAGCATTTTCCCCTCTAAAGGAAGAGGAAAGAAAGAAAACAGATCCAGGTAATAAATCATGAAGATAATGTTGCTAATCTAGAACACGCACAATATATAGAGACAGCAAATAATTTAAAGCTATCTACTGGTGCATATAATAGTAACGTTTCAAATAGAAGGTACAATCGTTTTTTTACAAAATTATTCAACGCAATTCTAACTTGTTCAATTAAAAAAAGATCACTTTTTAAATATACTTCACATTCATAAAACAAAGCATGAACAGTTTTTGTACAAATGCATGTTGCCAAAAAGAAGCCAGCATCAGTTTGACACTAACTCACAATATAAATATCTTAACAACATTCTTATACTCACTCCCCAGCAAACACAGGTATAAAACAGTAATCAGGATTAACAGTAGCAGCAGATGATCACACTACAAATCTCTGCAGTCAGACACATTACACTCCCATCTAAAACTACTTGTCATATGACATTTGTGGGACAAATCCAATAGTACTTTTTGCTCATTAGTGATTGTTTTGTGCATGTTGCCTATTCATGCATTTTAAAACAGTGCTGGCTCTCTATATCAGCAGCTTTTAAGCTGCCCATCCCACGTTACCTGGGAAACTCCATTTTGGTCAACTATTAGATTCTAGTGTAAATGCCTTGAAGACCAGTGAATTAGTTAGAAGCCACTAGCCTTCTGTGTGTGTGCACGTTTGAGAGAGAGACAGAAAGAGAGCGTGCGCATCACAAGGCCATAACACTACATGCAAATTCCATCCCACTGCAAAGATCTAATTGAGCTTATTCTTAATGTTGCCTCAAACAAGTGATGCATCGACACTCAATTGCCAAATATAGGAAGAAGTGGAGAAAGGAGCTGTGGGACAGATTTCAACATTTTAAATCAGGAACTCTGTACCACAACAGAATTTTCAAGCATCACAAAACATTACAATTGCATCCATCTGCAATAAATGCAATAAAACTGAGTCGCTGAACCAAATCAATGAAGCAGACTATTTTTGTGAAGATCTTATCGGCAGCTGAAATTGCATAAAAGAATCCAGACAGTTAAACACAGAAAAACCCTAAGGCATTCAACAGATGTATTTTATTTCCTATTCTATGCTGGCTTGGTCATGTCCACAGAATGGAAGATGGTAGGATCCCCAAGGACGTGCTCTATGGGGAGCTGGCTTCAGGCACCAGACCCATTGGCACACCAACTCTGTGTTACAAAGGTGTCTGCAAATGTGACAGAAAGGCTGGCAACATTAACTCCTCCATGTGGGAATCTCTTGGAGACGACCGCATCACCTGGAGATTGGTTGCGCATCCACAAGACTGACCAGAGGAGGAATAGGACACACTCTTTCATTGTCTCCCGAGACAGGCGGGTGCCAACAACAAACAACAATATAGACAAAATAATTTAGCATGATGTCTTGTGACCTCAGAAATACATATTAAAGAAAATGATTTACCTGGTAACACCACCGGCCCAGGAGATAGTAAGATTTAGGGTCATCTGGTTTCAGAGCAATTGCTTTGTCTACATGTTTCTAAAGAGATGTACAGCAAAGACATTTCTCATTCATGAAGCACAATTTTAAGATTACACTCATTTTGGGATAAATCCATGATTCCACTAAAAACATGTTTCCTATGTAACAATGACCGAAAGCAGTAAACTATAAAAAAGCTGGTAATACAGAACTTGCTAATACCAGAGTCTATACCAAAGACAAGACTCTCTGCAACTTCTTTAAGTCATTTCTTAAAATCTGCTAAAGGGCACAAATGTCATGTCCTCTTTTATGTCAACCACACATTTTAAAATCCTCCTCCTACACGCACTCATAGTGGATGCTTTGCCACTATGGGATCCTACAGCACTGGAGACTGTTATGCGAAACAAACAAAAACATGGGAGGAACCAATTGTAGGGTTCAACTGAAGCAGAGACCCATTAAATTAACTGGCCCTATCTTCATGAATGTTTACTTCACACAGTCCTCTGGAATACAGAACAGCACCATGGAAGAGCAGCACCCACACTGCATGTACATGTGTGTGTTATATGAGAAAGGGTGAGAGAGACAGAAGGGTGCCAGAAATGTATGGCGCAGAGTAAAAGTCAGAATAAACCTCAGCCATAAATTTGTTGGGTAGCTTTAAGCAGACCATGGTTATAATCAGTTGGAAATCTTACTTGCAGCTTAGTCTTATAATATATTTGATGTCCTTCTATCGTGTTCTCAGGCCTTTTCAACACAATATCCTATTTTACTCCATTGCGATAAATGTCTTTTTAAAAGAGAAAAAGCCATCTTACCTTAAAAGTGTGCCCTGCTTGTATACGTTTTTGTATACTTTCGTGTTCTGAAGCCTGGCCACATAAAACGGCATACCTGGAAATTACAGTAAGCCTGAGCATTAGTGTATTGTTCCAAAATCTGGTTTTTTAGCATGGTGTTGTGGTTGTGTTCTGGGGTAGGAAAATATCAAATGCTCTGTTGTCCAGAGAAGCCATGTACAAAGAAAACAGAGGGCAAATAATTAACAACAGTTTACAAACACAAAGTTTTATACCTTGTCACTTCATAGGTATTTACACACACCCTGAATTGGTCCCCCAAGGCTCAGGTGAGTTACTATCTCCTCTCAGGACTACTTTACAGCCTTGGCATTAGGTTGTTCTCAGAGGGCTCATATTCAAACTGCTCTTTGGCCAAGTTGAACTCCACTTGACAAACACCATCTGTGCCACTTGCTAAGTGGGATTCTGAGGCCAGCCATTGATACATGGAAAGTAGATTGTGCAGGAGGTTTTTTTCTAGACCCTCTAGAATCACAGATAAGCTTGGTTAACAGAAATCAAACAGCAACCAATCTGATCATGTCCGTAGAAATCGGGACCCAATCCAGCATTTTGTTCAAGCAGGCAAGTCAACACATTCAGATCCAGGTTATTTCATTTGAGCTTATAAAAGGACGTCTAGGACTAGTTGATGCATGAAAAGAGGCTGCCTACCAATCAAAGAAAAGGTGGGAAACCATATTATTAAAGTATTAATTCTATACCTATGAAGCAGAATGTCTAAGAAAATGCCAAATGAAATATAATAATCCTGTCTTTAAAAAATGCCAAATGAGGTATAACCATGTTTTGAGTATGATTCTTCTTTAGGGAATCAGTTGGGGGGAAATAGTGAACAAAATTTAACAAAATTCAAGTTAAATACAAGAAAACCTTTTCTAAAATATTTAATATGAAAGGACAGCTGTGAACAGGAACTTGTTTTTTAAAACCTGCAAATTCTTAAGTAACGCAGAAGAAGTTCACAAGTTCAGTCTTCTGTTCATGGAAGAGCCATGGACCAATGCATATTGTTAAACAGAGGGATCACCTCAGTGGGAAAGAGACTGTGGGGAGAAGCCAAAGTAGAGACTATGGGGCAGGGCGGGTGGGTAAGACAAAGGAAAAAGGGATGTTGCACTCATGGGGACATAAAGTGAAGAAAATACCAGAGACTTTGACACTGAGTAACAGCTTTCTGCCATTTTTGCATGCACCTAGCTGCAATGTGACATGTTATCAATGAACAACCCCACAATGAAGGGTTGCTGAAAGTTACAGTCTGAAAGTTCAATGGTTCATATCAGATTCTAATTCAGGCTGCTCAGCAACTCCATAAAACATTAGGATGATCTAATGAAAGTTACTGCAACACTACTAAAAGTTTGTGAGATCTTTAAAATACAGTTTTACAAGGTTGTTTAAACAAGAGAAAGCCATATAACCCCCATGTGAACTCGTAGATCTTCAAATAAACACAGTTAATTACCTCCACGCTTGCCCTGAAGCAAGGCACTAGGAAATGCTTCCCAGTAACTGCTTGTAAATCCTGTCATATTTACCGTATTTTTTGCTCTATAAGACTCACTTTTTCCCTCCTAAAAAGTAAGGGGAAATGTGTGTGCGTCTTATGGAGCGAATGCAGGCTGCACAACTATCACAGAAGCCAGAACAGCAAGAGGGATTGCTGCTTTCACTGTGCAGTGATCCCTCTTGCTGTTCTGGCTTCTGAGATTCAGCATATTTTTTTTCTTGTTTTCCTCCTCCAAAAACTAGGTGCGTCTTGTGGTCTGGTGCGTCTTATTGAGCGAAAAATACGGTACTTTCAGTTTCTATCACTGGGGGTAGCAAAAAGAATTTGAACAGCTTAACAAAAGCCTGCCATTAACAATAACTTTTGGGGAGTCTAGTATGAGCTGAAAGAACATCAGAGCTGCAATCCTGGGCACACTTACTTGGGAGTAAATCCTATTGAGCAAGGTTTATGTCCAAGTAAACACACACAGGATCAAGTAGTAACTGTCATCTCTTTTTCCTTCCACCTTTCCTGGTTAACATACTAAGCTGGGCCAGGCCTTCAAGAAGTGTCAAACTGTGCAGAAATTCACATTCTGCATAGCAACAGTGAGGAATGTCAGAGACAAGAAAATGAATCGGCCCACATAGGGTTGACGAACTCAATACGGCACAATTCTCGCACCAGTTCTGATGCAGCTTCCCTCCTTGGAAAACAACTGGGGAGTTTTGTCTCAAGTCTCACCTGCTGGTATTCTACAGCACAAAGACGGCAGATGTTGATGGTTTAGATCTTGGAGCATTGCCATATAACTCAAAACTAAGCAGATTCTCATGAACCTTGGCCAGCTGAAAAAACAGAACCAGCCACCTAGGACTGCAGAGAGATCTGAAACCTCTACCTCACACCCTGCAGTACAATTATATGCCTTGGCGGAGGTGGGGAGATTTATATCCCACCTTTTTTGGTAAACAGGCTTTACAAAGTGGCTAACAACCCCTGCTAATTTTCTTCTTTCCTTTACTCAGTAGATGGGAGGCTGGAAGAACAGCTGCAGCAACTGAAAGTCACCTAATCCATATTAAAAGGACTACACAGTTTCTGTACGCATAAATGTGGCTCAGTTAGAACATCTAGGCTTTGTAAATCTTACAAAGCTGGGAACAAGCATCAGACCTGCACGCTCCCTCCTCAACCCTTACCTCGTGCTTCAGATTTTGTACAGAGATCCTGGTTTGTGATCATTTTTCAGGTTCAGACATAACAGGGTCCTCTTGTACAAAATAAAATTGGATCTTCATACCAAATCTGGTGTGAGTGGGACAGGAGAAAATACTGTGTAGCCCCAACACCAATTCTTTGTTTAATAAACTATGGTTTATGAAACCTTACACCCTTACATTTCAGCTGAACTGCTGAAATTGTAGGCTGCAGGCCAAGGTAATGTGTGATTTTGTCCTCAAAGTGCTTAGCAAACAAGTCGCGATGGGACTTCTATAGTGCTCCAAGATCTCCCTGGAGAAAACTTCACTATATAAAAAGGAAGAAACCAGAAAGATCTCACCCTCCCATCCATATTTCATATAGCAAAGGAACCCCAAGTTTGAGAAAGATCTCAAACTTTTAGTTTTCATCAACAAACTGAATAATTTGTCACCCACCATCTGCTGAATCTATTGCATACCTCTTAAGCTATGCAGTACTACTTAAATACTTGCTGTATGAAATTGTCCCTAGCCTCCCTTGTGCAATGAAGTCCAGTTTTATCTCTCTCACACACAGAGAGAGCCATATGGGTTAAAATAGGTTTTTCTTTTACTACAGTTCATCCATCCCTTCTTCTAAGGAGCTCAGAGAGGCATACATGGCTTTTCTCTCCTCTCTGCTCAACCTCATTTTTACCTTCACAACTACAGTGGTGCCTCGCAAGACGAAATTAATTCGTTCCGCGAGCTTTGTCGTCTTGCGATTTTTTTCGTCTTGCGAAGCACGGTGTCGGGAAAGTTTTGGAAAAGCTTCAAAAATCACCAAAGTCTTTAAAAACCTCAAAAAGGCTACCACCCCACGTTCTATGAGTTGCTCCTCGAAGTCAAGTCGCAACTGTATTAACGGTGTTAAGAAAAGGAAACAAACTTGCAAGACGTTTCCGTCTTGCGAAGCAAGCCCATAGCGAAAATCGTCTTGCGAAGCAGCTCAAAAAACAAAAAACCCTTTCGTCTAGCGAGTTTTTTGTCTTGTGAGGCATTCGTCTTGCGAGGTACCACTGTAAAGAGATGTGCTAGCCTAATAGATCATGAGCCCACATTTAACCCTGTGAGTTTTACGGTCAGGTAGGAATTTGAATGCAATTTAGAGTGATGCATGTGTGTGTGTCATCATGTACATGGTTGCAAGGGAACATGCTGTTCTCAAGATGCAGTTACAGGAGCATCAATAAGCTTCTAAACCAATAGTACAGAGCATCTTGGCACACTAGTTTGTCGGCTGCAGTGTGTAGGTGTGTCGCATAAACACGCTTCCTGGGGCTGCAAAGGGTTAGTTTAACCTCCAGTTTGCTAGTAAAACTGAATTACTGTGTCATGAAGTGATGCAAAACTGAACTGCTGTGTCATGAAATGAAACATATCCAAAAAGTGTGTCACCAACTTGAAAAGTTTGGAAAGCTTTGCGATAGTAGATGGCTTCCAGCTGTCTGAATCTTCCCTAAGATGCTCATATAGGGGGAATGAGAACATGAACAGTGCCAAGATCAGCTCTCCCAACATGGTTATTCTTCTTTTAAAGCAGCCGTGGAGGGTACCTAATTTGATAGGGGCAGTGGCACTGGGGGTGGGGATTACTTCTTTCACTCCTGACCATCCTTCGAATCTGCCATCTGGCATGCAGGGAAGGAAGGTGGGTATCTAGGGACAATGGGTGTCAAGGGACAACTTTATGTCGAGGATCACACCACACATTCTGGAGCTTTGCTTTTTTTCTCCATCCTCGGGGTTACAAAGCTTTACTGAAGTTTTTTTTATTATTTAACTGTTCTAAAATAGAGAAGTACTCCACAAAATACTAATGGTTTAAATTTTGAAGCAAGAAAAAAATACTGCATTTCCCCTCCTCCCCACTGTATCTTTTATTGCACCCCAGCTTTCCCATTAGCTATAAAAACAGGCTTGCTATTTCATTCCTGCCACAAGGTCAATCAGTGAAGGAAATAATTCAAGCTGACTTTTAAATGAACTGTTTCCTGAAGGGAAATCTGCTGGATACAAGGAAAACACTTTCCTCGAAAATCTTGTGTATACAAAGAGAAACATCAGGATTAGTTTCACTTAATGAACATTTACGAAGTTTGAATTCATTCAGCCAACTAGTTCTTCCCCCTCCTCCAAAAAAGGAGTCTTGTGACACCTTCAAGACTAAGAGATTTATTGCACAGGAAGATCAGTCGTTCACAGACCATACTAAAGGTCTGCTAAAATTGATTACTATCCAGAGTCAGAAACCAGAGCAATACAGCTGCTGATATGGATATGGCCCTATTTTCCCTTCTGAATAACCACATTTTCAAAACAGTGAACAAAAAGGGAAATAGATGTAAGAAATTTCAGTGACTGCTTTGACATCTGGACTAGAGGTTGCTGTGACTCATTTTTTTTTAAAAAAAATTCCTAGAAGTTTACCAACTGGTTGTTTTATTGGGCAGCACGGTTTGTATTATAAAATAGGAGCACTGAGTGAAGGAGACAGCTTCCACCAATAAAAAAAACACATTATGAAACTTGGGTAAGGTAATTCATAGAATTCAACTGTTTAAGCACTGCTGCTTAGTAAAGCATCTACTGTTACCAGAATCAAAAGCAGCCTAGATGATGGATGGGGAAGAAGCTGTGGCTCTCCAAATAATGTTAGACTACAGCTCTCAGCATCCCTGACCAATAGCCATGCTGCCTGGGACTGATGGGCACTGGAGTCCAACAACCTATGAAGGAGCACAGGCTCCACTTGATGCAAAGAAATTCCTTAGGTATGGTTCCTTTTCTCCCCTATGTTCCATTGTGACCAACAGCTCTAGAGAGTTTCAGTGGCTACTCTGCAAATCACCCTCTTCCTAATAGCCATCTAAAGGCCAAGCTACTTTCAGGATGCTTTTGAACACCTACTCCCTCAGCAACAGCCACAAACCTGGGTGCAGTGCACCCCATGAAAGTACTTGCTACATGTCACCCACCAAATCACTGTACAGTGGATCCTCCGGATACAGATTAAATTTCTGCACATGTGCGCATGGCGAAGTATACACTTCCGGGTTTGCCGTGTTTGCAACCCGAAAATTACGTATCCAGAGCGGTACATAACTTGAGAGTCCACTGTACTGGTAAGTGGAGAAAGTCAGCATCTACCTACCAATGAACTTTTGTTAATAGAGACAACCTGGAACACTCCAAATTATGTAGCTCTAAATCTAAACATGGCAATTTATCTCAGCAAGTTTTATGGACCTTTTGGGTTATCCCAAAACAACGTACATAGAATTCACATCAAGAAGAATGGGCATATTACGCTTAAAAAAACCATGTTTCGTGAACACAGTTTGTTCATAAAAACAACAACAACCTCAGGAACATTTGAGAACTGCAGTTTTTCTGTACACCCCTTTAAAAAATAGAGACAACTCATGTGCCAGAATTCCATTTAGGTCTGGAGGCCAGCCTCACACATCTTGTAATTGACTCTCTATGTTCAGTCTCGAAAGGCAAATAACAAACTTTGACTTCTTAGGATGTCTGTAAATATTTTCAGAACTACTCTAACTGCATAAAGGACTGCTAATGCTGCACCTGCACTGCTTCCTCTCCAGAGACCACTCTGAAATCCCCTCCTGCTCTTGTTGTACTTCCAACATTTCTTTTGACAGCAAATGCAAACAAATGCCAAAGCAAACAAGCAACTCCTCCTCCTGATCCTTAATTCACAGAGTATGTTTTTAAGGAATGCAGAGGCCACAGACATGCTGAAGCAATGGGGGATTTTCAGTTGTTTTTATTTTGCTAGGCCTTTGGGAATTCACATATTGGTGCCGGAGCACATTAGACCGCACGCTTTACAGCCCACGGAGCTGCCCTAGTTTTTGACAGGGGTGCTTATTTTTCTCCCTCTACCACGCGATTAAATGTTACAACTAGTTTTGGAAGTCATGGGATAAGCTTAGGACATCCTATTAAAAACAAGGCTGGGTCAGCCACCCATGTTTTCTCATGTATTACATTGCACCAGCAAAACATTATATTTCCAGAAACAATACCTAATGACCCTGAAGCTCACCTCTCACTGCTGGCAGATACAGAACTTTAGTCTCTTCCCTCTAGCAGCAGATGGGAGTTCCAAGAAGAGGCTCCCTTTTACTGCTTGGTAGAAAGGATAATGCAATGAAACCCTTCTCACATTCCCATGAGACACCAAATTTAGACCACTGTGTGCAAGAATTCAGTATTTTTGTTTTAGCACCCTTGAAAGGCTAGCCGATAGCAGCGGGTCTTCAAACACTTAATTCTGTTCTTGCCTTTTGGAAAGTTGAATAATACACCACTCAGCAGAAAGGTGGCATGCTTTCTTTCTGGGGAGATGCAGGGGTATGCATATCTCTGAACATTTTGTGAATCTAAGTTTGGCCTCATTGAGAGGCATTGTTTCAATATGAGTAGGAAAATGAGAGTACCCCTAAACATTTTTTTAAGACAAAAAGCACTGGGCACACATGAAAGCTATAGCAGTTCTTCATACTTCACACTCTCAAATCGCCAAAGTATAAGAGGTTGATAACCATAGTATTAAGCTCACCTTATTTACCACCTCAGTTTTCTAGTAGGTTAAATATTATATGTGAGTTTTACAGGCACAGTATATAAAAGGTTCAACATGAACGATGCTTTATAAGCAGCGCACCTGGCACTTAAGCCCATGACACTTAAGCAGCAATGGCCAGCGTGGTATTGCTCATCTGGCTTCCCAACCCCCTACATCACTGCCAGTTACCGAGAGGGACAAAGCAGCGGAGAGCGTGGTGGAGCCGCAGAGGCAATCCAATACTGCTAACTGGGTGCCCATGTTGAACTCCCTGTTGTCATGTCCCTCCTTCTTTCAGTAAACAGCAGAGATGCAAGCATTGGGATGACAGGTGAGCAATGCTGCCTCACCTGCATCACCCCTGATGGCTACTACTGCACTTAACAGAAAAAATATTGACATTTATGGGACTCCTCTGAAGTCATTGCTATTTTACCTGTATCAATGGCTTATTAGCAGCACCAGATGGTATCTGTATCATAATTTTACAGTAAGTAGTGTTGTTCTTGGGATTTTAAAATCACAGCTGTATTGCAGATGAACTGCAGACTTGCAGAAGAAAGAGATTAGGAGCCGGCAAAAAAAGAGTCATTTGTTTTCTCGAAGCAACAGAACTGTCCAAGATATATGCCTAGACTCCATTTTTTTTTTTTACAACTCTGGGGAAAAGCAGTAAATTACTAGATGAGGGCTCATAAGACACTGATACGAATCATATTCTCAGAGTCAAAACATACTTATTATTCTAACAGCAAAAAAATAAAATAAAAAAAATCCTCTGGGAGAATTGTTCTGAGCCAGTTTGTCATTAGCTGACAAGAGCAAATGGGGAAAACATATTTTGATTAATTGTAAACAGCTCTGTCCATAAACTCAAACTCTTCTGCCAAATGAATAAGTATTTGTGGAAGAAGGATAAATCAAATCTGTACATTTAAGAAGACAGCAGCTCTGTATGTGGACTATACTTCTGAAAAGTTTATGTCTAAAGTGACAACATATAGAAGGCCAATATATAAAACAATTCTCCTCTTTTTGCCTTTTCTTCACAAAGGAAGTAATTACATACCACTGGTGACACTCAGCACTTTGATCTCCCATCTGCAAAGCTGTTTCTGCCTCATCCTTTCCTGCAATGAAAATCAACAAAAACAAACTTATTTGTGTGCCACATTTTAAACACTTAACCCTTCACATACTTTGAAACTGGAGATTAACAGTGTACAAAGAAGTTTCACACATTCAGTAAGCAGATATTATTCAGAAAACAGCAGCCTAATACAAGGATGACACATTATGACAGCTGAAGAGCTGCACCTCACCGTCTGACACTCTTGGAAATAGAGCCCATAGGTTTTTGGCTCACATGCCTCCCAACCCAGAAAACCAGATTAAGGTTGCTGCCTGAGATCGAGCTTCACCCCTAATATTTGTGGAGCTGTCACAAAGGGAGAGACAAGGCAGAAACGAGCAAGAATTTAACTACACTTTTAAGAGAGATATGTTACATATGAAATACCATATTCAGATGGGAAACTATGGCTTTGAATCTGCCAGCTTCCCAAGTCCCATAACAATGTGTTCTCAGGGTGCAGACTGTAGAACTGCAGCCTTAGAGTTCCAGCATCACAAAGAGCCTACTTTTGCCCTATCAGAGAAGTATGGGGTTGCTGTCTGACAAGGAGGCAGCAACAGAGGAGGTAAAGGAAAGTGGACAATTTTGAGACAAACATAAGCTCAGGAATTTGAGGAGTAAAGCAGTTTGTGGCAGTGATGTGAATCAAAAGTGTGGGTTGGCGCAAGCTTCCAATATAGATGCAGCAATTCAGACTTATTGTACCATTCATGCTATGAAAGTTTTGCATTGCATGATAAAACCAGCAAATGCAATTGCAGCACCTGCCAAGCAGTTCTCTGAGTACAATTCTGTTTACAAGATTCTTTAACACACGATTTCATTTTAGGAGTTAGAATAATCCACCGGGGGCGGGGGGCTGTAATTTTAAATTGAGAGCCAGTGTAGTGCAGTGGTTGGACTAAGACCTGGGAGATCAGGATTCAAATCCTTGCTCTGCCATGAAACTCACTGGTGACCTACCTCATAGGGTTAATATGAGGATAAAATGAGGAGGCAGAGAATCAATGTACACCACCCTGGGCTTCTGGAAGGAAAGGTGAGATATAAATGGAACAAACAAACAAATAACCGTGTGTGTAACCTACATTTTTCCAAGGCAGGCAGGTAAATAAATGCCCAATACAACTCACTGGTGAAATGCACCCACCCTTATCTCAAAGTGCCTTCTTACCATCAGACGCATAAGATAACTTCTCATCTGCATCCTCCGTGATTTCATACATATCACTATAACCTCGGGCCAGGCGCCAAAGGAAATCCTGCTTGTCACCGTACTGTGGGTAAAACAAATGTTAGTTCACATTTATTAGTTCACCTGATTCTAGATTCAGGTAGGTAGCCATGTTGGTCTGATGCAGTCAAAATAAATAAATAAATTGTCCAGTAGCAACTTAGAGACCAACTAAGTATGTTCTGGGTATAAGCTTTCGTGTGCATGCAGCCTGGTATCTGAAGAAGTGTGCATGCACACGGAAGCTTATACCCAGAACATACTTAGTTGATCTCTAAGGTGCTACTGGACAATTTTTTTATTTATTAGTTCACCTGTTTGCTTAAGAGAAAATGGGATTTCCAAGTATAACATATTGCAGGTGTTTTGTTTTAAACGTAGCTTGTAAACAATTTGACAAGCAGTGGAAAAATGCTCTAGACTAGCAAAACCAACTCAATAATTCATTTAAATCTCTTCACTTGCCTGAATTAGTAAAGTGTAATATGCTTCTCATTCTTTAGACTTTAATAAAGTAACTATAGGATTCAGGTCAGACAGTCAAACACTTATGTCAAACAGAAACCTTCCTAGAACAAGTCCCTGCTCCTGCAAATAAACTGTTCCTCTGCTGGTGTCACGCTGGGTTTACTTTGCAAGCAGACAAAGGTGTCAAGCTTAAGCAGCATATAGCATATGTACCACAGCCATGACCACTAGATGGAATACACCAGCCATGTGCACATTATGCATGGCTGAATTGGACAATACTCCCCCTTGTGGGGACAGAACTGGGAACTACGAGACCTGTGTGAGACTTCATAAAATCAAGTTGGCCACTACAGAGCCAATTAATTTGGTACAATGATATATAAAGCAGATCTATAACTACTGACATGGCTATAAGTTCCAGGCTCATTAACCTAATTTTACCATGGGGTTGGGACAGGGAGAGAAAATGAGGCGATTTCTCAGTAACTGGGCGAGTATTAAGGCAGAACAAACAGTTCTTAGATAATACTGCAGATCCAACTTCAAGCATAGCAAGTAGGTTGCAGCAGTTGGGTAGGGCAGCCTTGGAGCAGGAGTAGAAGACTTGAGATAGCATTAGCAACACAAAAGATGTAAGAGACACATTAGAAGAACAGACTGAAAAATGACTGCAAATGAAGATGGGAAGAGTTTGGGAACTGGTAAGCTTGCTTTGGGTGGCACGGGTGGCGCTGTGGGTAAAACCTCAGTGCCTAGGACTTGCCGATCGCATGGTCGGCGGTTCGAATCCCTGCGGCGGGGTGAGCTCCCGTCTTTCGGTCCCAGCTCCTGCCCACCTAGCAGTTCGAAAGCACCCTTAAGTGCAAGCAGATAAATAGGTACCGCTTTATAGCGGGAAGGTAAACGGCGTTTCCGTGTGCTGCGCTGGTGCTGGCTCGCCAGAGCAGCTTCGTCACACTGGCCATGTGACCCGGAAGTGTCTCCGGGCAGCGCTGGCCCCCGGCCTCTTAAGTGAGATGGGCGCACAACCCTAGAGTCGGACACGACTGGCCCGTACGGGCAGGGGTACCTTTACCTTTACCTTAAGCTTGATTTGATTCCCAAACATGTTGCAAACAGCTGACCATCTGACTTGTTGACATGTATATATAAAGCAAGTTTGTATCGACATTTCATGAAACAATTATGCCTAAATCATCACTGTAATAAGTCTGAGGAGAGCTTTGCTATCAACTTCAGAGATGCTGCAGTTCCACTTTTAAACACATTAGGGGATTGAGTTACTGTATGTTTCAATACGCAATAAACAAAACATAATTTAATGCTTTTAAGAAGAGGCCAAGTCCCACAGGCTTTGAGGGTTTTAATTTTCTAATGGCAGCATAAGCAATGCTGCATTTTAGATGCCTGGTCTCATTTAGGATTGTGGTATAGACAAGACCTTGCACAACATCCTGTTCTGCTCTCCCTGCTGGTTAGCTCAGCTCAGTTTTTCTGGGAAACTGCTAGAGTGAACTTTACCACTAGTTTATTGTTAAGCAGCTGTTGGAATCCTTCTCTCTTCTCCTGTTCGCTCCCACTGTGCAAGCGATCTGCTTGCTGGAGCAACTGACCAAATGCTTCGTCTGTAGCAGGGTCCAAAGTCAGTGTTTCATCCTCATTGACAAGGTCTAAGGAATCCCTCCTTGCCGTTCTCACAGTCTCACAACTTCTTTCATCTTCTCCTTCCTCACTCTCTTTATCAGACTCGCGGTCATAATCAGACTCTGCATTGGCTGTAGTATAGCTTTAAGACAAATTACAGAAAATCTGTCAATACATTAACACGACATAACCTAAATTTCACAATCAATGCTTTTAAAGTCAATAGATTTCACTTCCTAAGAAATAGAAGTTTGTGCCTGAACTTTGTTAGTGGCAGAAGCTTCTCCCTAAGGGAGTTCCGTTCATCACACTTCCATTATTAGAAAAGAGGGAAGAGTCTAACTTTTGCTGGTTTGTTTTTCCTTCTGCAACCCCTCCCAACCTTCAAAGATCTGCTCAAGAGGATGGGGAGACTCTCCAGAAAAGCGGGGGTATAAACAAATATCCTCTTCTGCCCTTCCACTAATGAGATACCTCTTCTGGATCAGAAGTGGACCGAAGGAGCCCTTCTATTCAGGGAAATTTGGATCTAACTCTATGAACAGAATGCTAATATGGGGGGGGGGAATCCTAAACTTCCTGCTATGCAACAGCTTTTAGTATCAGAAGCAGATACAACATACAATACAATACAACAGAATGGGCTAATGGCCTCAAAGTCTGGAACTGAAAAACAAAGCCAAAATTCCTGACCAACAAACCACAGCACACATGCATGGGCCATCAGTCTAATTTCCAACTGAGTGGGTTGTAGCCAATGCTAGTCCTACTCAGAGCAGACCCATTGAAATTAATAGATAGGATTAATGTAGGGCCATTATTTCAACAGGTCTACTAAAACTTAGATACGATGCACTATGTGTCCCAGCTCCATTGGAAAAATACTACATTTTCTAAAAATAATATTTTAAGGAATTTTTAATAAGTAGTAAACTAGAATAAAAGTAGAACTATACACCAAAAACCATGCTGATCTTGCAATATATTTCACAACACTGTCAAGAACTGTGAATCTACATCCTACAGAATGATAATTACCGTATTTTTCGTCCCATAGGACGCTCCGTCCCATAGGACACACCTAGTTTTTTTTGGGGGGGGGGAAATAAAGGAAAAAATTTTTCCCTTTATTTTCCCCCCAAAAGCAGGTCGGGGAAACCGAACCAGGTCAAGGAACAGCGGGATGGCGGCGCTGCACCTCCCTGCTGTCCCCCGAGCTTGTGGGGCTGGCCGATGTCTGCCCGGCGCGAGGGGCGCTCTGCTTCAGGGCGCCCCACCCGCCGGGCGGCAGGCTGCTATCCGCAGCGTGGGGAGCCCTGCGGGGAACTCCTGCAGGGCTCCCCACGCTGCGGATGTCTGCCCGGCGCGAGGGGCGCTCTGCTTCAGGGCGCCCCGCCCGCCGGGCAGCAGGCTGCTAGCTGCTGCGTGGGGGGCCCGGCGGGGAACTCCGGCAGCGCGCCCCACGCGGCGGATGTCTGCCCGGCGCGACGGGCGCTCTGCTTCAGGGGCGCCCGGCGCTCCGGGAAGCAGGCTGCTATCCGCAGCCTAGACATCCCTGCGGGACCTCCGCAGGGCTGCCTAGGCGGCGGATGGTTCAAGCGCCGGGGCTCTGCTTCAGCGCGCCCGACGCTCGGAAGCAGGCTGCATCCGCAGCCTAGACAGCCCTGCGGGAACTCCCGCAGGGCTGCCTAGGCTGCGGATGTCTTCCTGAAGCCTGGAGAGTGAGAGGGGTCGGTGCGCACCCACCCCGCTCACTCTCCAAGCTTCAGCGAAAGCCTGCATTCGCCCCATAGGACGCACCCAGATTTCCCCTTCATTTTTGGAGGGGGAAAAGTGCGTCCTATAGGGCGAAAAATACGGTACTTGACAATCTTCTATCAATAAGTCATGGCAGTGATGCCAACATACTGTGCTTTGGTTGGTAAGTGTTAGCTTATTTCTACATCTTCCTACATCATCCCTCCACGCGTTCTTCAGTGCACTTCTAAGAATTATTCCCACTCCTGCAGCTGAGTTACCCACTACATTTTTATTTACTTTCCTTACACAGTTTCCCAATACATTTTTGGAGTGCTACCTCTGATGTAGGACATAATATGTCACTCCAAACATTCAATTATTTGCAGTACTCAGACGAGAACCTTCGTATGATTTTATATTGCCACTTAAAATACAGGAAGTATCCGAAGTGGTATCAAGCTGTATGAAAACCCTGCTTGTACCTTCTATTTCACATAATCATGTAACTTGATGTTGCAATCACTTAGAGATAAGTATGTGTGTGCAAAGTCACTCAGTCAAAAGCTCTGGAGTATATGCAGGATGTGTGTGTTTTACCTCCTTTTTCAAAGGACCAAACTCCGTGTGCAATTGTATGGGTCCAGAGTACAGTGGTTAGCATGTTTGACTAGGACTAGCAACCCAGGTTCAAATTCCACTCAGTCATGGGGTCACCAACGGCTCTTCTCAGAGTGCCAGCACCAAGTACAGTGGTACCTCGGGTTAAGTACTTAATTCGTTCTGGAGGTCTGTTCTTAACCTGAAACTGTTCTTAACCTGAAGCACCACATTAGCTAATGGGGCCTCCTGCTGCCGCCGCGCTGCCGGAGCCCGATTTCTGTTCTTATCCTGAAGCACTATTTCTGGGTTAGCGGAGTGTGTAACCTGAAGCATATGTAACCTGAAGCGTATGTAACCCGAGGTACCACTATACTCTGTTTTGTGGCTACAGAGTGTGCTGCCTCAGTGATAGTACTGCAGTTGTGGAATTCCCTCTCCACAGCGGCTCACCTGCCACCAACTATTTGTACTTTGTATTCCTTTTGGCATCAGGAAAAGACTTTATTCTCCAATGCTTTTTAGGGCTTTAAATGATTTTGAGGCTCTGGTTTGTTAAATGTTTTAAGGCCTGCATTCGCCACACTTCTCTGAAGTGTGATGTGTTTTATTGTGATTTTATTTATATTGCTTTTATTGTATTTTAATGATGTTTAGGTATGTCATCCATAACTTTGGTTATGAGGAAGCATAGTAATATTGTCCATAAAGAAATAAAAGATGGCAATCCCTGGGTGACTCTCTCTCAATCTAACCAACCTCACAGAGTCATTCTGGGAACAAAAAATAGGGTGGGTGGGGATGAGAGAACCATGTACCACACTGGAGTTCCTTGGGGAAAAGGCGAGATATAAATACAGCAGATAAATAAATGCTCTCAGGCTAAGACCATTCAGCAGTTTATTAGCTTAGCAAGAGTTATTTCTCCACAATCGCCACTACCAAAGGATTAATATCCCAAATCAAATACAAGCCACAGGGAAAGAAATAGTTGTGGTTTTCATTTATCGATATGATTAGATCTGTTAATTTGTATCTAGTCATCCAACTATTATAAAACTTACACAAAGGTAAGTTTTATAAATTTACACAAGGTAAAATCAGTAGAACTTTATTTTGGACCCAAACTAAACTATATATCACATAAACTCAGAATGCCAAATGTTCCTAGCAGATCACAACTCCTTTTTACAACATGCTCCTTCAGAAAACTTTTTGTCTTGGAACAAATCTTGATTGAAATGCCATGTGAAGAAAATTATAACAACACCTAAATAATAAAAGCACAAAACTTAATATTCTGAATCTCCCTAATAAGACAACAGCAGATAGAAAGTGTACAAGCTTCATAGTTGTTTGTTTATATTGTCCACTCAGCAGATAAATTACAGACTCAGCAGACAGATTACAGACTTCTCCACATCTCTCCCCAAATTCTTTCCCAAGTACAACACATTCTAGAAATCTATGCAAGGTCATGAAATTGGTTTAAGCCACAAGGACAAATATGGCATTATTTCTGAACCTTCCTTCCAAAACAGTTGAGGATTCTCATTTAACGGGCATCCCTCCTACACAAAGTTAGATAAGAACTGCTCGTATTGACTTTCAGATCCCTTTGAACTCTTTAAGAGTTTGTTTTATGTTCTGATGATGAAAAGCGGGATATAATTTTTTAATTAATAAATAATTTTTAGAAAGTGAAGGTCATTCTAGCTCTCTCTTTTTCAAAATCCTTATAAACAAGGTAGTTAAAAAGGAACGTAAGGGAAATCTTATAAAATACAGGCACCTCCACACTCGTGCGAGATCAGTAAATGTGTGGTCGCTGACAGGCGCACTGTTTTTGGCACCCAAAGAGGGTGGGGCGGAATGGGGTGGAGTGGAATGGACTTGGGCATATCACACTTACATGTCTGGCAGCCAGGAATGGAAGCCTCATGTAAGCAGTGATTCCCCTGTAGGGCTATTGTAGAAATTGCTACAGTTGATCTGACTATCTCAGGGGTGCCCAAACTTTTTTCAAAGAGGGCCAGATTTGATGAAGTGAACATGCGCGAGGGCCGACCGAAGTTATTGAGCTTTTTAAAGGATTTTTTAGGATTGAAGTTGTTGAGCTTTTTTTACAATTATTTACCCCAAAGTTGTTTACTTTACTCCAGGATTAAACTGACCAGCGGGCTGGATTAGGTCCCCCCCAAAATGGACTTTGGACATGCCTGGTCTATCTGAAGGGATGCACCACGCAATCTCTGCTTAAAAGCTTTTAACTGAGGTCTAGCTCCAAACTCTTTCCATATAGTTCAGAAATGCCAAATTTCACAACTAGGCATGAAACAAGCCCTTCCAAATTGTTTGTCACCTTGAAGGCTGCCCTAAGCGAACAGCAAGGCTCTCTAAAGAAAAAATTACATAGAAATTTAACAACATTTTACTTCTCCTTGAGCTTTCCCTGATGAGGCTTAATACCAAGCGCAGAATAGATATTTTACTAGTCAGTTCTATTATAGAACCAACTGCTGCCACAAGTTAATCCCTTTAAACTAATTTTTGCTTTGAACTCACTTACCCTCCCTCACTTTCACCATCAGTAGTGTAGGCAGCTCCAGAGCTGGCTGTGAAATATATAGAGCTTGAACCTGTGGAATCACTCCTTTCTCTGGGATATACAGTACGCCTCCGCCGAATAACCTTCTGGCTTTCTTCTAGTTGAGTTCTGCAAGGGGAGATATTAACACAAGAGACACTTAAGCTGTTTAATTGTTTGTTTCCCATTAATTGTTTGTTTCCATTTTCCTTCTCTAATGCATCCACAAACCACCAAAATAATTATTCTAGTCTGCTCAGTATAATTCAGATTAGTCCTACAAAATCAGACCTTATTCAACTATTGTGTCATAGAATATAAAAGTATAACAGACATATACAAATGTTTACACAATAATTTAGCTATATCACCAATTATAACTAAGAAGGGAAACTGACAAAAGTGCATTCAACTTTATAGATTAGATAGGGCTGTGAAGTCTACAGTCTGGGATATCTGTTAGGGGGAAATCATCTAGCAACTATACTATACTAAGAAGAACTTCCAGGAAAAAATAAATGGTCATCCACTAAGAAGCATAGCAGTGCAATCCTATGCATGTGTCAGGAAAAAGTCCCATCAAGTTCAATGAAACTTCCCCCAAGGTGTGTATAGGACTGCAGCCTAGGTCAGATGTTCTTTCATTGATGCTGCTTTTCTACAGCTGTCAATATTAACATGAATCATTCAAAAGGCTTCATCCAAAACCTTCCAGTGGAGTTATTCCAGAAGTTACTCTTCCCACAATACAAACATCAACACATTTCTTAGTTTTGGATTCAATTCTGAACTGCTTGATAAACTGCTTTATACCAGTGTTCTGCTCCAGTATCAATTTTTGGGGCTGACAACCTGTTACAAATGACATTTGACAACAGATACAAAATCAAATGGTTCAAATTTTAAATACTGGTTAGTGTGATAAAGGTTGATGCTTTGTAGATAGCTGAAGAAAAAAAGAGAGGAACATGTTGAAATTAAATATCCTTGTAAGGGCATGTGCCTCTAGCATATCCATAGCTTTTTGCTGAATATCAGTGAAATTACTCTGGAAGAATTACTGTTTTACAAATAGCAGTGACAGTTTAAAAAAAGGAAAGCACAATAACAATTTCACCCAAAACATGGTTCATGTAATTTTCAGCAACCTGGAATCTGAAGGAAATAGCTTTATACTAACCTGACTTCTCCAACGATCTCTCCTGCTAAACCCCGCAGGCTATTCCGCAACTCTTCCACTTCATGTCGCAGTTCTATAAGGCTTTTGAGCACAAAGTCCAGACGGTTCAGCACTTCAGCCTGTTCTTCTTGTGTTAGATGAGCTGTATATGGGATGCTGTCACCACCTTCCACTGGTGCTTGTCTCATCCGTGGAACTAGAGAAAGAAAATGAAGCAGCTACAACACAACTAGGCATGGAGAAACTCCCGGTTCAATCCCTGGCATCTCCAGGTTTGAAGGAGAATGTCCCCTGTCAGTAACCCTGGCGAAAGCCACAGCTAGTCAGGTGGACAATACTAAGCTAGATGGATCAAAAGTCTGACTTGGTAGAAGGAAGCTTCTCCCAGAATGGAGAACCCAGAGACTTCCCAGGAAAAAGAGATAAAAACCTGCTCTGGGGAAAAATGCAGTCAGTTCCCATAGCATTGTACATATCATTGATACAGCGATGCAAACATGCTAGCCATCAACATTTTGCAGATAAATAGTACAAGGGTATATAACCTACACTAATATAACTGCTTTTCCAGTCTGCAGAAAGAGCCTTGTGCATATGCAGACTTGTACACATTAAGCATTTACAACTTAACGTCTAATTGTAATTTGTTAATTTACAGAAAAATTGAATCTTTTAATATATTCCCATTTGGCAAGTTCAGCAGAGTTGTGTCTTTATTCTTAAAGTAATTATAACTTATCAGATACAAACAGAATTCTCAACTAATCTACCCATTCATCTCAGAGCATACTTTCACTGAAATTAAGCAAATAAGAGTAATACTAGGCATGTGAATTCCAAGTTTAATGGTGATAAATTAACCTCACAACCTCTTACCAGTTTGAGTAACTCTAGTCTTAGAAAAAATAAAAGTACAAAAGATAATTTAAAAAATGGAAACCATCTTTGTACCCTGATTATAAGGCTGTAGAATTTGTGTGTGTTCTTTAGGGTCCAGAGCATTATGTTGACTCTGTACGTTTGGTGATTTGGATCTTTGCTGGGGCTTTTTTCTCTTTTGTTTGTAGAAGTAGTAGAAGAGACCTATTCCTGCAGCTGCTCCCAGGACCATACCAAGTCCCACACGGAAGACCACCATTTTGGACATGATGCATCTGAAACAATTCAAGCAGGCCATAATTTGTATTTATGAAATAGACACAACATGAAGGAGAAAGTGCTGTATTATAACACATGGTAAGTGTTATGTGCTTAACAATATTTCAAAATAAAATAAGTCTAAAATATTTACAAGCTAAGCATTTTTTAAATAAAACAAAAACAAAGAGGGTGCAGCAACATAACCGTCAGTTCTTCGATACAAGAGATAGACAGCAACCTACTTCTCAGCATATGTAAAAATAAATCCTCTGATGTTCTATCTATATAGGAGGGAAATCCTGATTTGGTGACCTCAATGGCAAATTAATGCTTAGGAGAAACAGAATTTTACACTGAAATATAATCAAATACCAAAGGTCATTCAGTGAGATTTCATTCCACATGATAAAGTTCTGTAGTTGAAGCTATACACATTTGACTCAGATAATACAGTTCAATCCAGGAGCTCAACAGGTAACAGGGAGGACACAAGTGATAACCTAGCAACCTTGCCAAAAACACTCCCATTTCAAAGCAGGTCACCGTCCGCATTAGTAGCAATTTCAAAGAACTGAAGCCACATAATCTTCTTCCCAGGTCACTCTTTCCCAATTTAGCTGCCTCTCTCACATACATGCATAAATACATACACAAATACACAGAAATCTAAACCCACTTACATGTAAATATACCAGTTTCCCCTTAATACGGTTTGTCAGCACCCTCTACATGATGTGTTTCGAGATAAGAAATACTGAGCCTTAGGGGTCCAAAACCACCAAACAGGTTTTAAACTCTTGTCTACCCAGCTCAGGCGATTTGACAATTGGGCCAAGCCTCTGACCCCGCGATGACACTGCGGTTCTTAAACCACAAACGTTACTGAAAGAAGGAGCATGTAGGGGTCGCCACCCACTGGGTGTGCTCAGAGATAGCGGGAACTGGTGAGCCGCAGAACTGAGGCACACGCCCCTTCCCCACCCGCACCCCGACCCCCACCCAGGGGCGACAGGAGGCGCGTTGCCCCAGCATCTCCCGCCGCTCCAGGCGCATGCGCAGAGAAGGCCGAGTTCTAAATTCCGAAGAGCCACATTATTGGTCTGTTTGCAGCAAAACGCTTTGAGAGAAAGAGAGATTTGTGGCACCGCAGAGAACTGCGTTGCGCCACAGCGGATCTCTTGGGCTGCATTGACAAGAGATGGAGGGTGCAATCCTGCACTCACTTACATGGGAGTAAGGCCAACTGAACTCAGTGGGGTTTACTCCAGAGTAGGCAAGTATGGGACTTACACCGTCCCTCTTTCAGAAATGAAACTAGACTCGCTCTCCCCCTCTGCCTGTGTGTAGTTCTATGTGCCCGGGAACTAATGCTTCAACAGGCAAGCGCCCCTTTCTCCTCCTTCGCCTCCTTCCCCTACTCGAAAAGGAGGCCGCGCGCGCGCCCAAAGAGTCAGGAAAGCCGCAAGGCGACGGTTGCGGCGCGCGAGCCGCTTGAGGAGGCTGAGTGAAAACTTCAAAGCGCTCCTTCTCCAGCTATTTAAATTACCGCTGCGCTTCTCGCTGGATATGTCCTCGAGCGGCCACCGTCCGCCGCCCTCCTCGTTCCCCGCGTTTCCCCCTTAGCCCGCCGCAGGCCAGTCCTCTCGCCGGCGCATAGAAATGACGTCGGGGCACGACTCATCCCTCCGCCGGTGGAAAGGTGGCGCGGAGAATTGACGGAGAGAAAGGCCACGCCTCTAGAACGTAGAGAGAAGCCGTGCCGGATCAGACCAGCGGCCGGGCAAAGCAGGCGTCCCGTTCTCACGGTGGCCAACCAGGCGCCCGTGAGAAGCCTACAAGCAGGAGCGGAGCACAAGTGTTTCTAGGAGCATTACTGCCTCCCACAGTGGAGACTACAATTCCCATCATCCCTGACCACTGGTCCTGTTAGCTAGGGATGGTGGGAGTTGTAGTGCCAAAAAACATCTGGAGGGCCGAGTTTGCCTATGCTTGAGCAATAGGGAAACACGGGTGGGGAAAACACCAGACCGGGGCGAGGCGTGGAATCAGGAGCGCCCGGGCGGATGCCTAGACGTCTGCTAGTGGTGTGTACAATTAAAACAGAGGCTGTTCTCTGCCTAACTTGCCGCGTTGGGAGATGCCCAAATTTCGAATGGTGCAAGAATGTGAAAGGGCTTGGGGTTGGTTTGGGAGCATCAATGGCTGGGAGCAGTGCCGAATTTACGTGTAAGCTAAACAAGCTATAGCTTAGGACCGCACTCTCTTGGGGACCCCCAAAAAATTAAAGGGAAAAAACTGGATGTACATTTCCAAAATATAAGATAAAAAAAACATAAAATAAAGCCTACATACAGCAACGGTGGCAAATGGCTTTAGATACCTATTAGGTCCATAAATTGCCATATAGCATATATTCAACACAAAAAACAGCAAAAAAATTGTTGTTGACAAAGGACAGCTGGACATATAAAGGGCCCCATTATCATCATTAGCTTAGGGCCTCATCAAACCTAAATCTGGCCCTGGCTGGGAGTCATGATGGATATGTTCTCCCAACATGAGAGGCAGTACGCTGCTAAATGCCAGTTGTTGGGGGAGAACAGTAGGAGAGTACTGTGGGAAACAGGATGCTGGACCATATGGGTATAGTTTTTTGGAAGTGAAGCGGCAGGGAGTTCTCTCTGTCTATGCAGCTCTCAACTCTTTAGGGAAGACTGACAGATGGAAGTTTAGGATCAGTGCTTTCTGTCTCCTAGATGGACTACCTTCCTGGGCTGATGAGCCGGATCTGCCTCTCACTTCCCTCTACAGGACATGTAGAAACCGCCTTCTTGGCTGTTGGACCTACTATTGGTCTCATCGGTTCAATGTGCCTTTCTTCGCACACAGGCAAAGTCCCTAACTCCCCAAGAGTTTGAGACCGATCGGCTACCCTCACCTGGTTTAGCTGGCCAGTCAAAGCCGTAGCTGTTCCTGGGGTATGGCTGCTGTTGCATGCTGACAGCTTCTAGTAGCTACAGGTGAGAGCTGAGTGCAGGGTGGGGACCAAAAGTGGACAGACTGCCCCAGAAGAAGCATGTCCCCCACCAGAGGTACTACCCCTCTAAAACCCCATACACCCTGGAGGTTATGATACAGGTTTAATAAATGAATAAGACTATCTGCACATTAGGAAATTTGAATCACACATATCTAATCTTACAGCTTCTGTGGCAGCACACTTTCCCCCTGGGGACTTACAACAGCATCAAAATAACCACATATTTTAAAGTTATCCATTCAATGTAAGCCTGAAAATGTCATTTTATTAATTGGACATCTAGGGTTCACCCTAAACTTGGCCCTCCAGCTGTTTTGGGACTACAATTCCCATCACCCTGACCACTGGTCCTGTTAGCTAGGAATGATGGGAGTTGTAGTCCCAAAACAGCTGGAGGGCCAAGTTTGGCCATCACTGCCCTAGGCCAAAGAATTCCAGGCCAAGCCCAACATTTCTGTCAGGTCTTTCTGCTAGTCTTAATATAGCATAGTGGCTACCAGGTCCTGGTTGCTTATAATGGTTATCAGATCACCCCATCTGGATTATTTTTATTTTTCATTTATTAAATTTGTATACTGCCCTTCACCTGAAGATTACAGGGCAGTTCACAACATAAAAATACAAAATGAGAACACAAAATACTTAAGACAAAAACAAACCAATAAACCCCTCCCACAAAAACATTTAAAAAGCCATAGAATGCTTTGTCGACCAAAGGCTGATGGAACAATGACCTGGTTCTGTATAAGGCAGCTTCCTATGTTCCAAATGTGGAAGGCAGCAGGGATGCCCACATATGCTCCACTACAATCAGGAACACTGATAACACACGGTCCCTGATTGTGCAAGATAATTCAATTCACATTCAATTTAAAGTCAATGAAAGCTCCTTGCAGATCTTCCCCTCACAACTTGGGATGGTCTGTTACCGGCTGGGTTGGGAGGAAACATATGAGGATGTTGTGTGCAATATGGGAAGGTCACTGACAAAGTGGGTTTGCCAATGCACATGGGTAAATTGAAAGGTGGGGCTCATACTAAAACATGCCTTATTAGAAGTCACAAAGTTTGGTGATGCAAGACTTTGTTATAAACAATGTATAGTAATCCCATGAGGCAAGTTGACCTGTTTTAAGTGCTCAGGGATTACACCTGCAAGTCACCAAACTTCCATTTTTTCCAGTAAACAATATTTGGCTTTGCATCATACAGATAATATCAGATCAGGACATAAGGCAGTCCCTGAAGTCTGTGAGTGTTCCAGCTATATAATACTGTTAGAAATCCGCTCTTGGCCTGTCGGGCTGCATTGCTGACGTAAGAGCTTTGGGTTGAAAGCAAATGGAATAGATTTCATCTGACAAATCCCTAAGGGTGAGTGGAAAAAGGAAACTACGTTGCTGTAAGCCTTCAAATTATTATTCACTATCCGTTTGTTATCAAGGAAGGAATAACAGAGGCTCAAGACAGCGGGAGTTTGAAGTTAGGCCTTTGCGGATATTAAAGATCCTATCTAGACAGTATTATAAATCATAGCTTGGACTGTGTTTATGGGACTTGGCTGGTGTTGGAACATCAGCCTTTGTGAAAGTAATATCAAACTGTTCTCTTTAAACTAAACCCACCATATTCAGAGTCAGACTATGGTAAAAACCCATTAAGCACTGCCATGTTCGTGATCAACACCCTCATTGTTATCAAATAAGGCAAATTCGGCCAGTTCCTATGCACACTTAAACCTATTTCAATAAGACCTACTTATAAGCGTGGATAGGATTGCAGCTTTAAACAGAAGATGAAAAAATAATGGTAATATTCATCCTTCAAGTCAGAAGTAACAACAAACAGCTTCCAGACATCTGGGATTGGGGACCAGGCTTATAGGTGCGAAGGTGTGACTCCCGGGCTGCATTGAGTCCGGCATCTCTGAACTTTCTAGAAATTGCCCACTGTGAAAGACAGGTGTGAGAAAAGGAACTGCCTTGAGTCAGACTTAGCACAGTATTCCCTACTAAGACTGGGAGTTACTTTTCAGGTCTTCCAGCTCTGTACCTGAGACCCTTTCCATAACAGATGTCAGGAATTAAGCTTTTCCTACTATTGAGCTATTGCCCTTCTTCTAGACGTGATAGTTATTAAATTAGCCCCATCCTTTTTCAGTTATGCTCTTCTGTGGTCAAAACAAAACCCGACAGTGATTAAGCCAAAGAAATAATGCATATAAGAGATAAGGAAATCCTGAATGGGTCAGCCAGCCCATCTTGTAGCCAGAGTAGCATTGTCGGAATTTAATTTGTTTTTAGTAATTGGGTTAGTACAAAATGTTACTTATTAGAGTTTTCTCTCCCATATGTTTCTTGTTTTTGATTTTATTTCTTCATGCTAACAGGAAAAGTCCTTAATTCTTTACTCATGACATCAAAATGAAAACCATTGTTCCATCATAAACACACACACAAATCCATGACCTCATTTCATGGAGCAGGATCAAAGGACAGTGACAAGGTAATATTCTAGAGTAAGGTAAGCTTAAATAATTAAGAAGAATACTAGAAAGGAAATGTAATTACTTTAATTAATTTAGTTATGCGCCAAGTTTTAGTAAAAAAATGATTTTTTAAAAAATAGTAACGTTCATGTTCCCGGGGCTGGTTATATTTGCACGTGACTTTTCGCTGCAGTGTCAACACGCTGTCAGACTTTTCATCTTGTAATGAATGATCTCTTCAACTCCAGTAAAATGGCGATGGTTGAAAGTTTCTACAAACACAAAAGAGGTTTTCCCAGACAAACAAAGAAACAAAAGGAGTGGGACCCTAGGGATAAAAATGAAAAAAAAAAATAGAATGGGGAAAAATTGAATGTGCAAATGATGTTTTTAGTCATCCAAATATATTAAGTGCGCATTTCAAGATTATCAAATCAATTCATAGAATCATAGAGTTGGAAGGAACGAACCATGTAACTTTTTGTAATTATTATCTAGATTTGTATTCCATCTTTTGTCATTTATAGCAATGTCTGTAATTTCCAAAATATCATGAACAATTAAAAATATACACAACTTAAAGCAATAAAAAAGAAACAGAATGGTCTAAAAATACTGAAAATGTGGCCTCACTGGTTCACCCCAAATTCTTGGAAGAATAAGGATGTTTTTACTTGATGGTAGAAACTCATCATGGTCTCCACCATTTGAGCTTCCAGGGTAGGATGTTACATAGTCGGGGAGCCACAACAGAAAACGTTTTTGAATGCACCACTGGTTGCTCAGACTGTGGGCACATTACCATTGACTCAGGCTCCAGTGCATTCCCATCACTGGTACACATACAGTTGCTCTTCTCTTGAAGCATCAGATCCACAGCTTGAGGGTTCTTTCTCAACCCAGCCCTGTTCCTGGATACCTAGGCAGCAACAGTGACCAGGATGACCTTTGACCTTTTTATCTTTTATGCCACTTGCACCCTTTCCTGGAAAAACCAGACCTGGCCTCAATTTCTCCTGCTCTAATCACTTTCACATTAGATTTCTGTAATGTAATGCACTGCCCTTGAAGATAGTCTGGAAGCTTCAGTGTGCAGAATGTGGATGACAGGCTTGTCTGGAGTTGGTAGATCAGATAACAGAATCATAGAATTGTAGAGTTGGAAGGGACCCTGAGGATCATCTAGTCCAATCCCCTGCAATGCAGGAATATGCAGCTGTCCCATACGGGGATCGAACCTGCAAACTTGGCGTTATCAGCCCTACACTCTAACCCACAGAGCTGTGCACAGATCAGATCACACCAATCCTTTATCAGCCAAGTGGATGCTAATTTGATAGACAGACATAACTTGGACCAAGTATATCTCAAGTATTACCTCTCCCTTTAAGAGCTAGAGAGTGGCCATGGTGCAGCCTCCCAAGAAAATTTATTTTATCTAGACAAGAAGCAAATACTGTTTTATTTCAGGGAGCTATTTTGGGATCTCCTCCATTTTAAGGATTTTACTGCTACTGCTGCTTTTAGCCTTGTTGCAAACTTTGTAAAAGTTGCTTTATTGTTTTTAGCCTTGTTGCAAATCATTGTAATAGTTGCTTTATTGTTTGTAAACTGCCTCGAATATATTTTATACTGAAAGGAAGGATAGAAAAAGGATGTTCGCTCTGTGTAGGAAGCTCTCTGTCTCTTAATTTAACCATGTTGGCTGATCTCAAGAAACTATGAACAATCTTAATAAACTCAAAGATTAGTTGTAGCACTTATAGAGTGAAGAAGAAAGCATTAATTTGAAAAAGCTGTTGCAACAACAGAAAAGGCACACACAAATCTTGCTTAAAAAGCCATTTATCTCTAATATTATGTAAAGGAACCAAACCATAATTTACGAGGCAGCTAAATCACCTCAAGCCTTCTTAAACATGAATTGCATGAAAAAGCTCAGAGCACAATTGGTTGCTGTTATGTTCACCCCACTTCTCTGAGTGATGAAAAGTTCTGAGGGCACAGCACACACCTGAATTTGGTTTCCTTTGCATGAAGGTTACTTGAGACTTAGGGTGTTTTGTAATGTTTGAGTTTATTTAAAATTATGCCGACTGAACAAAGATATCCATGAAAGCAACAGTGAAGCAGAAAATGAGATGCTCTGTTAAATTACAAATGAATCATTTATTCTATATTTCTTCCATCATGGAGCTCAAGGCAGCATATATGTGGTTTCAGGTACTCACCCACCCTAGCACTGACCCAGATCCAGACCTCATCAGTTTTAGAAAGACGGTGGCCTCATGTGTCCTCAGACTATACCTTGAGACCCTGAGAGGTTTGTGCTTTTTCCTTCAAAGATAATAAAATAATAAATACAAGACAAAGGAAATGAATATGTAGAGACTGTTCCGTGCCCCACATTTGCTATTTCAATATTATTATTCTGTTGTGCACAGCCCCACCTCCTGGTTCAAAAGCAAAAAAATGAGTGAAAGATTGCTCCCCCAACCTTCAAACTTATTGCTCTATTTAAAGGAAGTCTATGAAGAGTATTGTTACAAGCCACCACAACCTCCACAACAGTGTTAGATTCCAGGGGTCCAGGCACTTACCCAGGATTCGTGTTTCCTTTGGAAATGAGGCACAGCGGAGACTATGGTGTCTTTAAGATAATAAGGTTTATTTACACTTATATACAACCTGAGCCTGCCATGGAGGGGTTCAGAGCACTGCCGCTGCCCCCGCCACCCATAGACGTAGTCCTGGATTCAAATAAAAAATAGACATCCTCAAAAACATGGCCCTCTCTTCAGCTTGCTGACTTTTAGAAACTGCCACAAAACTCCATCCTAAATTACCCTTTGTCTTTCTAACTAACTGACCATTGAGGGAGGGGGCCCCCTTCCCACTTGCCCTCTGGCACACAGCCACTCCTTTTGAGGCCACCTGAGCTTCAAGCGACAGCAAAGGATTCAGGAGTACCCCCAAGTTACATGCCCGCTCCTTCAGGGAAGGAATGGAAACCCTAGCGAGGGCAGATTAATGTTGCCATGTACTGCAGTAAATATTTTTAATTATATTCAGTGCTTTTTTTCTGGGGGGATGAAGGAGTAGCATACCCCTAAACATTTTGTGAATCTTTGTACTTTTGTCCGTTTACTGTATTTAATTTTCCCTATAAAATGGTGATTTTCTTGAGTCAAAATGAGAGTACCCCTAGACATTTTTTACAGGAAAAAGCACTGACTATATTACATCCAGCCAAACCTAGACAGCATCTTAAAAAGCAGAGACATCACCTTGCCAACAAAGGTCCGTATAGTTAAAGCTATGGTTTTCCCAGTAGTGATGTATGGAAGTGATAGCTGGACTATAAAGAAGGCTGATGGCCAAAGAATTGATGCTTTTGAATTATGGTGCTGGAGGAGACTCAAGAGTCTCAAGAGGACTCTCAAGAGTCCCATGGACTGCAAGAAGATAAAACCTCTCAATTCTGAAGGAAATCAGCCCTGAGTGCTCACTGGAAGGACAGATCCTGAAGCTGAGGCTCCAATACTTTGGCCACCTCATGAGAAGAGAAGACTCCCTGGAAAAGACCCTGATGTTGGGAAAGATGGAGGGCACAAGGAGAAGGGGACGAGATGGTTGGACAGTGTTCTCGAAGCTACAAACATGAGTTTGACCAAACTGTGGGAGGCAGTGGAAGACAGGAGTGCCTGGCGTGCTCTGGTCCATGGGGTCATGAAGAGTCGGACACGACTAAACGACTAAACAACAACATTACATCCAGCCAAACTGAAATGCTTCTCATTCCCATCGAATTCTTCGGGAGAGTAAAACTAAAGTTTGCAGTCCTGTGCGTGCCTTATTTTGTGACATGTATAGGATCGCACTGGAAGATCGGCAGGTGTATCATGCCGTATATTTCACAGAGGGGGTGCCGACGGAGGCTGGTCTATGAGGGCATATGGGGCACCGCCCCACCACCCTCTTGTCTGTCTGCGGCGACAGAAACGCCTGAAGGGAGGAGCAGGAGGAGGTTGGTGGCGGTGCACGGCTTTCGACGCGGAGGAGTTTAAGGCTGTGGGGGAAAAAGGCTCTGCCCCGCGGAGCCTTGTGGCTGTGGGGTGACCCACCCGGGTATGCAACGCAGCAGAGTGCGGACGAGAGGGGGACCCCCCGCACGTGACCCCCTGGCAGTCCAGTTCCGAGCGCAAAAGCGACCGAACGCCGCCGCGCGCCCCTTAAGCCGCCCGCGCCCCCGAAGCCAAGCAATTCGCGTTCCAGCGCCGCAGCCCGCTCGCCGATTGGCTCCTCGGAGCGAGGGCGTGGCCGCGGCGTGGCAGGATGTCACGTGGGCGTTGCGCTGCAAAAGCGGGGCGTGCGGGAGCGGCGGCCACCTTGAGGGCAGCGCTTCGCGACGGGGCATCATGCCGTACGTCCTCATCAGTACTCAGATCCGCATGGTGAGCAGCTCGGGGAGAGCTCTAGGTGGGCTTGCCGGGATGGTGCTGAGCAGGAGCCCGTCGGTGCCCATGCCCAGGAAGGCGAGGGGCGGCCCCGAATGAGTTGCTGCCCGCCCGTGTCCGCTTGCAGAGGGGGACTGGGGCGCGGGACAGAGTTGATCCCATTTGCCTTGCAGGAGGTGCCGCTGCTTCCAGGCTATAATACGTCCCTGCATTAAATAGCGGCCGGCCCTTGTTTCTCGCTTTGGCCTCTGAGCGTGCATAAGTATTTTCGGATCCCGATGGGGCTGCCTCTTTCTGTGCCTGTGCTGGTGGCGGTGTGATTGGCAAACCCCCCCCAGGGTGGCTTTGTGATCTCGGCATGGATCGAAACATACCTGGCTGTTTCCTGGTTTCCTTCCTTTTTCAGGGATGCCACCTGCTAAAGTGTCCAGGTAACTTAGTGCAGCAGTTCTCAACGGATGCTCGACAGGTGGCTTCTTCCGCTGAGCGATGGTCCCGAGGGTGGTCTGTCTGTTAGCGTGAACCTACTGTGGATATATCTCAGTGTATCAGACGGGCGCCAAGTTTGCCTTTTTGATGCTAAAAGTTGCTGTTATTCAGGCTGAGGAAGCAACCAGTGATTCTGTAGAATAGTTGCGTGATAAGACAGTTTGCATGTCCTAGATTACAAACTGATAGCGCTTACTTTTTGTCTCCTTGACAAAAATAACGGACTGAAGTCCAATACTGTATGTTATAGCTTTGCATGACAAGCAGCTTGAGTCTGATGTAAATTTAGACAATGCTGCCAGAAGTTCTGTTACATGTGAATGACTAATAACTGCTTATTTATGTAGAAGATTTTAGTATTCAAATCAATTTACATATTGGTACATTATTGTTGTAATTCTTATGACAGCTCCACAAGTTAGGGCAGTTTTATTACTCGCATATTGTAGATGGGAGGCTGCGGCTCAAAGAAAGTGGTTAGGTTAATATTATCTATTTTCATGCCTGAGGTAAGATTTGAACCAAGGAATTCCTGATTCCTATATTAGACTGTTAGCTACTGCACTGTACTAGCTCATCCTACAAAAAATGGTAGAAGGCTACTATTTTGTATATTGTACCTTTTCTCCTAGGAGTTCAAAACAGCATATATAGTCTCCTTCTTTCTATCCTCAAAACAGACCTGTGAGAGGGGCATATATATGTATGTACAGTATGTGTATGTGCAGGCATGTAAGTATGTATGTATATATGTATTTATGTGTTTGGTGGTTTGTATGTGTATGTGTATATGCCTAGATGGAACCAAATGAGCACATTTAAAGCTGCTTGATGCATTATATTTTATCTGCACACTTAAAAATGTAATGTGACGCAAACCCCAGGGAAAGGACCAGAGCTAAGTAGTAATGCTTATGCTTTGCATACAGAAGGTTGGGAAACACTCTGAAATTGCATACCCTGTGAATATTATTTCAGCACTGCTCAGTCTGTAAATTACAGTGGAAAGATTCCATGCCATGGTAACTCCCATTGTTTGCAACTTGTGTACATAATGCAGATTAGGCATATCTTCACTCACTCTTTCCCATAATTTAGGCTGGAATCCTAAACACATCTGAGATCATGCATCGTTAAACTTACTTCTGAGTGGATATTTATTGGATTGTACTGGGCATGGAAGGGACGAGGCTAGGCATGGAAGCCGCATCTCCTAGCCAACTGAAAATGTCACTTGGCCTTTGCTGAGCACTGCCCCCACACATTCCAATTTATTTTTGCCCATAAGGACTAGAAGCTTGAGCCAAGGGAAAGGAAAGGAAAACTGTAAAGCTGAATTTCTGGTCCCCTTTTGTACTCTATGCTTTTGTGGAATCTCAGAATACCAACAGCTTTGTATGTGGTGGCAGCTTTGTATATGGTGGCACATATACCAGTTCTTTTCTGCTTTACTAAGCACGCATGCCTGGAGCCACCCCTTACTCCTAGGTTTGGCTCTGCTGCTACACCAGTTCCCTCAACCTGCAGAAAGCTTATGTAGTGATTAAACTGTGACCAGTCTTGGTTGAGCGGTCGCTCTGATTTTCTTATAGGGTGGTTGTATGACTATGAGCATTCATCTTGATTTGCTTGCCTTCCCATTATTCAGTCATTTATCCTACATTTCCCAGTGCATTTCCATGTCACTTTTTGAGCTGCAAAAAGTGTGTTAAGTGAATTTGTTGCATTGCACCAACCTAAATCTCTGATACATGTTTTAATAATAATAATAATAATAATAATAATAATAATAAAAAATACTACCCCACCCATCTGACTGGGTTTCCCCAGCCACTCTTGGGTGGCTTCCAGCACATATAAAAACATAATAAAACATCAAACATTAAAAACCTCCTGGTACAGGGAAATCCCTTCTGCAAAATAGTGACTGCTGGGAAGCACTTTGAGTCTAGCTTTTTTAATGTGTTATTTCTCAACCTGAGTGACTTCGGGCAAAGGGGGGCAGGAACTGTGCAGATGTATTGCTCTGTTCTTGCTGGGTAGAGACTCTAGCAGAGTCCCATTATATTCATTGCAGGGGCCTCTGTCTGCCAGCCAGAGTATCAAGCTGCATGGGCTAGGTGTATTGAATGTTAGCAAAGGAAAGAAATGGAGTTACAAAACAACTGGAAACTGAGTGAAGAGTGGCAAAGGGCAACGTGGAAGAAACTTCCAGTCATTTTTATCTGTAAACACAAAGGCAGTGTGTTGCAGTGCATAGTGAATCAAATGGGGTTGCACAATCGTGCTTTAAAAATCGAATAAAACTTAAAAATTCCAGTTCCTCTCTGATACACAAATGGATACTCTTGCCCTCATTTGTTATGAAAAGCTCTATCAAGTTTCACCTTTGCTCCCTTGTGTCTCTGTGTGGTACACTCTACATTGCAGCACATTAAAAAAAGAAGTTTTTAAGAAATCTGTAGTGGATCATGTCGGATAACCAGCCTCAAATAACCTACATGCTTAGGTCTAATTTATGCGTGAAGGGATTAAGACCATAGAGTAAGCTGTCTTGCAAGGCTTAGCCCACCTTGGGCGGGACTAGGTAATCAAGACTTCGTTTCTGTCAGCCTACCTTGGTTGCTCGAAGCTCAGACCACATGACTCTAACAAGCCTTTCTTGAATTCCTATACAAATAATTTAGGAACTTTTACCACTGTAACTAAGTCAGGTTTACTGCCTGCAACTTCTTCTGAATGCTGTGTGGAAAAGCACATGAATATGACCTTTGCAGAGTTTGTAAGTAAACCATTTTTAACTGACCAAATGTGTGGTCTTTTTCTATGATGAGGAAGAAGGGTTTTTTTGGAATTTACAGGGGGATAATTTAAAGGTCTACCAGCCTATGCTTCCATGCTTTACTTTGCTGCATATTTTGTGATGTGAAAACTCTGCTGGGGTTCTCTCACCAAGGAGTACTTGCCCCAGACTTGGATCTTGGCATCTAGAAATTCTCCTTTTTTTACCTACAGTATTTTCCCCTTGCCACCAACATATCACACATTTGCTTAAGCAATAAACACCACAATCCTACTGTTTACTCACAAGTAAGTTGAGTTCAGGGTGACTTGCTCCCAAATGAATTTGTTTAGGATTACACCCTCAGTATGAATAAATTCTAGCTTTCTATAGGAGTCTGACATTTTTTTATTTGCAATGCATATTTTGTAGGAAATGAAAGGGGAGCAAATTTTGAGAAGCTTTAGAACACTGACTAGACCATTAACTAATATGAATAAAGAGGGGGGGGGAACCATAGGGTGACAACATTTTGTTGTCTGCCTACAGCCGTTTCAAACAATGCAAGTTTCTCTTTCCCAAATACAGTCCAGGGATGTACAAAGCTTATTCACCAGTTCCTGCAGCACTCGGTCCCTTTACTCAAAGGGCTTATGAAGCTGGAATGCCAAGTCATTTCCTGGACAAATTGGCCAGGAAACGCTGTTGCACTGAATATGTTTTCTGCTGGACAAGAGGGTTTGCGAGGTCATTTGGCTATGGCGTGCTCTTGTAGACATTGCTCTGCAGTGCATGCCACAGTGAGCGTGAAAGAGCTCCTTCGTGGTTTCTGAATAAGCTGTGGCAGTTGCACTGTTTTCTTCTTTCCCTTTCCTGAACCGTGGTCTGGTCACACAGTGGACCCTTTTAGCGTTGCAGCCTCTTTGTCGCACAGCCATTGTGGGTTCCCTTTGCTGTTTGGCAAGCATCTTGACCTTTGGGGTAAAAGTTGCTTCTTAGCATATTTTGAGACTCCATGCTCTGAACATTTTAAAGCAGTATATTTGCAAAGTGGCTCCTTTGAGATCTAAGTAAGATTTTGCAAGCATTCAAATGGTTCACCTTTAGCTTGTGGTGAGTAGGAAGTGGCTCCAGGCAATTAGTCAAAGCTGCTGCTGCTGCTTCTTCTTCTTCTTCTTCTTCTTCTTCAGTGGAAAAGAAGTGGAAGTGCTCTCCGCCTCTCTCCTTGCTCCCCTTATAGGTTGATATGACTTGTAAGTTTGGGCAGGCAGGCTAGGAAAAAGTGTGGCTAGTGATCTTGGTTGCAGCTAAGGCTTGTTCAGCGTCCTAAGTGCCTCTAAGTAGCGTAACTGTTTAAACAGTTATTCTTCTAACCCTTCACTGCGTTTCTCTTCTCTCTAGTTAATCTGAATTTAAGCATAATAACTAACTTGGCAGGATAAACGATGCATATGGAAATCCTGGTGTCCCTTGTTCAGCCTGCAGGAGGAGCTCTAGCAGAATGTTTCTCGTTTTGCATTCCTGCTGTATCCACCTTCCTGGGCCATGCATAGAAGTCTCTGAGTCGCTATAAATAATATCATCATTGGAATAAGGAAAAAATAAGAGTAATCACTCAATATCAGGATGGCCACAAGTTCCTGACCCTTGGATTAGATGGATTAGACACTCTTGCTAGATGGACTGAATGAATGCCCTGATCCCAGTATGATTTTCAGTAATGAAACCGGGTATTTCTCCCTGCAGGAGGTTGGGCCCACCATGGTTGGGGATGAGCACTCTGACCCAAACCTGATGCATTACCTTGGGGCCACGAAAAGAAACATGCTGGGGAACCATTTGTAAGTATTTCTGTGGGTATTTGATCTCCCATCTTTTTGCTTCTCCATCCTTTGGTTAACCAGTCAGAGATTTTGAGAGTATAACGTGACTGTCGCCTTTTGATTTTGCATGTGCACTGCAAATTCAATACTTATGGGCAATTCAAATGTCCTTGTGTTCATCACAGGATGCCTGCAGTATCAAATAGCGCCTTGCATGTGTGAATAGGCCATCACAGCTACAGCACTGCAGGCAAGATGTTTCTATCACCTCTCAAACTGGAGGTTTTTCAGTGGATTTCGTTCCACACATCCAGTTGCTAGTCTAAATGAAACAAAAATAAAGTAACAAGTGTAGATAAGCCAAGTGAATATGAGAACCAGACTTCAGTTTAGTTTTTAGGCAATACTGAGTTCAATAGACGAGTGGTTTGACCCGTACAGTGTAAGGCAGTTTTTTATATGTTCATATGTGAATTGGAATCTAAAATTTGGAGGCACAGTGAAAAGTCCATTACCAACTCAGTGTCTGCATTCTATGTCAACATGTGGAGGGCACCATGTTGGCTACCCCTGATCTAAGTGGTTAAAAACATTTCCTCACACACTGCATCTATGGCCAAACCGTGCCCTGCTGGTCACCTTCATCATTCAGCTCTGTGAAAACTATGTGTATTCTTTAGGATGGATGGAACACTCCACCCTGCTGCCAAGATGTTTCCTGGACTTCAGTCCAAAGTAAATGAAAAGAGTCCTCTTCAGGCCTAGCTGGATCCACCCCTTCCATCTCATCCCCTGCTGGCCCTGCCTCTGCTATCCATGCATTAGGGAGGGGAAAATCTGAAGCAAGAAGCCTGCTGTATACTTGTACACTCGCAGGTCAGGCTCCCTGCTTTAGACCTTTCCACTCAATGCATGGGCAATGGGGTTGTGACCAGCAAGTGTGGCCCCACTCTTCCTCTCATGCAGTAAACATTGTGTGAGGGCTTAATGCCAGAGTAGGGTTGGAACAACAGTAAAAAAATAAAATAAAAATGAAGGCCCATTCATGCTGATAAATTTCAGGAGGAGTGTTCCAGCCACTGTCCCTTGCAGGACTTTCATCTTGCTTCAGCCCCTAAATATATAGGAAGCTGCCTTGCACTGAGTCAGACCATTGGTCCATCTAGCTCTAAATTCCTGCACTGACTGGCAGCAGCTCTCCAGGATTTCAGGTGGAGCTCTCTCCCAGACCTACCTGGAGATGCCAGGGATTGGACCTGGGACCTTCCGCATGCAGGGTAAATGTTTTACCACTTCCTCATCATTAGTTCAACTTCTGCCTTGTGCATTTTCCCCTTCCTGTCCTCAGTCTGTTTTCAGTCTGGTGTTCCTTTGACACTCTCTCAAGTATGTCTGAAGCCCTTTTCAGGTGTTATAATCTCCCCCACAAGTAGTATTGTGTGATGAAGAGCACCCAAAGCTTTGGCCCACCATCACTGTTAATGTCGCCCTCCAATGCTGGAGAGTGAACTTTTGAAGCAGGAAGCCTCCTATACTTGTGGAAGGTCCCCACACAATACAGAACCCTGTAATTACGATTTAAACACACAGTTTTGAAGGTGATACTTTATTGTTTCATAACTATAAGGTGAGACTGAAAATCTCTTGAAACAAACAAGTATTTCAGATTTGAAGAAAAAGAAAATTAAGGAACATTTTTCTCCCACATGAATATTTACCTCAGAGATAAGAACTAAGAAATGGTGAAGAAGAACTAGCATCCCCCCCTTGTCATTTATAATCATGCCCTTCTTAAAACCACAATGCACTCTTAATGATGTTTTCTGCTCTTTCCCTTCTCATTGTCGTATTCCCTGATCGTACAGTTTATACTTGAAAGCAACTATTTTACTAGTAGAGAAAAAGCGATTTAATGTGTAAAATTGCATTGCTGGAAAATGGCATTTGTTGGAAGCACCAGCTTGTCTTGAGAGGCCCCCTAGAATTCTGATCAGCTGCCTTCCTGCAAGTGCCTTCAAGAAGGAGTGAGGACCTTTAAGCCTTGGGTGATGAGTGTGGCCCTCGAGGCCTCATTTTGACCCTTGAGACTGTCCCTAGGCCAAGCCCCCTCCAGGTGTGTGCATGTGGGGGAAAACAACCCTCTGGCTTTTGTGTGGACGGAATGTAGCTTCATGTCGAAAGGTAACAGGGAGAAATGTAAAGTATTGCACTTGGGCAAAAAAAATGAGAGGCACAAATACAAGATGGGTGACACCTGGCTTGAGAGCAGTACATGTGAAAAGGATCTAGGAGTCTTGGTTGACCACAAACTTGACATGAGCCAACAGTGTGACGCGGCAGCTAAAAAAGCCAATGCAATTCTGGGCTGCATCAATAGGAGTATAGCATCTAGATCAAGGGAAGTAATAGTGCCACTGTATTCTGCTCTGGTCAGACCTCACCTGGAGTACTGTGTCCAGTTCTGGGCACCAAAGTTCAAGAAGGACACTGACAAACTGGAACGTGTCCAGAGGAGGCCAACCAAAATGGTCAAAGGCCTGGAAACGATGCCTTATGAGGAACGGCTAAGGGAGCTGGGCATGTTTAGCCTGGAGAAGAGGAGGTTAAGGAGTGATATGATAGCCATGTTCAAATATATAAAAGGATGTCACATAGAGGAGGGAGAAAGGTTGTTTTCTGCTGCTCCAGAGAAGCGGACACGGAGCAATGGATCCAAACTACAAGAAAGAAGATTCCACCTAAACATTAGGAAGAACTTCCTGACAGTAAGAGCTGTTCGACAGTGGAATTTGCTGCCAAGGAGTGTGGTGGAGTCTCCTTCTTTGGAGGTCTTTAAGCAGAGGCTTGACAACCATATGTCAGGAGTGCTCTGATGGTGTTTCCTGCTTGGCAGGGGGTTGGACTCGATGGCTCTTGTGGTCTCTTCCAACTCTATGATTCTATGATTCTATGATTCTAAGAGTCGCATCAATTGCTGCATCCACTTTTACCTCTAACCCCACCCACCACTGGCATGTTTCCCCTGGAAGGTGGTACATGAGAGAATGTGGCCTTTGGACTGAAAAAGAGTTACCTGCCACTGAGTTCTCGTGCTCACCAGAGAAGTGTCCTTGTTCATTTCCAGCAGGTGTGTGGCAACTATGTGGTGGGATGTAACAACAACAACAACTTTATTATTCATACAACAGCAGCAGCAGCAACAACAACAACAACAACAACTTTATTATTCATACCCTGCCCATCTGGCTGGGTCTCCCCAGCTACTCTGGGTGGCTTTCAGCATATCTAAAAACACAAAACATCAAGCATTAAAAACCTTGATGCGAGAGGAATCCTACCTGAGACCTTGTTTTAGATTGGATATAGTCAATATGGTGCCCTCCAGAATTTGTGAATTGCAACTCCCATCAGCCCCAGAAGGCAGGGCCAATGGTCAAGGATGATGGGGTTTGTAAACCAAAACAACTGGAGGGCAGCACGTGGCCCTTCCCTGCTCTAGGGCTTGCTGTGAGAAGTGTCACTCCCTCATGTCAACTTTTGTACTTGTCTCTGGCTGATGTGTCTCCAAACATTGCAAGTTCTAATTCTTACCCCATCCATTTCTAGGATGCAATCAATGTTTAGTCAGTAGATGCTTTTCCTGTCTCCATTGCCACGGCAAAAAGCTGCGTAGCTTGCCTCCTCCCTTTTGTAATTGAAGAGGAGGAAGAGGGGGAAAAACAAAAAACAAACCTGCCTTGGTGGAATGTAGGGCTATACTTGGCATCTTTGCTGTGGGTGTGAAAACCTGCATTCCAGGAAGGTTAAGTCAGAGGGATCAGTTTAGAGAACCAAGTAGGAACACAACCAAGGGAGGCCTATTAAAATATCAAGGCAGAGATTGAGCCATACTAAGGGAAGATTGCTTTTCTAAGCAATTATGGCGCTCTTCAAGTTGTAAACGACTTGTGAAGGGCATATCTACAACACTTAAAGTGTTATAACTAAGTAGCTTCTAACTGTATTAAAAATCCAGTTGCACTAAATGATTATGCAGGTAATCCACTCTTTCAGTAAAATAATTCCTGTTAGTTTTAAAGCAGATGTAGGGAACCTGAGGCTCTCCAGATATCGTTGGATTCTAGCTCCAGCCAGAATGGTCAATGTTGAGGGATGATGGGAGTTCTGGTTCAGCCGGAACTGGAAGGTCACACGTTCCCCACCCCTGTTTTAAAGGTGCAAATGGATGGTTTTTTAATTGAAAAAAGTATTTTGGAGTAAGCCTGGAAATCTTAAAACAAGCATGCATCAGCTGGGATTACAAATGTAGTTAACAAGAAAGTACCTAAATAAATGGAGATTGTGTGGCTTGATCTGGGTCATACACAGCCATGGATTTCCCCACGGAGCAAGACAACCTCTCATCTAGCTCGAAATATGTGGCAAGAACCACAGAAATGTCAAAAATGTTTCGGCGATGTTAATTATCCTTTGTTTGGATGTATCAAGAGCAGAGTCGATTTGGATTCCCTTGTTAATTTCTTCTTATCAGTTAGATTCCCAAGTTGTAGGCCGTCCTTCCTATTTCCTCATTATTCAATGGGCATTTTAATGTTTCTATAAGTGACCCCTAAACTGAAAAAAGAAGATAAGCTGAAGATTCCACAGCCAAGTTCAACTCCAAACTTGCATTTACAATTGGTTTTGACCTCACTCTGCCATGAAGTGTGTAAGCTTCATGCTAATCCTATCTAGATCACCCAATACCCAAGTTGGCAAGAGCTGATGGGAGTTGTGGTCCAAAACATCTGAAGGGCACCAGGTTGGATAAAGCTGCTCCAGATCAGGGGTCGGCACCCTTCTTCAGCCGTGGGCCGGTCCACTGTCTCTCAGATCATGTGGTGTGCCAGACTATATTTTGAAGAAAAAACATGAATGAATTCCTATGCCCCACAAATAACCCAGAGATGCATTTTAAATAAAAGGGCACATTCTACTCATGTAAAAACATGCTGATTCCCGGACCGTCCGCGGGCCGGATTGAGAAGGCAGTTGGGCCGCATCTGGCCCCCGGGCCTTAGGTTGCCTACCCCTGATCTGGATGGTGTGATTGGTCTGTATGGAGCCTACTACTAGCAAATCAGAGGTTAAACTAACCCCTTTCCAGGCCCAGGAGGAGCTGGAAAGAACTACCTTTGGCCCCAAGGCCTGAGGTTTCCCAACCCTGTCCTAAGTCTTCCAAAAAATTGGGCTGGCAAAGCCGTAACTGGGCATAACCCTGATCTGTACCACTTTAGTTTACACGTCCAGTTACTTTCTACAGATTGCGCTGTCAGAACCTTGAGGGAATTTGGTAGCCTTCCCCAAGTGGCGGTTACAGTTCAGTTGAAGTTATTTGGGAAACTGCTTCTTCTCATTGTTTCCACATCTTGTTTACAACAGCTGGGAATACTATGTGCACGATGCCCCTCGGATCGTCTTGGACAAGCTGGAGAAGCGTGGTTATCGTGTGATCAGCATGACGGGAGTGGGCCAGACACTGGTGTGGTGCCTCCACAAAGAAAGTACAGAGAACTCTGATTTTCTCTCTGCTCAAGATATTGCTGTAAATCGCCCAGCATAGTCCTGCCTTCGTTTTCCAGCGTGTTACTTGTTTTAAGGCATTATGAAACATAGGTACCACTACCACAAGCGCATCATAGGAAGGTGGCCCAGTTAGGGCTGGCGTTGGCCTGAAGAGATCAATCCTTTTTGAGCATTAATTGGAATGCCAGTCCAGAACTGCCAATATAGCAGCATTATCCTCATTTGTTCCTTTTGAATGATGAAAAGCTGGCATTAAAGTAACTCTCTCAGGCTAGAGTGGCTGAGGGGAGAAAAGGCCAAGCTTATAAGTTTGTTACTTTGCTGAGAAAGGGGTGGGTGCTGCTGCAGAACAAGTTGATCACCAGTAAGCACAGCATATCTCCAAGCTGAAAATAATCTAGGGTGAACTCAAGTTAACGAGTATGAATAGAATCCTGAATGTGGTTTTTTTAGTTACCCCTTCTATATGCAAACTGGAAAATGGAGGCGAAAGGTCCTGTAAATATTTGAACATCAGTTTTGTAATTGTACCAGTCCATTCATTGCTGGGATTATTTGGAACTGTGTTTATGCAGTTAGCCATTCTTAAAATAGCTGGCAAAATAAAATAATTTAACAAACAGACTTCACATTGTCCAGAGTTTAATTCCTTTGAAGTAGCAGTGGGCAAGCGTTTTAACTCTTGAATGAATTTCAGAGAAATAATGAGCAGCTGCCGCTAAAAGGCTTTAGAAGAAGTACACAGATAATGACCCTGGATATGGGCCAGTTCCTGCATTGCCAGATAATGAATCAGAGGCCCACAGCCTTAGTAGAATCATAGAATTGTAGAGTTGGAAGGGACCACAAGGGTCATCTAGTCCAGCCCCCTGGAATGCAGCAATCGTTTGCCCAATGGGCTCAATCCCACAACCCTAAAGTCTCATGCTCTACCAACTGAGCTATCCCAACTTGTACAGCCTTCCATTCTTCAAGAAGCTGTAGGAACATGGCAGTATCATGGGCTATTTACTGATTTAGTAGTGTAGTGCCAAACCATTTACTCCCCTTGTGTTTGAAAATATGGTCATGTACTGTGGCCAACACTGATTATATAGAATCTCCATGTTTCCCTGTTAATGAGAACAGTGAGAAAAGACCAAAAACAGCACCAGTACCTGCCATGATGATTGCTGCAGATTTGAGGGTGCATCCAATGTATTTCAGAACCCTTTTTTAAAAAAAAGCCTTCCATGTGGGAACAGAAGCAATAGGTTTCTCAAAGGTCCATTGCACGACAACCTTCTGGTGACTTCTTCTCAACTAATAAATGCAACCAATGTGTCTATCTATTCATCACATCACCATTTCAGTGTCTTTGAAACTCCCTTTAACACACAATTTTTTTAACACAGAAGTTGCTGGAGATACCTTGTAAGCATGGCAATCATTTATATAACTTATACCCATCTGTGGAGTTGCCAACAGCAGGAACCATTTTCTGGCAGTTTCCATAAGATTAAAACTAGCCCATGGTCTGTCAATGGGAGGAGAAACTTGACTTGGTAGCTTTGACAGTGTGGGCACCCGATATCTAAGCAGAAGCAGAGCCACACACCACCAGATTTATACCCTTATTGAGGATGATCAGTTTATTTTTCAAAGAAAACCACGGCTGTTTTTAAAAAGGATATTTATTGACTTAATTTAAGTATAAGCAAACACACAAGATAATGCTATTTTTCTCCTTGTACTATGTGGAAGGTTCTTCCTCATCTTCCTGTTTCATCTGCTCAATCAGCTTCTGTCTCTCAGCGGCTTGGCGCATCCGCATCATCACGAGGCTTTCGTAATCCCGCTCCGAGACAACTGAACCCTAAAGAAAAAGGGATGGTAGGAAAAGTAAGGTGGGATCCCTGCTAGTTCTTTCAGAAGTCCTAAAATAAACACCACCACAATGGCACAAGAAAAGAGGTCTTCTGGTGCAGAGTACCTTACAGACATTACTAGCTAATGTTTATTGGCGCTAAAGATTGCCCAAAGTGGGGACAACTCTAATGTAGCCACTCCAAGCAAAATGTCATGCCAGAAAAAGTAAGCTCCTCCACTCTCAACTATTACAGTTGTGGCAGTTCTCATTACTACAGGTAATTGTAGCCTAGCTCACAGGGTGGTTGTAAAGGTAAAATGGGTGTGCAAGGGGACACAGACCCAAGCTAGCTCCTTACTGAAAAAGTGAAACAGAAATGTAATAAATGATAAATAAATTTCCTTTTGCTACAATATAACAGGAAGTACTAAAGCAGCATCATAAATGTTCTAGGATCAAAATACTGTCTACTGCCTTAATTTTACAGGAACATATTATCACTTTAATTAAGAATAGGCAAAGCACTGCAAATACTCTTTTGAGGAGGGTTCCAGAATCTTAACTAGTGATTTCTTCCTCAGATTCCAAGAAGAGAACAATACAAATCCCCAAATCTAAAATTGTTGAAAACGAAACATCTTACATTGAGGGGATTCCCCTGGCCTAATATCCTGTAAAACCAGTGGAACCATTATCCTGGAAATTGTGTGTCATTTTATTTCTCAGCACTTTATTAAACAGATTCTATACGTAAAGATTTAGTGTTGTTGAGTCTCAAGAGGACTTATAGGTGGTATGGCTCTTTAATACTAACCAACCGCTTTTCACTTTCAGCTTGGAGCTATCCAGTTCATAAACCAGAGTAAAAACAGCAATTTTTGTACATTCCTGATTAGTCAGGCCTTTTTAAAAATTTGAAGGCAGTTGGCACCTTATATTTGTGACTTAATTGCTTATGTAACATATAATGGTGTAAGAATACAATATAAAGAATAATAGAATCGTAGAACTGTAGACTTGGAAGGGACCCCGAGGGACATCTAGTCCAACCCCCTGCAATGCAGGAATCACTAAAGCATCCATGGTAGATGACCATCCAACCTCTGCTTAAAAATCTGCTGGACTGGATCAGACCAAGGTCCTCCTGGTTCAGCATCCTGTCTCCAGGAGTGACCACCAGTCAGGTGTCCCTGGACAGCTGCAAGCATAGCGTGATTATTTGCTTCTGTCTCTTCACCACACCTGATAGTCAGAATCTTACTGCCTCTGACCATGAAGGTGCCATTTGGGGGCGGGGAGAGATCCCATCTCCAACCCTAGGTAGAAATGCACAGGTCCCTTGAACTTGCAATTCTGAACTGGGTCTTATTGTATTTCCTTGTCCTCCCCCTCCTCCAGCAGCTACACTGAAAAGTTGTTCAAGTAGTATTCCATAGAAGCCCTGTATTCTCTTGAAGCTTTGTATGTGTGGGCTGACACTTCACAGGTCTACACACCTACTTCCTGCAATCTCTGCAATTAACTAATAGTGTAAATCCCAGTTTCTGATGTAACTGAGTCAGCAAGGGCTTGGCACAGAACACGCACAAAGGAATTGCCACCAGCAAAACACATGAGTGGCTGAGTGAGAAGGGCAAGGAGTAACACCGAAGGAATGGTGTTCTAAAGGTAGAGCTGAGAAGATACAGTGGACTTTTAAACATGGACACAGGTATGCTGTGCCCTGGGCTGGAAGGACTTCCTTCAAAATTCCCCTCTGTCTCACAGTAAGTAGCGACTCTATATTTCATTTTCTTCAATGTTAAGCTCTGCAACTACTTAAGCTCTAGAAATCCTTCATGAATATAGTTTTGCTAATTCTCAGCTCTGCCAATCCAGTAATGAGAGACTGATAATGACTTTTCTGTCATGTAACATTCAACAATTCCACCATATGGATGCTGCTTTGTGCTCTAGAATCTGGGTAAATTTGTTGAGATGATGATATGTATATACAGCCCTTTATTTGGCAGCCCCATAATTCCTTTGTGTGGTAAGGATTTAAAGTGGGCTAAAATGGGCAAGTGGAGTTTGGTGACCTTGAGGTGGCAGATGAAGTTAGTACGTCCTGACACATTACTGCTTTCAATCTGCATTAGATCGTACCTCATTTTGCCTAACAACTGAGGAAGGAAATGAGGTAGGGAAAGTAGCAGATCAAGTGAAACAAAGGCAGGGTAGGTCAGAAAAGACTCTTTTGGAAATAATTTGGTCTTAAAGAGATCTCTAGAGAAAGAAAGGAAAGTGGCCTGATAAATGGAAAATGGGAAGACCATCGCAGGTAGAAGGAAGAAAAAAAAAGGAGTGAGATGTGGATTTGTACAAAAAGCTGTGGAAAATTGTGTTAATGGGGGTGACAGATAAGGAGACATAGGAATAAAGAATACCAGAGAGGTGTTCTAAGGGACCACTGGATAAGAAGATGATTTGAAGCAGGGAGGCAGGGAAGAAGGCTGATGCTGATGGAGATAGGTCAGTAACTCTCAAATAGTACTATACTGGTTGCCACTGTACTGAATAAAGGCTACTGCAGAAACATGGCAGAGTCAAGCAGCAGAGGAATAAGAAGGGTCAAGCCCCATCCTGTACACTGCAATAACTCATCTGCTGCATCTCAGCCAGCTGGGATGACAGAGCCTCAACTACAAATGCTTTAAAACACAACTATTTACACACTAAGAGTTATGATTGGCTTTCAAGTTCACAATACTTGAAGTGCTTTTTATATGTCTACTTAACATTTTCTTTGAAATACTGATAACTTGGACAGTTCTACAGTTCTAATACGGTCATGAAAGTCATGTTGGTAGAACTCTTTCCCAATGGTTTCTTTAGTGGAAGTGAGGTTTAACAGTCAAGTATTGCCTTCTCTGGGAAGCCAGCTTGTTAGGTTTTCTTTTTTCTTCCAGAAATTAGAAGAAAGAAGCTCCCCACTGACTCAGAAAGCCTCAATTAAGCTCAACACGGAGGCCTCTGGCCTCCTTCATCACACAGTTGGGAGCCACCAGCCTTTTTTATTGCTTCCCTCACCATGGACACTTGGCGGAGAGGATCCATCAGATCCTCTGGTTTCTTCAAGCGCCTCTCATTCAGGAGGCATAAAAAGCTGGGCAATCAAGTCACGATCTGGAATCATAACAGCCAAACAATAGACACCAGTGGACAACAGTACAACAAAAGGGAGCTCCCAAGAGACTTGACGAGAAAGTCGGACTATTTATCGTGTCAGAGCGAGCAAAACCTACTCAGCAAGCCACTGCCACCTCCCAAACCACCTCGGCTATATCTGGACAGTGCCAGCTGCCCCAATATAATAAACCACACTGATTCTCCCTCTACAGACATTTCTTTCCCAAGCACTTCACGTCATTTCCACAAGGCCACTCAAACACAGCCAGACCTATTTTATAGGAACCAAGCCACAAACTGGTGGCTCTCTGAAACCACCTCCTGCTACAGAAATCCTATTCGTGATCCATTAGACCCCTTTTTTTCTTTCACATTGGATTTGGGGCCCTCACTCCTTGATGATGTTTTGCAGACACTCAGAAACCAGAATTTACTGTCAGATTAGCTAGACTTGCAAATAAAAGCAGAGGAATTAATTACATCGAACCACTGGCTCATCTTCATTGCCTGTACGCAACCGAGGCTGCTTTTTGTTTTTCTCAATGAACTGAGAACAGCAGACCAGCTAGCAGTTGAACACAGTATCTACTTGGAATTTACTAGCATTACTGTATTTCCATTCATCACACATTCCCAAGAACTTCTACTCAGAGTACTTCATTATGACAAGATGCTTCCTACATTTGGACCGTATCAGAGATTCTACAACTAATGTGTGTCTGGAAAAGGGTGGGTGGTTGTAACATGAAGGAACTATAAGGAACTCATGGATATACAAGAGCCTTGAACTATACATGACTGAAGTTCATCTTCCTTTATGCTGGTGCATATTTTCCTCATTAATGGGTATATTTAAGCTATTAGAAAGCCAGACCATTATTGGAAAGCAATTATTTTTCTTTCTATTTGTCACAGGGGAAAGGAAGTGTATAACTATTGCTTCCACAATAAGCTATGAATAATCCATTGTAAAATGTGAAAGAGAATATATATTTTAGACCTTATTAAAAGTATTTCATGTACTTCATTTGTGTCTCCTTTAATTTCCATTGGCAAGCACTCATGTAACAGTGTGACCGGGGAAAACCCTGTTACATCAAACTCTAGAAAGAGCAGAAAAGGGGCCACTGAAAGGAAAACCAAACAGCTACTGCTCAACTAAGCATATCCAAACCACCTAAGACCCCCTTGTAAGAAATATCATGTCCCAAGGCTTGTTTATGAAATCATGTGGCTCCAGGGCCATGTCAAAATAATTTATTGAGTTACTGCCCTGAATAAACACTTACAATGTGTAGATGGATTCACAGTCATACTCCCTTGCTTGCTATTGCAAGTCAGTCTCAGGACCAAAAAGCAAGTGTTATTTTTTTGTGTTCTTATTTTTATTATGTATTTTGTCTTTTTTATATTGTAAATTTATGTTGTGAACCATCCTGAGATCTATGGATGAAGGGTGGTATACAAACCAACAACAACAATTCCATGTTTAAACAAGAATACAAAACCTCACAGCTTTTATTTCAGAGAGAAAACAACCACTTCATATAGCTTTCCTGTGGAAAACTGCCGCATCACTGGCTGCTATTTACCTCCAAAGGTGCAATTTACTATCTGTACTGCAGATTGGAACCCTGTGGCTGCTGCTGCTTCAATATAAAACAGTCAGGCTGTGCATATTTGTTTGCAATGCATGACTAACATCACATGTAGTTTTGCCCTCTGTAAAACTAACACTTGAATTGAATTATGAACTCCACCCGTTTTTGCATACTTGCCATAATGACTGTGCCATCAAGATAAAGCTGCAGCATGCCAAGAGTTCCTAAGTAACCAGGGACTCTTACCCTTGTCTCGGCTTCTGGCTTCACATTATAAACAAGTCACGAGTCAGAAGTGAGCTTAGAGTGATTTCCTCAGGTTAACAGCATGGCCTTGTGAGAAACGCACGACACACTATACTCTAAGCAGGGGTGGGGAAACTCTAGCCCACAGTCCTCCTTAGGGCCAACACAAGTCCCAGTTTGGCCTGTGAAACAGTTTTTCCCAAACCACGCCAACCTGCTGCCATAGGTGACATCAAGTGTGGGGCAGGTGGAGATGTGGCTGCTACTGCACAACTAGGAGTCTGAAAGTGCACTCCCAGTTGTGTGCTGTCACTAATCCAATCAGCTGACTGGCAGCGAGAGCAAGTCTATTCACTGACAGGGGGTGACTTCAAGCTTGTTTTTCCTTTTCTAGCAGGGAACATGTCACTCGATGTCAGATTGACAGGTGGGTAGGGCCCTGCCCACCTGTCAAAGTGGCCTACCAGGGTGAGCAGAACCCAGGATCTGGCCTGCTCAATGGATCTAGTTCCCACCCCTGCTCTACAGCAATGTACATTGGCATAACTTTTCAGCTAGCATGCCCGACAATTCCCACTCCAGCACAAAAAGTGATGCTTACTCAGATGCTTAAAAAGTTGAGGTAATTTTAATGTTTTAGTATTTTAACTTTTGTATGTTTTAAAGTATGGCTGTGAATTTTTCTTGATTATGTTGTTTTATCTTTTTGTAAACAGCTTTGAGATTTATTTATTTTATTTATTTTTACAATCATGCAGTGTAGAAATGTTATGAAATAAATAAATAGCAGATTTGTCCTGGTGCAAGTGCCAAGCTAGTGTCTCTGCTGCAAAAAAGTATCTGCTTTTGAATCATCTTTGCAGATAACAGATAATTTTTCTAACAAAAAAATACATTAAGTATGCAACATCACATAACTCAAGGAGCAAGCCAACAAACAGGTTAATGCCGCAAGAGTTTTCCTTTTAGAAGCATGATGACAGCACAGACAAAACAAGCACTGTGTGGGTATACAGTCTACATGCTTAATGGATTTTACAATATTTCAGGAGGAGGGCACCTAAGTTAAGTATTTATTGGAAGGCTAGTAAACATGAACAGGATAGTAAAAAGAGCCTCAGGGCAGACAGAAGTCAAGAGATAAGAACTGATTTAAATTAGTCATTAAAATTCAATAACTTTTTTTTTAGTATGTAAATACCGACAGAATTGGAAGAGGATCCCAAAATATAAAGAGGCATTAATACAAAAGATGTTGCTTAAAATTGGGAAGAGAATGAATAGAGCAAGTTACAAGCATTCATATTCAAGTACTGCCAAACAAAATAAGTTGTGGGAAGTTTCTGTAGAAAGGATGTAAGGAATCAGTGATGTCACCTCAGGAGTAATTATACAAAAAGAGGAAGGAAGGTGATCACTGCAGGCATGGCACAAGCAACAGGAAAAAGTTTGCATATCAAAGTGAAGTTTACTGGAACTTCACTTGTCAAAGGCTAAGGGTGCAAAATATAAGTAATCTTTTAACAGGTTTAATATTTTTGAGTAATTGTAAAAATTCTAAAAGCAATTTTAAAATCTTCTGATTAGGAATATTACCATATTTTGTGTTGTAATGTATGGATGTTTACTTTAGGTAATTTACACAGGTTGCAGGATTCAGCTTTTTCTGTACTGAATTTAGGTTACAGTACAGAAGTTTACTATCTTTTCAAGTAAAAAATCAGTATCCCCCTACTGCAATTAAAAAAAACCAAAAAACATTGGGATCGAAATCCTGCTATTTTAGGTAACCATACCAGTTCTTATGAAAAGTGATTCATAAAAACTGGCAGGCCAGTTAACTTAGGTGGAAACTATTACTTTGGGTGGGGGGGAACACTGGATTTTATCTCCAACCTGAAAGACATACCAGTTATATCCCTTCTATCTGGAAACCCACTGAAAAACCAGTGCTGAATCCAGGAATTACCATGAATTGCAATTACATCCCACTGAGATGTGTCCAAAAAGAAAACTTGCTAAGGTATCATCTAAGAAAGAGTTCAGAATAGCACAATCCCAATGTCTGCACTCCAGCAAGTAGCTGGAAGGCCTCTGTATCAGAGCATCTATCATTTCCACAGAGCTATGAACTCAGTCACAGCTCCCAGCTTGGGTTCATACACATTAATCCTGTGCAGCAGGCAGAATACATGGGCTCCCAGTAAGAAACATAAGGAACGGAAACAAGCCAAGATAAACTCACGTCATAAGCCAGAGGCTTCTTAAGAAGCAATAAGCTAACTTGAAAACCAACAAGAGCTTCTGTTTGGAGACAACTGTTGCTCTTCAGTCCTGAGAAAACAACTTTTATAGGCATTGTTTGTGATAAGAATGTAAGAGTCTGATGGATCAGGCTGGTGACCAATCTAGTCCAGCATCCTGTTTTCACAATGACCAACCCACAAGCAGGACCCAACCACAATAGCACTCTCCCCTCCTGTGGTTTCCTGGTATTGAGAAGCATTACTGCCTCTGGCTGGGGAGGCAGGGCATAGCTATCATGCCCAGTAGCTTCGCCTATATTGCGCAAGGGAGAAAAACATCTCTTGGCCCCAAACAACCTGAAAGTACTGCTGGATTCCACCTAGTTCAGCACAACCAGTCACAGCATTTGTTCCCCACTGCACTCCAGGCAAGACTATTTGTGGCCATAAACACACAGCCCTGTGGAGTCGGGCAGGAAAGTCACTCTTTGAAAAGAGCTGAAAGTGCTCCCTAGATGGAGCCATCCAGGCTCAAGCAAAACCTCAGGGAGGCTGAGAGGCAGTTTCTCAGGAACTACTACTTGGAATTAAACACAAAGTAACCGGCTAGCAAAACAAAGGAAGACACAAATAACAGCCTCACCTGAGAAACTACCAGAATACCTGCTCATTAAGTAGACAGCTGCTACTTTTCCACCCACACACTATTGAAAAAGCTATTCAAGCCACGTGCACAGAGAAAAGGAGGGCCCAGAGTTGTCTTTGCTTTTGCTTTTAAAGAATATCTGCATATGCAGAATGAATAGCTGGGCATTCCCATCTCACATATCTATAATAGATACAGTCCAAATCAAGATAATAAAGTGGTATTTACATGTTCCCAATTCCCTCCATCACCCATTTATCTAGTCTGTTTTGTCCTTAACACATGAAGACTCTTATTTCATTTATGACTAACAATAGGTGCTCTGATTCAAGACACGGCAAGCTATAAATGAAAAAGTAAAAACAAATGAAGCTTCAAATATATAATGGAAGCTACAGCACCAATTCCCCTGCCTTCAACAGAGTAGGGGAAGTTCTAGAAACATTAGAACAGTCTTTATAAATGTAATATTGAAATGGTGCAATAAAGCAAATCCACATTTGGGGATGTGAGGAACCTATAGCTTAGATCTGCTTTCAAAGAGATCACAGAGGTTTATTTTATCTAGCAGATTTGCAGACAGTGCATCACGTTTGTAGGCCTCTTTCCAATGATGGGACTTTCTCAACAAACAGAAGAGAACGTATACTCTAAAGCAGGGGTGGGGAACTGGATCTGTCCCCACATCCCCTCCCCACAAAATTGACAGGGGCTGGCAAAGACACAGTGCACAAAGTGGTGATGATCTGCTTACTTCCTGGTCTTGCAAAGTGCTGTGCACAGGGCTTTGCAAGACCTGACCATCAGCTGATGCTGGGCTGGAGGTTTCCCACCACTGCTCTAAAACCATGAGTTTCATCAGTAAAACAAGCCTTTCTTTTTGTGGGAGAATTATCTGCCCCAATCTAGTTTCTCAGAAGAGATCACTTCCCAAGGCTCATCTTTCATCAGCTGTGCATGTACTTCTTCAGCCCAACCCTAAACACAGCAAACATCCCATGGGATCCTCTCTATTACTCCATTTAGCAACAGCCCAATTAGTGCCGCAGCAGATCATATCTATACAAGCTCAACATCAAGCCAGATTTATACCTGCTTTCATTAGAACAAGTTCATAAATGAAAAACTTTAAATGGCTTACAGTTGCTCAGTGAATGCTTCCCAAGGCAAAAGTACAAAGATGAACGGAATATTTTTGCTAGTGCCCATACCAGGTGTATGCAGAGTTCAAACAGATTTTAAGAACCACCAAATACAAAAGTAGCAGCTTGTATTGGTCCTACCTTGGATATCTGTGGCAGGCTGGTGCCATCAGCAAACACAGGATTGCTCTGTGGTTGGCCCTCTAGCCAGGAGATTTTTAGAGGATTGCTTATCAGGCCAACTTCATTCTTCACTGCCATCTCCTAATGAATAAAAACAGCCTCTTCATTTCATGCTTCCCATACTAAGCCCAGAATAACAGAATAGCCACAGGTCAATTGATTAAATGATCATGCTAGATCAGCATTCTCCAACCTGGTGCCCTCCAGGTGTTTTGGACTATAATCCCCATTATCCCCAACCACTGATTATGCTGGGCTGATGCAAGTTGGAGTCCAAAACATCTCAAGGGCATCAGGTTGGGAAGGTTGTGCTAGTTGGAGCTGAAAACCCCTCCAAGCTTATATATCAGCCCCTCCCAGTCCCTGATTAGCCCATCCCATTTCCATCAGTAGGTTTATGTGTGCACATTAATGTGAGAGAGCATGCCAGCGCCACAAGGATGCACTATGTGATAGGGGAGAGCTTGTGGGAAAAGTAAAACAAATCCAGCTTGCTTAAAGCAAACCACACTAAATGTATTGTATGGAAGGATGAAAAGTAAAATAGTCAGATAATCTAATGGGAGGAAAATTCCTTCCTAACTTCATTAAGGTTTTCTTCTGCATCTAAGGCTCATCATAATATGGAGAGAAGCATCCTAGTAACAATAACAAAATCAGATGTAGCGTTTTAGGGTTTACTGGTAACTATCTTGATAGTGGTATTTGCATACTGATGGGAGAAGGTTTTACCATGATAGTTTTGATACTCAGGAGCTAGTTTTGTTACTCAGAGTGGGTGTTTAAAGTAACGAGAAACTCTTTTCACATTAATTACTTATCTATATAGAAATATTTAAGTATGGTTGCCTAAACTGCAATAAATGCTTTCCCTTTGTTTTGGTGAAGTTTCTCAGAGCCTCCCACCCCTCTATAAACACCCACCTGTTGCTGAAAGATGGGAAACTGGCCCTGCTTTCTGTGCCAGTCGTAAGGGTTGGGTGGGTGAAGCCCAGTTGATGAAGAAGAGTCACAGAAAGACTTCTAATGATACCTTCTTCCATAAAGGTCAATATATACCACCATAAAGGTGCACTGAGAAATTCCAAAGTCGAAAAACTTACAGCAGCTTTCACCGTGGCAAATTCCACAACTGCACTCCCAGTCTTCTTGCTAGAGATTAGCAAATTCAGAACCTCGCCGTACTGCCAGAATCAATAAGAAATGTAAAGTCAGACATAGGTCTAGGGGAGAAACCGCATGTTCTAAAATGTGATATACGACAGTTCTTGCCAAAGTCTCCATAAATAACAAATGGAAAAAGGACTGCAGTGGAATGAGATACAATACTGGGGAAGAGTACATTTTGTGCTGAGATATAGTATGCATAATCATGTCAAAATGCTAGTTAAAGAGTTTTTAGAGATATTACAATAGCAGTCATTGATCTGAGGCCAAGGTCATCATAACAAGCTTGAAATGCCATATGTCAGTTCACAAATCACACTCTCCCAGCAAAACCCCATAGAACATCATCATCATGTGATGTAATGAATGAGGTTATTGTTCCAGCCTAGATCTGAATTAATTGTTCACACACACACACAAAAAAAGAGTAAGCCCAAGCTAGTCAAATCTGCCTAGCAGTTACTGAAGTACAAATAGGGATGAAGTAAAGATCACATGTTAAACCACACCATCAAATTATTTACGAGTCATACCACAGGGATATATTAGCTGACAAGTTAATAAATTCCTTATGGTGTCCTCCTGTACCAACAAAAAGGAATTGAATGATTTATAATTACCATGGGAGGGCCTCATTAGTTTATGAAGATATCAACTTTCTTTGCTTATTCTTACAGAATGCTAAGCAAAACCAACCAAGGTGAAAGGAGCATTTTGGAACAGGACCTTTTGTAGGATTTGCAGAAGAACTTCTTTTGAGTAGCCTCCTTTAGTTTCATCTTCTTTCTTGCATTTCCAGCGTAGCTGATGAGGAAAAGTTAGAAATTAATTTCACACTGTTCAGTGTACTGGATGCAATATATGCAGAATCTAGCATTTGGTTTTACATCTGTGATGCTATAGAGGCAACGGATTCAGATGTTAAAATTTGTAGACATACTAAAAGGAATGTCTACACTGCACAGGAGCAGATATACATAGTCCTAGGCACAGGGAAAAGTTCACATTTAGAAGATCTGAAAATTACTACATACATCAAGCAGCATCTGGCAACCTGTCAATATCCCAAGTCACAGAGACTTAACTTCTAATTACCTTCATCCTAGTGCCTAGATTCTAGATTAAAGTGCAAGGAACACATTAAGATGAAGTAAGTGACAATTCCAGTAAGCAGCGAGGATGCCAGAGACAGTCCAGCATTCTGTGTGGCTAGAGGCGATCCATGTGGCTTCTACTGATGGAATGATAAGTTAGTTGCTCATCTCTCTTCATAGCTCAGTTTTTGGGAATGTCTTACTTTGAGCTTGGGTGTTCCTTTGCCCTCCTCTCCATACCCATCATGTTTGCCTCAAAGAAGAAAAGAAAAAGAAAATGAAAACTACACTGACATTTAATGAATGAAAATACTCAAGAAAGTCTATGTTCTGCATATCCTTAGCTTGATTTAAACTCCACCACAGGGGATTTGGGTGTAGGTTGGCAATTATCCTGATAACTATGCAAGTTAAAAGGGGTTCTGTTTTGACTCTTGTTTCTTCCAGAAGTGGGGCTCCAATAACAGTGAGATTGGAAAATTTCACTCAGCCATGAAGCTCACTGGGTGACCTTGGATCAGTCACCATCTCTTAGCCTAACCTACCTCACAGGGTTGTTGTGAGGATGAAATGGGCGGGAGACGACGACACACCATGTACACCAACTTCAGATTATTGGAAGATAAAGGTGGTATATAAATGTAATAAATAAAAGAATAAATAAATAAATAAATTTGGGGTAGGAGGATAAAAATAGCACTGAATGTTCATAAACCAATCTCACATGCCAACTGGTACTGAAAAATCTATAACAAATATTGCAAAGTTCTTTGCAAACATTCATTAAAATAATCGTCAATACCCTCCTCATTTCCACATCTGCCTGGGGCCAAAAAGGAAATAAGTGGCACAGCTTAGAAGAGACCAGAGCTGCAATCCTACACACACTGACCTGGGAGAAGGTCCCCCTGAACTCAATTTACTTCTGAGTAGACATGCATAGGAGTCTGCTGTACATCTCCCAACTTAACTCTTCTTGTTTGGCCCTTCTACTTAATAAAAGAATATTCTGTCAATAAACTCCACAACAAGAGACACAGCAAAGAAAAGGCTATTTTTCTACAGGCATATACTCCTTAACAACAAAAGCAAACTGGCTTTGAGCACCCATAGGCGTGTTCTGAAGAGAACCGAGGCAAGGCAACTTTGTGGCAGTCAGAGGCTCTGACCTTGCCTGGCCTTACCTCGTACTCGCTGTTCTATCTCAAGTCGTATTTGTTCCTGGATAAGTTTTTGTTGTTCCTCCAGCTGGCGGGATCCCTCCTCACGTAACCGTAGGATCTGGGGAAAGAGGCAGAAGGCAAAAAAATGGTGGCCATGTTGCCAAGAAAAGTGGCTGTTACAAAACAATCTACTCTTTAACTTGTCGGTATGAAGAAAGTGTCACAAGGAATAGACCAGCAGTCTCTTTATCTCCTGTCTAGCAACTACAGCCAAATTGAAAAGTTTTTTTTTTAAAGGAGAAGAATAGATACACAGGAAGCAGCCTTATATAAATTAGACTATCTCTCTCTACAGGTTTTTTTTTTAGAAAGGAGTCTTTTTGGAGATGCCAAGGATCAATACCTAGGACCTTTTGCATGTGAAGCACACTCTACCACTGAACTATGCCCCTCAAGTTTATAATCCCTTTATGCTATGTTTTCACACAGCCTGAACCTCAGTGTTGCTACTCCTATAGGCTGCCAGCATAATTTATCTTTCAATACCATTAACTTTCTGCTCTTCACAATGGCTGTGCACATAAAGGATCCCATCCTCACTTCTGATATAAAATAACATTTTGTTTGGTTGCTACCCTTACCTCTTGCTCTAATGTTCTAGTTATCTGGATCTCTTCCTCCTTGCTAACCTGGGACTGGGCTTCTTTTTCCCGGGCTTCAAGATCTATAGCAAAAGAAGAAGTCCACAAGTTGGTAGAGCAGGAGACTCTTAATCTCAGGAATGTGGATTCGAACCCCACGTTGAGCAAAAGATTACTGTATTGCAGGAGGTTGGACTAGATGGCCCCTGTGGTCCCTTCCAACTCTACAATTCTATGATTCCAAGACAGGACAAACCCAACAGATTGGTTTTTCCTGAGATTCATTTCTAACAGGATGAATCTCTGCTCATAGTACAGTATATTTAAGAGCACCTACTGATACCACCTCAAATTTTAATGAAAACAAACGAATTGCAGACATGAACAAATGGTAAGGATCCTGCAACCTGGCATTTACTCCATATGCAAAAGAATATTCTAGATTTACATACCAAGTTTGACTTTTTTCCTCCTTTCATCAAGTTTCTGAGTCCTTTCTGCTGCCTGTTTCTTTGCTTTCCTCACTTTATCATATGCTGCCTGCAGTAGTGATAGGACAAGAAAAAATAATAAATCAAAACAAAATGAAAGTTTCAATCACATATCTAGAAATATTAAAATTAAAACAAAACGAAGATCTGCAAGTGTCATGGACATTCAGATTGTGTTTAACAAGGATAAAAATTTTAATAATTTGAGACTTCTCAGTAACTAACATTAGTAATGTCCACAAACAGAGGAAAGAAAGATGGACCAGAATATGTGAAATCAAGAAAGATACAAATGTTTGAAAGTATTCTGAAGTATACATCTTACTTATAATGTCTGTATTAGATCACTAGCCCAGTTTAATGCTAGCACTGTAAGGGCAGCATAGTCTGAAACATACTGACAACAGGTGTTGACAACAGGTATAGTTTTGCTTGCAGCTTTTAACAGGGATCCAAAGAATGGGCAAGAACAATAGAATTGCAAGAGCTCTACCTGCTTTCATGTCACAGCAGTTCAAAATACAGGAGAAAACCAATGAAAAAAGCAGTTACTTTTTTCGGTAATAAGATCTGTTGCAGCAAACGGGTTTAAAGCTGTGCATATAGTTCTCCCTCTATCTCTCTCACATTTTTTTAAATTCCATCTTATTTCTTTATATGAAGTAATATTTACTCGGATAAGTGGAACCCAGCTCATTTTAGAACCTAAATACTTGATCATAATGCCAAAAATCTCTTCCATCCCAAGCTATCACTAATTTAGAAAGTATGCAGAGATCAGTTTGAAATGAAGGATTCATATCGAGCCTCCAAGGCAAGAATAAATTAGTTTTAACCTTCCCCAAGGTCAATGAACACATTTACACTATGAGGTGCCACAGGGCACTATATTGTTCCCAATGATATTCAACATCTATATGAAGCCACGGGAAGCAGTCATTTGGAGTTTTGGAGCAAGGTGTTGCCCTGATGAAACTCAACTTTATTTCTTCATTACAACTGAGTGTGGAGCAAGATGCAGTGGTGGCCTGGATCAGAGTCAATAAACTGAGCTTGAATCCTGGAAAGACGGAGGTCTTGTGACTGGATAGCTCCTGTTTCTGGGAGACAGGCCACTTGTCTGTTCTGGACTGGGTAGCACTTCTCCAGAAGGAGCAGGTGTGCAGTCTGGGAGTATTCTTTGATCCATCTCTGTCACTGGAGGCTCAAATGACCTCTGATGGTTATAGAGTTCTCCCTCCATGCAAGTATGACCCAGCCTCAGCCACTCATGGTTTAGAATAGGAGTCTATTGCTGAGAGAAGTAGGGAATTTCTGTACATAAGCTATCCAGAGATATGTAAGGAAACAGCCAGAAACAACTTGTTGGCTTGTACTGGCCTGAAATAAGTTTCTGACTGCACTTTTCTTTTCCAAGTATTCATGTCTTACAGCAGAGCCAGAAAATGCTTGGAGTTCTAACAGAGCATTAAAATAACTCACCCTTGCTGCTGCATCTGTTAGAACTGCCAAAGCTTGAGACAACTGATGGAAGAGCTCAGCTAGGAAACAGAAAAAAATGAAACAGCAATAAGAGAATGCATACAATTCCTAGATATAGAACTGAGTAAATGATTGTCTGAAATTTGTCTGAGTAAATCATTTCAGAGAACACAACAAAGCTTCTTACAATATTCGAAAGTCAATCCTCACCATAACTTCAGAACTTCAGTTTGCTCCGTTTAAAATACAGTTTGTCCCTTATGCAAGGATCAGTGCTTTATTCTTAATATCTTATTTCTAAACTTACAGGTGATTCCTAGTAACTTGTATTTACTAGTAACCTTGGACAGTGAAAGCAAAACTTAGCCATCATGTATGAAAATACATTTTATTTTGTCTGTCCTGAATCTCAAACAATTAGCCCCCTTCTGAATACAAAATATTGCTGAGTCATCATTTAATTGAATATATTTATATTCCCCCAGATAAACTTATGAACATTGTAAGGCAGATTGCAGCAATAAATATAATATATTGAGCAATTACAGAATTAACAGAAGTCAGTAAATTAAACATCTAGAATAGCCGCAGCTAAAAGATGAAGCCCACATAAAACCATCAACAAAAGCTTAGAAGAACAATAAAAATCTCAAATCTGCTTAAGACTCAAACAATGGGGGTCCACACACAATTTCTGAGGGAGCCTCAAATATCGGGGGCTACCACAAAAAAGCTCTGTCTGTGGTACCTGCCAATCCTATGGCTCTTGGTAGCAGGCCTAAAAACTGCACCATTTGTCAACCAATGGACCTGGTACACAATAGGCTTAATGTGATTAAAGGGTCACATAAATAATCAAGCCTAGACACGGATATCCAGAACATTCCATCTATTACCAATAAAACACACCAGTGTAATTCTGGATAAATCTAGCCACTTCTAGTGATCACACAGGGAAAACAGTCAATAAAAGCTAAGAGTGTCTATGAATACTTTCCATACCTGCTTTGGGGTTGTCTGGATTTTTATCTGGATGGCAGGACAAGGCCTTCTGTCTGTAGGCTTTCTTAATCTGTAAATGACAGAGCAAAAACAATGCAATGAACAGTGTGATTAGCAGATTAAGGCAGTATTCAGTTATGTAGAAGACAGGACAGCAGGCAACTAAAAGTAAATAGGAAAAGTTTTAAAATTAGCTCATTCTTTTAAGAGGTTTGTTTTGCTGCTAGAGGTTATCTGCCCAATGCAGGCCTACCTTATACCAAGCAAACCTGGTATAACACTGCTGTAGATATGACAAACACACCTGCTGCCTAATGCATCCTCAATGCTTGGACTGCAGTTGCTCAGGTAAATAAAAATATTTTATTTGTCAAAGTAACTGTTTCGCTGATTCCATCCAATGGCAACAACCTGGCCTGATAGGAACTGAACATGTGCTGACACTTGGCCAGAAGCTACAAAATACTGCATGAGTTCCATGTTGGCCAGCCCCGATTGTTCTTGCTGTTTCTGCCTGTGAATCAAAAGTGCGCTCCAGAAGCCTCAAACCATCCTTGCAAGTGCACATTTGATGGGTTGTTCAGTAGTGCTGGAAAAACTGTATTACTGATCTTCTCAGTAAGGAACCTCTGAGTTCTCTGGCACACTGAAAATACGCGTGAGACTGTTAAGACACTGAATCTTTCTTCTGTTCGGGTTGCTGGATCAGATGTTGTTAGCATCTTTCCAGCTGTACAATTCTGTCACAACAGAGATACTATGAAGTATAGATCACATGCATTCATTTTAACATTAATACTCCCTATCAGAAACATTTTCATATGCAAAGCAGTGTCTTATTATTCTAAGATAACTACCCTAAAAAGTTCTGTCAATATACAGTACGCATAGACTAAAAACGTCTGGTATTTAGGCACCACCTAGTGGACCAAATGAGTACTAAAAAGACAACTTGAAGCTATTGATCCTTAAACTTAAAGCAAAATATTAACACAATAATATATAACAACACTATTTGACCACTCAAAGTGCTTAATACCCATTATTGCAGAAACTGTTACAAACATGCTTTCAAGAAGCTTCTAAAATGCTTGCCTGTAATAAGGAAATATCACCTCTAGGAAGGAAAACATGTTAAAATTTGGCTTTTTAAAAAATGCCTCAAATGGGGGTGAGGGGATCAGGATAACAAATAAAATAAGTCTTCTAGCAACTTTTGAGGAATATACTTGCAAGGTTGCCACAATGTTTGCCCACACAAAGTAAGACGGCATTATTATCAATTTATGCCAGATGGAGAGACTGAAAGAATTGTGGCCAAGATCGGATGCAAACCAAGGACTTCCTAGTTCACAGTTCACCTCCCCCATCATTATACTCATCCCCTCAAGCATCCAAAGCAAACCCAAGAAGCCATCTCAAATCACAGTTCATTCATGCAGCTCAGTACCACACACTTGCAAAGCCACTCATAAACAGATTCCCACGAGAGGTGGTGGACAGTCCTTCCTCGGAGGTTTTTAAGCGGGGGCTCGATGGCCACCTGTCATGGATGATCTAGTTGAGATTCCTGCATTGCATGGGGGGGGGGTTGGACTAGATGACTCTCGGGGGTCCCTTCCAACTCTACCATTCTATGAGAGAGAGCTCGGTTGGCAGAGCACGAGACTTAAATTCCACGGTCGTGGCTTCGAGCCTCACGTTGGACAAAAGGCTCCTGCACTGCAGGTTTGAACTAGATGACCGTCGTGGTCTTATATATAATGACTATGAGAAAACAGTATTATGATCGCATTTGAAGAAGGCGCGACTTTCGCGCAGGGCTGCACCCCGGCGCATCTCAGATTTACTGGGGAACTCAGAAGGGGGACGCATCGAGTACAGTGCCAAGTGGCCCCTAGGAAAGTGTGTGCAGTATCGCCTCAATACTTTAGGCCATGGGCCCTTGAACTCAGCAGCTCGAGGGCCCTGAGGAGCGGCAGGGACAGAGCCCCCTGCTATAATTCTGGCCCTCGGGGGCCTGCGAGGGTCCGGCTAGGCCCTGAGGGATCTCCAGCGGCCGCCGCCGCCGCCTCCTCTCCCTCCCCTCAGCCCGAGGCCTTGCCGACCTCTTTATCCGACGCCTTCTCGCCAACTCCCAGAAGCGCGTACAAGTCCAACTCCAGCAGCTCCTTATCCACCGCCATTTCTCTTCCCGCTCCGACCCGCTTCTTTACGGGGCCAAAAAGGCTGTTATTCCCTCGACTTGCCCGAACGAGCTTGCCTTCCCTCAGCTAGACTACCCTCGCCCGCCGCCCCAACAGCGACTCGCACTGCCCCGAGGCTGCTGGGAAACGTAGTCTTTGCCTCCTCAGCAGTTCCCCTTCCCGGGTGTGGCCAGAACTACGATTCCCGTCATCCCTCGGACCTAGAAAGGCTGGAGCTCCCAGGAGACACCGCGCAAGGGAAAGTGGGGGCGGGGAGGCCCCGTGGGCTCTTGGGAAATGTAGTTCTTCCCCTTCCGGTCTTGCCGGAGAAGAGCTGTCCGGGGTGATGGGAGTGGGACTCTCGCCGCACCGCGCGTTTCTTGCACTATAGTGAGTATTACCGAGCCGGGCCAGTGGACGTTGCCATTAGTGAGGTTCTGCTCGTGGTTGTCTGGCGGGGAGGCGGAGGCGGCTTCTGCCTCGCTTCGCTTCCAGCCTCCTCGCCCTCCCGGCGCCCAGAGGCTGTGTCGTGTTGTGCAGCTGGGTGTTGGATTTCCAGATTTGGGACCGAGGTGTGTGCCTGGCGGGTTGTTGTTTTGCTCTTCTATGGTAAAACGGCCGTCGAGTTCCGCGCTGGTAGAGCATTTGCCTTCGACTGCTGGGTCGTGTGAATCGGCTGGATGACGCCCCGGGTCAGCCTAAGGTGGGTTGCTCCACAGCTTTCTCCATCATCGTTTCCATTTTTTGCCTTTTTTATTTTAACGAGGGAGTGAGAGGAAGGGGGGCGGAGAAGGCGGAGGAAGACGGAAGGAGAGATACCTGAAATGTGTGGGTTGTTCAATACATACATACATAAATGTGGGTGCCATGAATAAGGTGGGGGCTGGCATTCCTGGTCTTCAAAAAAGACTGAAATGTTTTGCTGTTGCAAGATGAGTAGCAGGTGGGAAATCTCTCCGGATGTTTGCTTGTCCGTGTGTCAGCCCAGCCGCATCTGCATTTTACAGTACATACAGTACAGTATTGCGGAAATAAGTGGATCTATAGCTGTTCTGTGATCCTCTCTAAAAGCCTTGGAGCATGGCTTCTTATTTTTAAAGGTTGCCTGTAGGATGCTACCTTTAGGTGGTGGGTAATGTGCTAGCGGCCTGCGAAAGTGATGAGTCACTCCTCTTCAAAAATGTACATTGCCAGCCACCTTTCTCACATAAATCGGTGCATTGTAGATGGTTGTGTTTGCCATCTGTGATGATGATAATGGGAACTTATGGGGTGGGTGACCCATTACACACAGACTTTGGGGGCACTGCTTTCATCTGAAACTGATAGTGCTGAAATCTAGAATTCTGCCTTCTAGGAGACCCAATGATTTTCTCCTTTAAATTTGGAGGGGTCACCAGGATGGTCACCTCAGAAAGGATATTTATAGAAGAAGTGTAGTGTCTGTTTTCCTTTCCTTTGATTTAATGATTTAAGAACATTTCACTGGCAACCATTGCTGTCAAGGTTAAGTAAGGACCAGATCCTCACATTTTCTTCAGACTGCATGAACCTCAGGTTCCATAGCATGGCATGTTTTCAGTGGTCCATTGCTAACATTCCATAACTGTACCGTCTCTCTTATTGTCTGGTCTCTCTCTGAAAGAGGAAGAAAGTTGAGGTAGCAGACAGAATAGAATCATGTGTCTCCATTTGTACATTTTTGAAGACTGAGTGTGCCACCTCACCTGACATGATGGATAGCAGATGTTATGGCTGTGCATCGAAGTTTACCGTCTTCAAGAAACAGGTATGGTTTTCTCCACTAATCGTCTTTGTCATGAGAAAGGAGAGCTTGAAGAGTAGAACTTGGAACTATTATTCCAAAATGTTCCACTAGAACTTTCAATCAGGCTTTCAATCGTTTGTGACAGGTGCGCTTGCTCACATATTACATATTTTAATGATGTGCCACTTGTTTAATCGTCTCCTGTCATTAATTTACTGGATGAGGTAGGTCTTAAGCAAATCACTTTCTTTTGTCCCAATTTTCTGTTTTGTACAGCTGTAAAGTGTATAGGTGCTAAGATAGGCAGAGGGGGCTCTCTTGCTAGTTCCTCCACCCTCAGAAGTTTGGGGTGTGGTGTGAAGGGGTGAAAATGTTATTTCTATGTTAGCTTTGCAAAGTAAGAATTAGGACTGATTAATACATTATGCTTTTTATACACCTTTTCAATACAGTCTTGTATTGTTTTACTTTCATTGTTTATATAATAAAATATTTTGTAAACCACTTAGAGAGTATTCTTGCATTAAATGGAATATAAATATATAAAATAAAACAAATATCCAATATCTGCAAAACTGTGTACAGTTACATGGGAGTAAGCATCACTGTGGGAAATTTCTGAATGAGTAGGCATGTTCTGTGTAGTGTGCACTTAAAAATGTAAGGTGTGCGTGAAGCAAACATACGTTTGGAATATTGTATGTATAAAAAGAACATTCACCAGAGACCCAGGATTCTCTTTTGGTAATTGAGTTTGGTGGCAAAGGTCTGCAGCTACATAATGTGTGGAATGGCTGAAATTAAGATTGATATCTTTGAGTACAGATTTAGTAAACAAAGGTTCATTTAATGTGTTTTATGGTAAGTATTTATGTTATGCTATTTATTTATTTAGAAAAAGTATAAGCAAAAACAACAAGCCAGGTTCAGTCATAAAGCATAATGTTTAGTCATAAAGCAAAACTAAAATTTACAAACCAGTTAAAAAAATATATGGATAAACCCATCATTAAAATTAGGAAAACATTTAAAATAAATATCACTAAACCATGTGTCCGGTTTGGAGTGCTGAAATACTGTTAGCAAACACTTTCTGCATTCACATAAATTCTTTTGCTTTCAAAAGGTAGAAAATGGTCGAAGAAGGCTATACAGTGGTACCTCGCAAGACGAATGCCTCGCAAGACGAAAAACTCGCAAGACGAAAGAGTTTTTCTTTTTTGAGTTGCTTCGCAAGACGAATTTCCCTATGGGCTTGCTTCGCAAGACAAAAAAGTCTTGCAAGTTTGTTTCCTTTTGGATTTTCAGTGCATTCCTATGGGAAACCGTGCTTCGCAAGACGAAAAATTTGCAAGACGAAAAAACTCGCAGAACGAATTAATTTCGTCTTGCGAGGCACCACTGTAATGTTTTGATGTGGAAGCATCCCCTTTGTGAGCCCTTTCCAAGAAGGAGTCATTCAGACTTCTTGGAATCATGTGCAGCTGGGTGTTAAGAGCACTTCCTTCCTTTTCCTCTTCCCTTCCTCTCTCAGTGTGGATGCAAGAAATGCGGGCGAGCGTTTTGCTCAGGCTGCCTGGGATTCAGTGCTGTCGTCCCCCATTGTGGAAACACCCAGCAGAAGGTCTGCAAGCAATGCCATGGGGAATTAACAAGGTAAGAAACCAGAGCTGTGGTTTCTTTTATGAAGGCAACACAGGACATTTCCTGCAGGGATTTGTCACTCCAGCACTTCTACAGGCTAGGTGGGCATTCTCCACAACAATCTATATGATGCTGCAAGGAAGGAACGAAGGAAGTTTTTCAGGCTGTTTTTCAGCCTGAAGGCTGCATTCTCTCATAGGTAACTGGGCAGGGGCTGCATGCCTGCAAAGGGGGAGGGGGCAGAGGCAAAAGTAGTTGGCGCAACATACGTGCCTCTTAACTCTGTACAGTAGGCTACATTCCAGTAATGCAAAAATCAGAAACTTCTACATCCCTCCCCTGTCTCTCCATCTGTGCAAGCTAGCAGCATTATTCCATTTGAGGGACATGTTCTATCCAGGCAAAAGCATTCACGGAGGAAATGGAGCATGGCCAGTGAGGGCTACGTTTTGTCCCTGGGGCTGAGGTTCCTCAGTGAAATTGCTGAACTTGTTAGAAAACTGGCATGTCAGGCTGAGGTTTAGGCTGGGACCTTTCTCCTTCGCATCTAGTTTTCTGTGTACTTTGATGGAAGATTGTTGCGGGGGTGCCTTCAGTCAGGCAATTCTTCATATGCAAGCCAGAGATCAACAAACAGCCTTGCCATCTCCCCTGCTGCTTTTGAGGCATAGGGTGAAATAGATTGGTGTTATACCCAGGACTTCTCAAGGATTGAAGGCAAGGCAAGATGGGGTTCTGTCTGAGGGCATGTCCTGCCATGATTAAGAAGGGATTTATGTTCTAGAATAACATTTGTTGATAAACCAGAGAGAGGAGCTGAGGGAAGTCGGGGGGGAGGGGAGGGGGGAAATGGGGGGGGCAATTAAGGATGATATGTTTTTTGATAAAATGTTTTGTTGAAATCCCTAATTAAAAAAATTTAAAGAAAAAAAGAAGGGATTTATGTTCTGCCATTGTGACATTTCTCCTTTTGCTTTACAGTGGCTCACCTCAGTCAAACGCAGCTAAATGGTCTCCACCAGAGAACTATAAAAAGTGAGTTCTATCTAATCTATCTATCTATCTATTATCTATTAAATTTGTATACTGCTGTTCATCTGAAGATCACAGGATGATTCATAGCATAAAAAGACAAAGTGAGAACACAAAATACATAATAAAAACGAGAGCAAAAACAAACCAATAACCCCATCCCACAAATGCATTTAAAAGGATGCCAAAGCCAAAGATGCCAAAGACCTGGTTAAAGAGAAATGTTTTCACCTGGTCCCTAAATATATGTAATGAAGACGCCAGGCGAGCCTCCCTGGGGAGAGCATTTGCAAGCAAGGAGCCACCACTGGAAAGGCCTGTTCTTGTGTTGCTACCCTCTGGACATCTAGTGAAGGAGGCACACGAAGAAGGGCCAACGATTATGACCACAGGGTCCACATTGGTTCATGTGAGGAGAGGTGGTCCTTGAGGTGTTGCGGTCCTGAGCCATTTAAGACTTTATAGGTCAAAAACAGCATTTTGAATTGGGCCCCAAAATTGTCAGCCAGTGCAGTTGGGTCAGGATTGGTGTAATATGCTCAAACCATCTTTCCCCAGTGGTCAACCAGCTGAAGTTTTTGAACCGTCTTCAGAGGCCTCCTTCTGCACTGCAGTAATCTAACCTAGAGGTTACCAGAGCATAGATGACTGGTTAGACTATTCCTGTCCAGAAGGGGGAGCTGTGGATTTAGAAATACCCCAAGCTATGTACCTGCTCCTTTAGAGGAAGTGTAACCCCATAAAAAGCAGGCCACCTCCCATCCATTTAGTCTAGGAAAGAACCCACTAACAGTGTCTCAACGTTACCTGGATTGAGCTTCAGTTCATTGGCTTTCATCCAGTTTGTGACCAAGGCGAGACATTGGTCCAGCTCTTCCACTGCCACACCTGCCGATGTGAATGAGAAGTAGACCTGTGTGTCATCAGCATATTGCTGACAATGTACTGCAAAACTCCAGATAATCCTATTCAGTAGTTTCATGCAGATGTTAATTTATTATCATCATTAAAAGGTTTATACCGCCCTTCATCCACAAGTCCTGAGGCCGTTCACCACACAAAAATACAAGATATAAAACACCAAATACGTAATAAAAACAAGAACAAAAACAATCTAATAACTCCCTTCCCCTCACAACACATTTAAAAGGGTATCATATGTTAATCAGCCAAAGGCCTTGAAGAGAATTGTTTTCATCTGGCGCCTAAAGGTGTATAATGAAGGCGCCAGCCGAACCTCCCTGGGGAGGGCATTCCACAAACAGGGAGCCACTGTCCTTGTCTCTCTCCCAACACATGGCATCATACACGGCAACCAAAGCAATTTCTGTGCCGAAACCAGGCCTAAACCCCAACTGAAATAGATAGAGATCATCAGTTTCCCCCAAGAGCACCTGGATCTGGTACGCAAATAACAATCTAGCTGGTTTTATTCCTTATCCTTGGTGTAAGTTGCAAACAAGGGTGTATACTTTTGCTCATTTTACAGATCCAAGTCTTTGTTCTGAACTGCCACCATTAGCTCTAGGTAATAACCAGCCACTTGTAATGTTCTCTTTCTCTAGTTTGTGTCAGGATTCGAAGCCCTAATGTAAAGGGTGGGAAGTCAAAATTGTTTTCTCAACCTCATCTAGCACTGCTTTGCTGTTGTAATGGTAGTTCTTCTTTCTTATTGGAGTAGCTGTGATTTCCACTCATATGATGAGAGAAGGCAGTTTTTCATAGTCGCTGCATAACCTTCATCCAAAATTACCCGTTGCTTAGGACCGATTCACTCATGCCTATGTACTTCGTGATTGCTCAGCACTTGATTGCTCAGTTTTTCACATCTCTGGCTGAACATGTGAATGGGCTTGGGAAACAGGACTGCGTTTTACTTGGTGGGGTGATTCCATCTGTAGTGTTTGTTTTGTGCATGCAAGTAGTCAGCTGATGCTCCAATGATCAAATGGTGTGGGTGGGTGTGAACAAACCCCTAGAGAAGCACATGGAATATGATTTTAAAATTATTATTTCCCCTTTAAAAAAAACCAAAACCCTGCTGTAAGTCCTCCTGGTTGCTCTTTCTGTAGGCGTGTAGCAGCCCTTGAAGCCAAGCAGAACCGGCCGCAGGGACTCCAGAAGGGTTTGTTGAAGTCCCAAAGCCAAGCAGGCTCCAGATATCAAGGTCTATCAAAAGAGGATCGAGCTCTAGCAGAGAGACTGGAGAGGCTCAAGAAGGAAACAAAACCCAGTAAGCTGCGTACTATTTTTGGAGTGATTCGCTCTTATCACCCCTGGAAAGCCTGCTTAAAACAGAACTTAAAAAATTAATTCCCAGCCTTGCAAATGGAGGGGAAGGCTTGTCCTTAGCTTTAAGCCAACATGTGCTTGCAGCAGTGTGGAAAAAAACAACGATGGCAAGGTTACCTTCACTGTTTATTTGCACAATAGATCTGCCACACACTGATCCAGTTTGCACATAATGCTACGCTAAACCATGGCTTAGTGTGAACACACTGGTTCCTGGAGAGGAGATTGTAGCCACTTTGCTCTTCCTCCGATCCTCCTGCAGTGCTGCGAGCTAAGCCACGGTTTGTTGTACAAGCCTGGCCTTGTGATTTGTTTTCCTTTGGACAAGCTGTAACCTGAGCTGTAACCTAGGTTTGCTCTAGGTTTACAGCTCAGGGTTTGTCTTGAGCAAAAACAGAACTTACTTTTCAGGCAGTACTTATGGAATTGCACAGTTAGTTGATATATTGCTATATACTCTGGGTTGATGACCTCTGTAGCATATACATCTTTGACGCTTCCTTTTGCAGGCCGTTGTGCTGCTGCTGGAAGCTGCTTTAGATACCTTCCAATTGAAGGTGCTGAAGGGAAGGCACCAGACAATGGTCTGAATTCAGCTTGCATCTGTGTGATACTTAGGCAGGGCTATGTATAATTAGTGTGTCCCTGGGATTGCTACACAAGGCAAGCATCTGACATTTGGTAGGCATGATAAATATTCTTGTGGGCGGTTGAAAGGAACTTCTATTCATTGTTTAGTTTCTGGCGATTGAGGTCTCTGAAGCAGCATTGCTTGATATGTGAACAATGTCTGATGGAAACCTCAGACTGAATGGGAAGGCCCTCCAGTGGCCAGCAGGTGGAGTTTCTGTGTCCTGAATAGCTCTTTGTCCTGCCTGCAGAGATAGCACACAATGCAACAATTGTTGTCTGTTACTTAAGCTTTATTCAGACAGCAGGATTTGGGGTTTGCAGGGCACTGAATGTGCACAGGCTAGGGAATAATGCTGTGGGGGCGGAGAAGGGAAATATTTTATTCCAGTATCACAGGTGGTTCTCGGTATCCTCTGGTTCTAGTCAATATGATGGCTGGAGCAGGGGTGGGGGTGGGGAAATACTTGCCTATCTGTTTTAATGCAAGGCACGAAAGCTACAAAAGCCTCTTGGGCTCTCTTAGTAAAACAAGATTGTTCTTAATTGAACAGAGTCCATTCCATCTCAGGCTGAGATAGAGTCTAGGCTGGCAGCACTAAAAGATGACCCTGCAAGACCCATTCCATCAGCCCAGGAGATGGAAAACCGGCTGGCAGCCTTGCAGGGCAGAACAATCCCCTCTCCAGCTCCAAAACCAGTAAGATTTCTCTCTCTCTCTCTCTCTCTATATATATATACAGTGGTCCCTTAGTTTTAGAACAGCTTAGTTTATGAACAACTTGGATTAAGAATGCTGCAAATGCAGAAGTAGGTGTTTTGGTTTGTCAACTTTGCCTTGGAATAAGAACATGTTTTGCTTCCTGTTGAGTGTGTTCTATTTGTAAATTGAGTACCATGCTATGGGAAAGCATGCCTTGGTTTAAGAACGCTTTGGTTTAAGAATGGACTTCTGGAACGGATTAAGTTCGTAAACCAAGGTACTACTATATATAATTTCCAAGGGATAAGGAACTGGTGGCCCTCAAGATGTTATTGAACTCCTATTTCCATCAGCCCAAGCCAGTATGGTAGTGAATAGGGGTGCTGGGAATTGTAGTCCCAACAATATCTGAAGGGCCGCAGGTTCCACTCTTTTCCAGATTCTGTTTCTAGCTGCCACATGAATATTGTCAAGGGACGTGGGTGGCGCTGTGGTCTATCTAACACCAACCTAATGTAATAACTGTGAGATAGGCTATGTGGAAAAATTAATTTGGCCAAGGCTACTGGTCTAAATCACTGAGCCTGTTTGTCAGCAGTTCGAATCTGCATGACGGGGTAAGCTCATAGCTGTCAAGTGTCCCTTCTTTGAAGGGACGGTCCCTTATTCCAGCGCCATGTCCCACTGCTGTCCCTTATTGATGGATGTCCCTTAAATGTCCCTTAAATTTCAAAGGAAGCTGCTCCTCTCCCTCCCTCCCTGCCAGGGAGGAGGGAGGTTCCAACTGTGTTGCTTGGCTGTGTTGCTCACCCAATAAGAAGTCTAAGAACGACTGGGGGGTGGAGCTTGCATGCCTTGTGTGTGGCTAGTTAATGCAAGCTGAGGGGGGGTTTGAAGGCTGGACGCCATTTTGTTGCACGTGCTGCTGCAGACTTTGCAGTGCAGAGCCAGGCCGGGGAGCCATCTTAAGTTGAGGCTGCATAGGCCTTGTGGTGCATGTGATTCAGATTCTATTCAGTTGAACCTCTGGTTACAAAGTTGGTTGGACAGTGTTCTCGAAGCTACCAGCATGAGTTTGACCAGGCTGCAGGAGGACAGGAAGACTGGAGTGCCTGGAACAGGTGAGGCTGCAGGTCCCTTATTTTGGCTGCTGGTCCCTTATTTTCAAGGCTGCTGGTCCCTTATTTTCAAATCTGTAAGTTGACAGCTATGGGTGAGCTCCCATTGCCCTGTCCCATTTCCTACCAATCTAGCAGTTTGAAAGCACGCCAGTGCAAGTAGATAAATAGGTACCACTGCGGCGGGAAGGTAAACAGCGTTTCTGTGCACTCTGGTTTCTGTCACAGTGTTCCGTTGTGCCAGAAGCGGTTTACTCATGCTGGCCACATGGCCTGGAAAGCTGTCTGTGGACAAACACGAGCTCCCTCGCCCTGAAAGCGAGATGAGCGCCACAACCCTATAGTCACCTTTGACTGGACTTAACTGTCCAGGGGCCCTATACCTTTTTACCTATTATCATTCTCTTACTAATAGGGTTTTGAAGTTTTATGAGGTACAGAATCCACCAGAGACATTCTGGTACCTACTAGTGTTTCAAGTTCTCAGCTGTGTTCGAAAGCTGAGAGAGAGAGAGCAGGTGTTGGTTTTCCCTGTGCTATCTCTGTCCAAGGCCGTTTGCCTCAGAGACAGGCTATATCTGTTGTCTGGCCCCCTGAAAATAAGATTGGGTATATTAGGTTGGTGTGAAAGAATAGAAATGTTCCTGGGCCCCTTGAGACATTTGGGAAGTTGTTGTGGCTGGGCCCCTTGTTCTTTCTTTTAGTTTTGAACCTCTGGGCTCCTTCCATTGACTGTATAACTTAGGTTTTCTCAAAGTGGTCAACATTGACCCTCTGGGGTTGATGGGACTGTGCAGGGGTGAATAAAGATCTGGGGGTCCAAAAGGGCCTGGGGTGGAAAAGGAATTTATAAGGTACAATGTGAAAAATAAATTTAATTAAAAACTATCGAGCAAGGGCATGTTCAGAGAGCCAATGAATGCCCTTGCCATTGAGGAACCTCTGTATTTAGACAAGATGATTCCACATTGCAACAGGATTCTCAGACCACGCTTTTCTGTTGTTTTGCAAAAAAAAAATGTAAGTGCAGAGTTTCACTTGTAAAATATTATTTTTTTACAGTGTTAAAAGACTAATTATAACACTCCTCAACCAAATATATAAAAGCAAGCTGCCTTTGGGAAACTTCAGTGAGTCTTTAAAAAGCCTCACTTTTCTTCAGGGCTCTGCTTAGCTGCTTCCCAAGGCCACCCCTTTATTTCTTAAGAATTTGGGTAGAGGTTGATGGCAACTTTCTGAACTCATCCAGTGGTCAGTGAACTTGAAAGTTTGGGAATTCCGATGTAACTTGTGCAATCCCTTTCTGTTTTTCTTTCTCTTGTTAGGTACACGAGGCCCCTAATGCCAGGACGCAAACCGAGCAGTCAGATGACCTGCTGAAGCAGATGTCTGAGGAAGTTGCCATTGATGAGAGCGGTGGCTCAGGAGTTACGCCACAAGGTCCCTGTCTTGTTTTAAATCTGCTCAGTCTCCCCCCTGCCCCCGCAAGTTGATTAAAAATGGAGGAACGAGCAAGTACACCTCAAGACCTCAAAGGGCACCACTGCTATAGATCAATATATCCATTACAGTATAATCACTCGCTCAAGCACATCACCCAACATTTACTCCTTGCTGCAGGTCCCAGTTAAATAATGTACGGTATATAAATGAAAACAAGGTTATTTGAATTGTTTCCATATACAGTGGTACCTTGGGTTGCATACGCTTCAGGTTACATACGCTTCAGGTTACAGACTCCACTAACCCAGAAATAGTACCTCGGGTTAAGAACTTTGCTTCAGGATGAGAACAGAAATCGTGGGGTGGCGGCGCGGTGGCAGTGGGAGGCCCCATTACCGTATTTTTTCGCCCTATAGGATGCACCGTCCCATAAGGCGCACCTAGTTTTTTGGGGGGGAAATAAAGGGGGGGGAATTATCCCCCCCCCAGGCACGGGGCTGGGGCGGGGGAAGCCCGAGCTTCCCCCGACCCCAGCCCCCAGAACGCGCAACTCTCCGCAAGCCGTGGGAGCCCAGCGCCGGGCTCCCACGCCTTGTGGGGAGCTGCGCGAAGTCTGGGCGCGCTGAGCTCAGCGCGCCCAGCCTTTGGCATGCAGGCAAATCTTCGCAAGCCGCGGGAGCCTGGCGCGGGCTCCCACGGCTTGCGGAGATCTGCGCGAAGCCTGGAGAGTGAGAGGGGTCGGTGCGCACCGACCCCTCTCGCTCTCCAGGCTTCAGCAAAAGCCTGCATTCACCCCATAGGACGCACACACATTTCCCCTTCATTTTTGGAGGGGAAAAAGTGCATCCTATGGGGCGAAAAATACGGTAGCTAAAGTGGTGCTTCAGGTTAAGAACAGTTTCAGTTTAAGAACGGATCTCTGAAACAAATTAAGTACTTAACCCGAGGTACCACTGTATACATCTTTGTTTGCTATGATCTCTTTAGTTATAGTTCGAGAACAGTATGAGTACTTTGATCAGAGTCATGGTGCAGTGTCGTTCTTTGGCTGACATGTTTTTATTCATTTTACAGTGGTACCTTGGTTCTCGAACTTAATCCATTCTGGGAGTCCGTTCAACTCCCGAAACCATTTGAAAACCAAGGCACGGCTTCCGATTGGCTGCAGGAGCTTCCTGCAGTTAAGTGGAAGCCACGCTGGACGTTCGGCTTCTGAAAAACGTTTGCAAATCGGAACAGTTACTTCTGGGGTCGTGGCGTTGGGGAGCCGATTTGTTCGGAAACTAAGCCATTTGGGAACCAAGGTTCCACTGTATTTATTTCAAAAAAAAATATAAGCTACTCATTATAAAATATCAAGAGTGGAGTACAGAAAACCAAAAATAAACATAAAATATGCAGTAGCGATAATACAAGACCAGGAGATGATCAGTGGACAGTAATAAAACAAAACTTAAGTATGCCTCTGAAAGAGACCACTCCTGATTCAGATGTTATAGAGCAAGAAAGCTGAGTGGTCTTCAGCTTACTGAAAGCATTGTGTTGCAGATCTCCTAATGACTACTTCCAATGGCTTCATTTAGGCATTAAATAGGAACTGGGAGAAAATAGTGCCCTGTGGTGCTTCACAGCATAACTGTTAGGGGACCAAGGTTGCTTTCCGAAATTGACCCAGCTGATAGATACAGAACCACTGCAAAAGTGCACCTCTAACCCTCAGAGGAAATCCTCAATTGTATCAAACCTCTCTTTCATAAATAACTCCTACAAAGATGCATCTCCCTCCCCCCCCCCACAATATTTAAAAGTACACAGGGAGGTCTTACTTTTTATCATACCCACCAGAAATTTGACTCCCCTCCTATGTATATAGCAGGTGTGGGGCTGAATGTGGCCCTCCAGCCTTCTCTATCTGGCCCCCAGGACTCTCATGGAGCAGGAAGGGCCAGCATGTTGGGTTGGTGGTATGGAGCTGCCTCTCTGACACCAGTGTCCTCTGCAGAATGGTGGCAGCAGGGATAGGGTTCTAGCAGGCACACACTAGTGGGAATGCAGGATTGACTCCACTGGTGCAGCCACACAACTGTGATGTCACCCTGCTCAACCCCCATACCGACCCAGAAAGCAGCAGTGACACTACTGTCCAGAGGGCTCCATGCTGCCTGCTCCTGTTCTTCAGTGTTGTTGTTTTTCCTGTCCTTAAACTGTGTCTTCTACTTGCCTGGAAGGCAGAGTAGGTGGGAGGTGCAGAAACCTCTGGTTTTTGTGGGGCTAGAATGTATCTGCTGCGCAAAGGTGAAAGTCACATCGATTGTTCCGCCCATGTCTGCCTCTGGCCCAACCCTCTGCTGGCATTTGGACCTTGGGAGGTTCCCTGAGAGCAGACCTCCCTAGGCGAGTCCTGGGCTGAAGGCAAACCTAACATTTAAAGAGAAATGGTAGCGGGTTATTTGCTGTTAATTTTCACTAGGTGGGGAGAATAATTATTCACGCCCTGCAGTGTGAACCTGGCCTGGCAATTTGCAGAACAGATTCACATACCAGAAATTCAAAATCTGCATCATCTTCCAGCCTCACCCCACCCTCTCTTTGTGCTTCAGGAGGGCTTTTCCTCTTTTATGGTTTTGGGTTTTTTTTGTTATTATTTTTTTAAAGTGCCACATGTAAATTTACACTTATTTTACTTAGCAATTGCAAAGGTACGAATAAATAGAAAGGTGATGGAAGATCCTTGCTTTTCAGGCTTTAGAGGCTCTCATGAGATCTTGTAGGGCCTTGCAAGATCTCAAGCAGCTGGGGGAGTTCCAGCGGTTGTTTTGACTTTGCATGATTTGGCCTTTGCACATGAACCCCCAGAATGTAACCCAAGTCAAGATTGACCAGTGTTACTAATTAATCACTATTTTTTAAAGAAAGCATTTTGAAAAATTAGTGCAAAACTATTCTGGGAGGGAGCAGAGCTTTTTTGATGTTGCAGGTGCCAGCCAACCGCACTATCCACAGCTGGGTCCTGCTGCAAACTAGCAGAACTATTCCACTGCATCAGGCCACAGTTTTCCTGGGCACAGAAACTTACCATGAAAATTCGCTTTGAACATCACACACTACTGGCATGAAAGTATATCCTTCAGTGTTATATCTCCAAGCGTCTTGAACCTTAGCTGCATTTCCAGGAAGATCAGCCCCATCATATCAGGCCTTCTAAAGCCCCCAAAGGCTTTAATCGTTTTCCGTCATGTTCTCGTAAACAGAATTGCATGGGGTTGTTGAATCTGCAATACCCTTCTAGCTTTAATGATTTATGGGGTCTTAGTTATTTTATTGGGATTGATGCAGCAGTGCCCAGTGGGACAATGCTGTATTGTTGACCTGGCTTCTTGATGCCACACATCGCGACTGACTACTGAGAGGGAAGGCAAGGCGGCAGAGAGCTTACTGCAGGGTAGGCACAGCAGCAGGAGTATCGTGTTGGCTCCAGCACTTTGCCTGCAGCACACCAAACTCCCTGCCGCCTTGCTCCTCCCCATCCCCCAGCTTGGTAACGCATCAGTGGTGCTTGACACTGGGAATGCAGCCTCACCGGCTGCTACCGATTAGATGGAGGAATGGGGTGGCGCTGTGGTCTAAACCACTGAGCCTCTTGGGCCTGCCGGTCAGAATGTCAGCAGTTCGAATCCGCACGACGGAGTGAGCTCCCATTGCTCTGTCCCATCTCCTGCCAACCTAGCAGTTCGATAACATGCCAGTGCAAGTAGATAAATAAGTACCGCTGCAGTGGGAAGGTAAACGGCATTTCCATGTGGTTTTGTTTCCATCACGGTGTTCCTTTGCACCAGAAGCGGTTTAGTCATGCTGGCCACATGACCCAGAAAGCTGTCTGTGGACAAATGCTGGCTCCCTCAGCCTGAAAGCAAGATGAGTGCCGCAACCCCATAGTCGCCTTTGACTGGACTTAACCGTCTAGGGGTCCTTTACTTTTGCCTTTACTGATCGGATGTGTTTTATTTGCTGGCTGCTGGTTCTTATTTGTTCTTGCTGTAATCACAATCCTTTTCATGGGGCGATAGACATTGCAGACTGAAATAGCATTGTTTTTATGGTGATGTGGGAGCCAGATAATAGATGTTCCATCTGCCGCATTTGGTCTGGGAGGTTTGTGCTGCGTGCATCATTTAAGGTTGCAGTCATCGTGCAATGGTCATATATTTCTGAATTAACCCTAAGTCTCTGCTTTTCCAGAAGTTAGGACCCAAACTTTAAATGACTTAAATCGAGCCGACAGCATTGGCGGCATTGATGATATGGATCCCAAACAGTTGGAGGAGGAGAAGAATAGATTGCTGGCATCGGCGGCGACTGAGCTGAGGGAAGACAACACCAGGCAGGAGAAGATTCTAGAAGTAGCCAAGCGATTGGCTGCACTAAAAGGCCAAGATCCTGAGAAAGGTGTGTAACATGGGATTTTAAAGTAAGCAGAAAAACAGGCACTCTGTTTCCTTAAGAGGAGTCGTTCTCAACAGGAGGAGACAGTGCCAGTGCTCTTGGGTCCTGCTTGCAGGCTTCTCCGTGGAATACAGTCAAATTTCGGTTGTCAAATGTAATCCGTTCCGAAAGACCGTTTGACTTCAGAAACATTTGACAACCGAGGCTTAGCTTCTGATTGGTTGCAAGAGCTTCTTGCACTCAAGCGGAAGCCATGTCGGATGTTTAATTTATGAAAAATGTTTGAAAACTGGAACATTTACCTCTAGGTTTTCAGCATTCAGGAGCCAAAACGTTCAAAAACGGAGCTGTTCAAGAACCGAGGTTTGACTGTATTTGGTTGGCCACTGCGAGAACAGGATGTGGGACTAGATGAGCCACTGGCCTGAACCAGCAGACCCTTCTTACGTCCTTACATTTTCTTTGTTGGCTAGTGGGAATATGCCTGACAAACAATTGTCGAAAAATATGACTGTTTCCTAGTGCTGTGATTCTGGTTTTTTAAGGAACAAGTAATTGGTATCGGTGGATAGCTCGAAGCTAACTTGTAACAGAAACCCTTAGTTTCTTTCAGAAGCGAAACTGTTTGAACAAAGCCTGATTTGCGTATAGACAGGCCTGTAGCAAAATTCAGTACTTAGCTGTGTTTTCTCCAGCCTTGGGCATTTGCCAGGGGCCTGGTCTTCTCTCATATTTCTTCACCCCTGGGTGCCTAGCATTGCTCAGGAATTTGAAGAAACAAAAATATCAGTGCCATTTTGAAAGGTTTGGTCTTCCATTTCCCCCGAACCATAGATTAAAAACCTGCTCCTTGATCTCAGGAACCCGCATTCAAAATGTGATTTATGATACCTTAAGAGGTGTCCAAATGTGTATCAAACAGACAAATACCTTTGCAGAACATTATTATAATAAAATAAAATATACATACTATTCCTTCAAGTAATCCCAAGTGTTAGAAAATATTGCAGCCTGTGCAACTGGGTCAGCTGCACAGTAGCTTCATGCTCCCTCTGTAATCATTGACTGCTAGGGTTCCCAACTAACTGAAGGAAAGACAATACCTTGGCCTAATCTTTTGCCTTTGTAATAACCTTGATATGCAAGAGTGAGTGTGTGGAACTTTTCCACCTAAAAAGTATCCGCTGCTAATCCTGCAAACAAAGCTGCTGTCAAAGTGACCTCTCATCCATTAGCAGCTCCATTTGTCATAGCTAGAGTTAGCCTTGCCTACACTGATGATGGGAGAAGGAGGATCCTGGATGTCTTTAGAAATCCTACTGACTGGAACCAAAAGTAACATGTTTCTCCTGGGACTCTACCATAAAGAATGATCAGCCTAGAGAGCCTGGGCTGAACAAGAAGGAAGGACTGGCTGCTAGAGAAACAAGGTCACAAAAGGAAGAGGGCGGATTGCTAGCTTCCTTGAGCCCAAAGGCAGCAAATTAATAATAATTATTATTATTATTATTATTATTATTATTATTTATTTGTACCCTGCCCATCTGGCTGGGTTTTCCCAGCCACTCTGGGCGGCTTCCAACAAAGATTAAAAATACATTAAAATGTCACACACTGAAAACTTCCCTCAACAGGGCTGCCTTCAGATGTCTTCTGAATGTCAAGTGGTTGTTTATCTCTTTGACATCTGATGGGAGGGTGTTCCACAGGGCGGGTGCCACTACCAAGAAGGCCCTCTGCCTGGTTCCCTGTAGCTTCGCTTCTCGCAGTGAGGGAACTGCCAGAAGGCCCTCGGCACTGGACCTCAGTGTCCGGGCAGAACGATGGGGGTGGAGACGCTCCTTCAGGCATACTGTGCCATCTGATGATGGAATGGAAGTGACCAGGGAACAGCCTTTATTCTTCTAAGAATACACCCGTCGGGGGTGTATTAGTGGTACATGCTATCACGTGGTCCTTTATTCTCTCTCCAGCGTTACAGGGACTAGAAATACACTAAAGAATGCGAACCAAAATAAAAACCCATCTTCCCATAGGGAGGGCAAATCTGCAAAGGAGGGCAAGAAACATAAGATGATGATGGGCCGTCTTGATGAATTGCATCTTTAGCTCCTCAGTTTCCTCTTCTTTCTCTTGCAGTGACTTTGGATGACTACAGATTCCCCAATAGTGATGAAGAAATAGAAGAAGAAGAAGCCATTCAGAGAGTTTTGAAACAGGTCCATAGTAATTGGAATTGAGTTTTGCATTTGTTAAGCCTCTTGTTTTTGCCTTGCTGCAAAGACAAGATTTCTGCTATGCCCAGCTTCTTATCTTTGCTGTAAATCCATCCTCAGAGTGTGCTCCTAATAGTTTTCCCAAATTAGTCCATAAGCCTTGTAGAGTACTATGTAGAGCTTTCACTCGATTAAAGAAATCGTGTAATGCAGTTCCTGTGCGCGTCAGCTTAGAGTTAAAATGAAACTTACTCCCATTAAAATATGTGTACAACAGCCACTGTAGTCAATTAACTGTAGGAGTTGTGTAGTACAATTTTATTTACAGTGGTGCCTCGCAAGACGAAATTAATTCGTTCCGCAAGTCTCTTCGTCTTGCGAGTTTTTCGTCTTGCGATGCACGGTTTCCCATAGGAATGCATTGAAAATCAATTAATGCGTTCCTAGGGAAACCGCCTTCAGACCAGGTCCGGGGACAGTCTGTCCCCGGACCTCTTCTGAAGGCTGGGGGGCGGCAAGGGCTTTTCTTCCCACCCCCAGCATTTTAAAACCCCGGGACAGCGGAGGACTTCTCCGCTGTCCGGGCGATCTTAAAATGCTGGCGGGCGGCATTTTAAAATCACCCGGGACAGCGGAGGACTTCTCCGCTGTCCGGGGCAATTTAAAAGCCCCTGGGAAGGCAGGCAGGGGGACAAGACTTTCGCCCGCCAGCCTTCAGAAGAGGTCCTGGACCTCTTCTGAAGGCGGGCGGGGGCGAAAGTCTTTGCTCCCCCGCCTTCAAAGCCCTCCGGGACAGGCAGGCAGGGGAGCAAAGACTCTCGCCCCCGCCCGCCTTCAGAAGGTCTTCCCTCCCCCGCCCGGCTCGGAGCACCGCTCCGAGCCGGGCGGCGGGGAGGTGTTCCCTCCCCACCGCCCGGCTCGGAGCACCGTTCCGGGCCGGGCGGCGGCGGCAGGTGTCCCTCCCCCGCCCGGCCTCGGAGCACCATCCCGAGCCGGGCGGCGGCGGCAGGTGTTCCCTCCCCCCGCCCGGCCGGAGCACCGTTCCGGCCGGGCGGCGGGGAGGTCTTCCTCCCCACCGCCCGGCTCGGAGCACCGCTCCGGCCGGGCGGCGGCGGGAGGTCTTCCCTCCCCCGCCCGGCTCGGAGCACCGCTCCGGGCCGGGCGGCGGCGGGAGGTGTTCCCTCCCCGCCCGGCTCGGAGCACCGTTCCGAGGCCGGGCAGAGGCGGGAGGTCTCTCCTCCCCGCCCGGCCCGGAGCACCGCTCCGAGCCGGGCGGCGGCGGCAGGTGTTCCCTCCCCCGCCCGGCTCGGAGCACCGTCCCGAGCCGGGCGGCGGCGGCAGGTGTTCCCTCCCCCGCCCGGCTCCGGAGGAGCCTCCGAGCCCGGCGGCGGCGGGAGGAGGTGTCCCCGCCCCGCCGCCAGGCTTCGGAGGAGGTCCGAGGACAGTGGGGAAGACGCGCTGCGCTTCCCCGCTGTCCCTGAGATTTCCCTATGGGCTGTCGTCTTGCGAAGCAAGCCCATAGGAAATTCGCTTGCGAAGCGCCTCCAAAACGGAAAACCCTTTCGTCTAGCGGGTTTTCCGTCTTGCGAGGCGTTCGTCTTGCGGGGTACCACTGTATCTGTAAACTCATTTATAGGTTGCCTTTTGGGGTATAGCCCATCCAAGGCAGCTTACAGCATCATAAAAAGCAATACCATCTAAAACTCACAATGGCAGCCGTTCAGCAATTGGATGCATGTTTACTCAAAACTAAAGCATTCTGTAATCTCTGGGCTCTTCCTGCAGGCTCACAACAAGGGGAGGGGAATAGGAAGTACGTAGTAAGATGAACAAATATTTGCTATTCAGTGGAAGCAATGAAAGAATGATGAAACAAAGATAGATGTAAGAAAAATAATAAAAATCAAAGCTGTCATGCTTGAGACTTTTGAAAAGGGTTTTGAGAGGCAGAAAGACAAGCCATGCAAATGTCTGAAGGGAAGCGCATCCATATTATTGATTTTGTTACATAATTTCTAGCCAGAGGAGCTACCCACAACAACCTGTGAGGTAGGTTAGAGATATTAATTAGCTGAGTAGGAATTTGAACCCAGGTGCTCCCTGAGTATTTGATGACTAGTAATAGTATTTTTGGTCATAAATGCCCTTTGTAAAGCTGCTTTCTTTCCTGCCCAATAGTTAATCTGGTGGCTGCATGTTTGTTTACTAAACCAAAGATTAAGGAAGTAGTAGAAGAAAGACGCTTCTGAGAGGAAGGTTTGTGTGAAGAAAAGTCTTTTGTTTCAACTGCTGTTGTTTCTGCCGTCAGCTTACTGAGGAGGCGGCTCTGGATGAAGCAAGCGGCTTCAATATTTCTCCAGATCGATCCACCCAACCAGCGACAGCCCAACAGAAACCAGCCAGGAAACCCGAGCAAGTAAGCAGCCAATTCAATCCTATATTCAGTGCTTTTTTTCCTAAAAAAATGTTTGGGGGTACTCTCATTTCGACTCAAGAAAATCAGTGTTTTATAGCTCAAATCAGGAAAAATAAATACAGTAAATGGACAAAAGTACAAAGATTCACAAAATGTTTAGGGGTATGCGTACCCCCACAAAAAAGCACTGCCTATATGTGTGGCTTTCTCTGACTTTGCTGTGCTCAGTGCAGTGTCAGGCTGATCCCAGCAAGGCCCTTTTTAGTTTAGGTGTCATCCCATCGTGCTAAATAGCACCTAAACAGAAACAAGAACAAAATGCCCATGGGCCTAATGGTTAAGCTGAGAAGCGAAAGACAAAATGACTCCTCGAAGGCCAGCTAATTCTGAGCCACATTCTGTGTCCTAGTTCTGTGTTATGGCAAACAATTCAAAGCCCTCCAGCTGTAGGCAAAATTGATAGGTGTCCTCTTCTAGAACAATAGGTTTTGATGTTTATGTGAGCAAGAAGAGATGCCCGAAGTTGTGTGTGCACTTTAAAGTAAATAGCAATCAAGCATGACTGGTGCTGATGTGGGAAATAACAAACAGTTCTTCCACATGCTTCCTCTGTGACTTTACAAAACTCACGTCAAGGCCTCATCGCTTCAGATGGGCCCTTCCTGTACCAAGCAAAAGCGGTCCTTCCTTTATTGCTTGGGCTGTTCTGCATTGTCTTCAGGTGTCCAATATTGCACAGGGTTAGAAGTGTATTCTGGGGCCTGCAGCAGAGTTCGTAGCAGCTCAGTTTTATTTTATTTTTTGAGTTTCTGGTCCTTGTGGCTGTAAGATTTCAATACTTCACATTTATGCAGACATTTCAGGTGTCTCAAACGTTTCATGTATATTCCCAGTATATTCCTTAAAACAGCCCTGTAACATGGGGTAACACCATGAGCATCGTATTGTACATGGTGGTGAGGAGGAGGGAATATAGGCCTAGAATGAAAGAAGAACTGTCTCAGGTAAGATGAGGCCTGAAGCAGGAAATTGATGGTTCATATTAATAACACAGTGGTTATCTCAAATCTTCAAAAAAAGAATGTGTATACAGTAGTACCTCTGGTTAAGAACTTAATTCGTTCCGGAGCTCTGTTCTTAACCTGAAACCGTTCTTAACCTGAGGTACCACTTTAGCTAATGGGGCCTCCCGCTGCCACTGCGCCGCCGGTGCATGATTTCTGTTCTCATCCTGAGGTAAAGTTCTTAACCTGAGGTACTACTTCCGGGTTTGCGGAGTCTGTAACCTGAAGCATTTGTAACCCAAAGCGTTTGTAACCCGAGGTACCACTGTATATGTAGATGTGTGCATAGCATATATTTAAAATGCTGTGATCTTCAGGAAACAGAGTCCTGCGCCCTATCTAGTTCAGTTTCTTACCTGCTGGCCTCCAGTCTTAGGTGGGACCTTGGTGGTCATGCAGTCCAACCCATGGCTGAGTGTGGGATCTGCAATCCAGGAAACAACTACAGCATCCCTTCTATGTGCTCTGACTGCCAATCACATCTTTCCTCTTACACTCATGTGGCTTCCTGACCTCCCCAAAAACAAATAACGCATAGGCAAGGTGTGTGTTTGTTTTTAATTTTTAAAAACTGGAATTAAAAAAAATTGAAATGAGAACATTACATGATATATGTAGAAATATTGCACTGATTTTGATAAGTGGGTTTGGGTTTGTAATTGGTGCAAAGTTGTAGTGGGAGGAATTTTGCAGAATGCAAACAGTGAAGGCAATGTCACGCAGCTCCCCATTCACCCCAGAAGGTACTCTTGGAGTTTCTGTTGCAACATCTATGCATATTACCCTTTCCCTTTAGGGAAAAGCTCCAGCGGTTGCTAAACCTCTCGTCTTACCGGACAGCGACGAAGAAGAGCTGCCCTGGTGCTGCATCTGCAACGAGGATGCTGTCCTACGCTGCCACGCCTGTGATGACGACCTCTACTGCCAGCGATGCTTCCGGTAATGGCAAGAACCTCGGGGCGGAGGGTGGAAATCCCAGCATTCCAGGCAGCTTGTGCAGCGTGATCGTGTGCTGCATGTTTTTTTAGAGTGTGCAGGAAGAACTGTGTGCCAAAAAGGCTGAAACAAAGCACCTGAGTTGCAAGGGCCCCACGGCAGAAAGTAGTTAGCACTGAACGTGCAATCCCCATGACTTGGGCCTAAGGGGAGGGGACTGTCCCACTTCCTATATCCTGCTGCAACTTCCTGCTCTCCCTAAAAAGGATGGAGGAATCACCTGGGACAGGAGTTGAGGGCTGTTTTCGGAGAGGGAAATTGGTGGGAAATCTACGCTTGCCTCAGCAGCAGTGCCTCCTGCAACGACCACACAACTGGTGTCGGGCCTAAAGGCAGCTTTTCTCAGGCCCAGACCATGACCACATTCACACTGTCTATTTAAAACACTATGTTGCCACTTTAAACATGGCTTACCCCAGAGAAGCTGTAGTTTATGAAGGGTGCTGAAAGTTGTTAGGAGACCCCGCTGTTCCCTCACAGAGATATAATTCCTACAGTTCCTTGGGAAGAGGGATTGATGGGTAAACCACTTGGAACCGCAGCTCCATGAGGGAAACAGGGGTCTCCTAACAACTCTCAGCACTACAGGATTTCTTTGAGTGGGGAGCCATGGCTGTCTAAAGTGGTCGCATGAGTTTGTGTATATTGCCTTTTCTTAAATAGTTACAGGCTTGGGGGAAGCCTGGTTCTTACTGCAAAGGCAGAGCCTGGGGAGAAGTTCTCTTCATATTCACATCCCACAGCTGGAATGGAGATCAGGCCCTCTGTGCTGCTGAGAGCCTTAGATAAAAAGTCCTCATTGGTATCAATGGGAACTTATTTTTCTAGCTGCATTTGAGGAAGGGAAGGAATCTCCATTCCAGTCAAAGTGGGAGAGTGAAGAGAGAAGCTTCCCCTCTCTATGAGCTGTATTTACATTAAGAACCGGGAACTCTCATGCCTGCAATTATTTAAGGGGAAATAAGTAGCTCTATGCTGCGTACCTAAGTGAACATGTAGTTTGTCCCAAAGTTCAAGTCCATCACTTGGCTTATTATATACCCCACTGGCTCTCTGCAGTTCTCTTCTTGTAGGGCAGGGAGGGAGAAATTTGTCATTCAGACTATGGTGCCGAAGATTAAAACACTTCACAGTGTGTGAGCATATACATAAAATAGAGTAATTTATTTGCGGGTGATGACAGTGATGTGTACTCACATAGTTCTGTTTCCTTCCATTGAGCTTGTGCAAGACGATCCTGTCAGCGGATTGGGCCCTTCTCTGCTCTTTTCTGTGGCTCACAATCCTACAGAGAAGGCATCCTCACCCCTGTAGTGCAGTTTCAGAGTTGGATCTGAAGGAACGGCTGGAGGCCTCCTGTTTGCCAGCTGTGCCCAGTAACCTAAATTTTCATACTAGTAATTCATAGACTTCTGACTATGCCTGCAAAACCTTGTGCCTCAGATCACTGGAGGGCTTGTGATCTCCTCTTACCTCCATGAATGAGTGAGAGTCGCCATCACTTCTGCAGGATATTCTGGCTGGCATGACAGTAGACTCCTAGTAAACACTGCCTGCACTTCCTGTTTTGGTTTTCAGGGAAAGCCATGATGAATTTGATCGGAGGGAGCACCGAACGTCTAGCTATTGTCGTCCTCGAAAGCAAAAATGAGCCTATGGAGCGTGAGAAGAAAAGGGGAGGAAGGTGAAATGGAAGGGGATAAAAGAGAAGATGTCCACAAAGGTTTGCTATTTCAGCAAAAGCTGGCAGACTCTGAAAGGCAGCTCTGTGTCACTGAGAAGCTTGGAGGGCAAATGGTTGTGCCCGGCAAAATCAAGGCAGCCACTGTGGAGCTCGTAGTACGCTGAAGGTGGTTTGCCATGTGAGTAAGCTGTTAATTCAGTGAGAATGAAGACTGGCATGCTTGAAAAGGTGGGTTATTTTGCAGAGATTTGCCATTGACCTGGATGAGATGTTCATAGGAAATATTGCAAAAATAATAAATTATATGAAGAGAAGTTTGTGGTGATTTTTCTCCCCCCCCCCCCGTAGATGTCCACTGTTGCATTCTACAATCTGAGAACTCGTCTCAAGGTCTCTTAAAACTACACCGTCCTTAATGCAAGCAGTAGTGTTGCCTCAACAGCAAATTTCTTCACAAAAATGGAACCAGTTTTATAGTAAATTCCAAGTAGGCTTGGATCATAACCAAGGCCTTTCCTCTGAAATCAGGAAAACATTCAATTCCTATCTTTCCATTCTCTTTGGTCAGTTTTCCCCCTTACAAAAGGAACTAGATTTAGGTTTCATATGTCTTGTTTTTAATTACTAAATTTTCAGAATAGCATCCTTTCTGTTCTCGCTTCACAATAGCGAATTCCAAAACCATTATGAGGTGAATGCTTTTAGTAAGTCAACCTGAGTGTGCTAAACGGACATGTATTGGCGTTGCACCAAAGTCCCTTGAAATGCACAACAGCAGATTCTAGAAATGGAACCCCGTTTCTCAGTTCTGTGTTCATTCATAGGGAAAACACATGGATTTATTGACCACTTCACCCCTTACATTGCTTCTTTTAGAAGTGGCTTGGGGGGGGGCAGGGCAGAGATTGTGGGAAGGCTGGTGAAGTGCAAAGGCATGGGACCCAATCCAGCACTCCTGCCAGTATGTTTGTACTGTGCTGACTTACCCTCCGCTCTGCATGTTGTCCCTTTCTCTCATTGTAAGCAACAGTGAGACACACACACACATTGCAAAACTAGCATTATGGCTCCACTCCATCCAGCAAACTGCTTCTGACTACTTTTATGCTTCAAGTGTATGCTATTTTATCTTCTCTGTGCTAGGTTTTGCTAGAACTATCCCTTCTGGAGAGTGTGGCAGACAGCGGTTTGCCCACTGTATTTTTATTCGTTCCGGTCACACTTCCCTTGTATCAGAGCATATCACACCCCTACAAGGAACCAGGGGAGGGGGAGGAGGCAGGCTGGTGCAGCCAGTCACTTCATCTGCCCTGCTTGTCCTAGTCGGCCATGTTGTAGGGTTTGCCGAAGACGTTTTGGCATCTGAAGTGAAAAATCCAAGTGGTGAGGTAAATGAAATTATAAACAATGGGGTTGCATCCAATGAAGTCATCCTGCAAGGACTTTTGCAGTGGAACTTCCCCTCCCTCTCATTTCCCCATGTCGCAGTAATAATAATATAATAATTTATTATTTATATCCTGCCCATCTGGCTGGGTTTCCCCAGCCACTCTGGGCAGCTTCCAACAAAATATTAAAAACACTGTAAAACACCAGTCATTAAAAACTTCCCTAAACAGGGCTGCCTTCAGATGTCTTCTAAAAGTCAGATAGTTGTTTATTTCCTTGACATCTGATGGGAGGGCGTTCCACAGGGCGGGTGCCACTACAGAGAAGGCCCTCTGCCTGGTTCCCTGTAACTTCGCTTCTTGCAGTGAGGGAACTGCCAGCATTGGCAAATCCCCAGAACAGGAGAGAAAAGGGAAGTTCCATTGTGGAAGTCCTTTTGTGAACGGGATGGCGCCACTGGATGCGAAGCAATGTTCTTCATTGGCTCTTACTGGTGTCCAGATCTTCTGCTTTCCTCTAACTCAAGGAAATGGCATTCTCGGACATGTGAACCAAGGTGACTGAAGGACTCTGCATGTCTGAACTGAAGGCGGTAAAAACATTTCGAGAATTCATAGCTGGGTGGGCATGGGTTCCTGATGCATCTCTCCTCTAAACAATTTAAATAGCCAGAGGAGGTTGGGCATAAAGCTGTGTTCTGTAGCAGCTGGTTTGCAATTGCAACACACTGTTGGGTGGATTGGTGGCCTTTTCTGCGTGTTTCCATCTAGGGTGAACAGAAGGGCAGTCTACCTGGGAAGCCAGGCACTTGGCAGGAGTCTGGATGGGCAGGTGTGAGCTGACAAAGAAGCACATACAGACCATTTCCTTTCAGTGTGAATGGTGGTAATTACTCTGAATAGAGCAAGTAATACCCGGACAATGACTAGTGCTAGAGTAACATGCCCATCATCGGATCTGGACACCGCCCAAAGAGAAAACAAATAGTGTTTTAACAGGAAGATGGGTTGAAATAAATGGAAGCACTTTAGCATAACCCCCCCCCCCCATGCTCAGATGCATGGCTTGTATCCACCAGGTGTTGTGCATTCAGTAATTTGTGATGGACTGCCCCACTCAGAGGTCTGTGGCTGCAGAGGCTTGAATGTCATGATTTCCCCTAAAAAGGATCAGCATCCCATATTAGCATTATGTCTACAGTGAAGCAGAAGTGTGCCTGATGCAGAATCCAGATGCATAATCATGGAGGCTGGATGGCTGTTAGGGGGCAGGATAAGAATTTTAAAGGCAGTCTCACTTTCATAGAAACGATTAGTAGCTGAACCACAACATTTATAGTTGTAATGTCTAGTCATGCACTGTCAGCTCCGATTTGCTTAGTATAGACAGCAGGTTTCAGACAGAGCAGTTTTTGCTGCTGTGTTTGTAGTTAGCATATTTGGACCGTGTTGAAGAAGACAGGATGGGGAAAAAGGGAGGAGCAGTCTGCCTGCTCAGAGGTGACAATCTATTTGACATCCAGCTTATTCTCCCTTGAATTGTTTCAGTAACCAGTCTGCCAGGTTTTATTTTTAACCACTATGGGCCCTGCCCTTGGATCGAAGCTTTCTTCATGTTGGTCTTTGTGTGTGTGTCCTTTTTTTCAGACTATCTGCTGAAAGGGAAGGAAAGGGGATTGAACCAAGACAGCTATAGAGCAGGGTGGGGAATACGAACTGGCCTAGAAGCACGTAGTCACTTTCTCCCCACAGAGATTTCAGTTCCTACAAATTCTGAAGTCAGTGACAGGCTTTCTTTACAATGCCTTCTGTGGCATGTTGTGCTTAAACGCATTCATGCAAAAAGATGCATGAAACTGCCTGCTGGAGAGGGAAGCATTGGTTTTAGTTCCTTGATGCTGTATTTTTCCACAAATATAATTTCTTCTTCAACCTCAGTTTGACCCTTTGTGTTTGTTGTTTGCCGTTCTCGAGTGTGTTTTATGGACTTGAGCAACTTGCCCAGCAAGTACTGCAAAGAAAATGCATGTAGGAAAGGGAGGGAAACAGACACAACATTTCTAATATGAGGCTCAGTGCACTTTGATCAGTTTGTTAGGAAGGCTAAGCTAGCCAGGCGGTTTGAAGAATGGTGAAATGAGTGTTTTCCTTCAGGTGGTGTGTTTGTAATGCATGTGAGCATAGTGTGCGAGCAGAAGACGTTGCCTGGAAGCATGTTGCAGTGCAGTACAGTCGTACCTTGGAAGTCGAGCAGAATCCGTTCCAGAAGTGTGCTCAACTTCCAAAACATTCAAAAACCAAATTGCAGCTTCTGCTCAGAAGCCGCGGTAGCCCTGTTGGATGTTTGACTTCCAAAAATAGTTCACAAACCGGAACAGTCACTTCTGGGTTTGCGACATTCAGGAACTAAGCTGCTCGAAAACCAAGGTACCACTGTACCTGCTGCTCTCCTCTTACACTATCCATGGCGTGTTTCAGTTCCAGAAGTAACCTAACAATGGATCTCTTGCAGACAGACAGAGAAATTGGCCTGCAACCCAAACTATATGTGTAGTCCAGTAGACAGAGATATGAGACCAAGCCCTAGATCTCAAGGCAGGTGAGAGAGGCAGGCACATCGTCCAAGTGGCAGACTTTGGGCTTTCAAATTTCAGCGGTGCCCCCTGTCTCTCATCTGTTCGAAGTCATAGTTGTGGGGGCCCCTGCAGCCCAGTGGGGGCAAGCTGGTCACGCTCCCCGAAATCCACCTCTGCCCAGAGACCCGCTTGCTCTGGTCCAGGAATGGCACAGACCTGTGTTCCTTGTGCCTTTTACAGCACCCATGCCACAGATTAGCTACCAAGCATTATACAGTCACCTCCATTCACAATGTGGCAAGTGATATACACCTGGAGATGGGCACATGGGAATTGTGACATTGGAAAGACCACACCCAGGCCATAGAAAATGTACCTCTTAAACATGAGGATGACGACGAAGACATTGTACAAAGCGATTGAAATGAAAGGCAAAAATACATTTTTGTTAACGCCTTATGCATCCCACCACTATCACATGCTTGAGGTGTTTGTGCTGAAACACAATATTTGAAAGGGGGGAAAAGCAACAGTGAACACAGTTTTTTGCTATGGATGCAGCCCTGGTGCCTGAAAGAGCACAGATCTTTTGGTGAAGTCATTCCCATTGCTCAGAAGAATGAACGATCTCAACATTGCCTTAGTCACCAGTGTGTATTCTTCAGAATAGGAAATAAAAAGGACAGGAAACCCCACCTTGTAATTACATGAATGGACATGTGTTACTCAAGAAAACTCACAGATCTGCAGCAGCTCAGGTATTTCATCTCCCACCTCCTTCAGGTTTAGCTGCTAGAAACTCCCATGCCTCAGTATTTTTGGATTCTAGACTCTGGTAGCTAAGCCACGTGCAATTACCTAAGAGCATTTATCCATGAAAGAGAAATAATCAAGGGCTGAGCTAAATCCACTTTCCCATGTCCAACTTCTTCCCCTCTTTCAGTCACTGAAAACTTGACTTCCCTGCTTCCCATTTTTGGCATTCTGTCAGCTTTCTGCATTTTGAATGGTGCGTAGGTATGTAACAAAGATAGGATACTCCACTTGTAAACCCCCATCATGATATCATTCTTCACTGTATGACTCTGTTTCCTGTGCCTTACCTTCTCAGCTGTATCGTTGATGGAAGTAAAGCTGGAAATCACTTTAGGCAGGAAAAATGTTTTTAAAGACTGATCTCAGAGGTGATGTCAATGAAAACTGGGGAGTCTGATAAATTCTAATAAATGCTTCTCTTAGGCTATGCACACACTATACATTTATAATACATTTTTAAATCCAAAAAAGATCCAGGGAACTGTAGATGCCCCTCACAGAGCTACAATTTCCACTACCCTTACAAAATACAGTTCCCAGGATTTATGAGGAAACTGTGTGCTTTAAATGTCTGGTGCATACATTCATGTTAAGAAGCACAAAAATACTCAACTGAAAATTATTATTCCTTGCAAATGCCATCATACAAACAGATAACCTGTACCGCTTGAGGGACTTGTCCTGTCCCCCATGCTCTAATTCAGGGGCAAAGAATCTGCTGTTGCTGTCTTCTGACTCCCACCAAACCCTGCCAGCATCAGGGATGATGGAAGCCGGAGTCCAACAACAAGAGCCCCAGGTTCCCCATCCCTCAAAAACATGACACAATGGGTGGAGGGTAACAAGGGATTTATGTATTTCGTGTTTGTATTTTTGTGTTGTGAGCTGCCCTGTGATCTTCAGATGAAGGGCAGTATACACATTTAATTATAATAACAAGGATCTGGTGGCCCTCTGGTTTTCATGCTGGCTCAAGCTAAGATGGGAGCCCAGCAACATCTGCAGGACCAAAGGTTCCCCTCCCTGATTTAATGCAAAGAGGAAAGAGATGCTTCCCTCCCATAACAGCTGTTCCCTCCCCACCCTGCTCTCCAGCACCCTTGAGCAAAGGCCACACTGGGAGGATTCAATGGGGGCTGAAATCCAGCAACATCTGGGGAGACACAGACTCCCTGTCCCTGTTCTTAAAGACCTAGCTTGATTCTAACAGTCTGAGCATTGGCATGTCTAGTTCCATGTTACCTCTCCGGAGCTTTGAGCAGAGATCTTTCCCAGCCCTGCTCCATAAGTGTTTTTCAAATGGAGATGTCAGGAACTGAACCTGGGAGCTTTGACCAGCAATGCATCTGATCTGCCTCCTGAGCTATGGCCTGTCCTCCCCGCAAACAAGCTACTGCTTGCAGATAGAAATCCAAGGGGCGAATGAAGATGGATGCTTTGGAATCTGATGTGTACGATATCAGGCAGTGCTGGAATTCCATCCCTGCTTCTTCTAATAATTCTCTTCCACGGGATGATGCATTTGTGTTACCGGTTTTTGTCGTCGCGGTTCATTTCTTTTGATTGTTGGCCATTCTCCTGAGACCTTTCAATCGATCGAGCAGTTCTGTAACAAAGTCCTGAATCAAAATCCATTAAAACAAGGTTTTAATTAATAAAGTTAACTCACCCTCCACCAAATTAAAAGTAGCTGGATCTTTACAACCTCCTGGCATGCTCCTCTTGCAAAGCATTAAGAAGCAGCTAAGCCATAATTAAAAGACCACCCCCTCCCCCGGGCTAAAATAGGGTAAGATTAAGGTTTTCAGACAATCAGGGTAGAGTTTTGTTTAGGGTTGTTGCTGTGGCTGAGAAGTTGTGCTATTATGTTCTTGTATTTTATAGGCCTTTATTAGGAATTACCAGCAGATTGTTTAATTTTATTATAGTTTCATTAGAGTGAGATGTTTTCATTGGCATATTGCTTATATGACTATTTACATTTTGTTATGTCGTGTAATTACTAGTGAATTATCTTATGTAAACTTTGATATTACGAGCTGCCTTGGGTATGGTTTTCCATGGATAAGTGGCATGCAAATAAACAATGGTGCAGTAGCTGTGTAGAAGAGGAAACTTGGTGGGTGTAGCTTCCTTAACTAGCTCGGAACAAACAGCAATTTGAGATTTCTACAGATTCTACAGATTGCCATTTGCTCTGATTCAGAGGCAAAGAGCGAGTTTTCACTGCAAAAGCGCTTAGACACTTTAAGACACAGATCTTTTCCTAGAAATGCAGCACAAAAAGAAGTCTGGATGAGCCTGGAGTTGACATGACAGACTTGCTGAAACTCCTTATTTCAAGCTATTAAAGATTCAGGAGCCCTGACCCTCGCTGGACTGAGGCCAGCCTGTTTGACACGGTGGCTTTGGGGCACAAGGAGACAAAACGTCTTCTGCGCCATTACCAATTGCAAAGTTATTTTGTTAAGTAAGTAAATAGCAAGTGCAGGGCCCCCAGTCTGGATGGGGATCTTGGCGTGGCCCACATTGCAGTTCCAATATGGATCTATGTCCCCAGACCCACTTTTTGCATTGGAATAGAAGCTCCCGTTCACACCAATGGAGCTGTTCTTTTAATGCAGATGGTAGGCCTTCCTCCTCTCTGTTACCCTACAAAGCAGTTTTTAGTTCACACCGGTTCTCCAGGTCAAATGAAGACATATAGCGCTGACACCCAGGTCTTGTCTCCTCCCCTCTTCCCCTGCCCCAGGCTGGATCAGGACTGCAGCAGGGGCAAAAGGTTAAAGGCCCTCTCCCACCAGTACCAGGGTTCCAGTCTGGACTGGGGTCCCCATACTTGCTATGCACTTTGTGAAAAGCCATTCATGCAATGGAGATCTTAGCAGATGGGGGAGAAGAATCACCGTATATTTTTAAAAAACAAGATCAACTACAAGACAGATTCTTCTCCCCCCTATCTGCTAATCCACCATAAGGGGATTTATTTAAATATAAACCAAATGCCAACCAATTTATAAATATAAATTGAAATCTATTCTTGGGGGACTTCAACCATTCTACCCCGGAGTGCAAGTAGAATGGAGAGACTCGGCTGATCAAGCAAATTAAATGTAAGTCATGCATACCAAAAGCACAGCAGTTGAGGTTCTGGACTGTACCACTTCAGACTGCAGGTGGCAACTCTTATGTCTGAATACTCATCTACACGAAAATAGCTCCTGCTTAGAAAACGGGTATGTCAGGAAGAAGCATTCTAGCTTAGCCTATTTCCTGACACTCAGTTTTTTTGGCCTGTTTTTTTGTCTGGAGGAACATGTATTTGTTCATTTATTTGTTAAATGCATATCCTGGCCTTCCACCCAACCCTGCTGCAGGTACAGTTCAGCCATGTAAGCCTCCACTTGCCCTTTAGTAACTGAAGATTACTGCTGCTATTTTCTAACAGAATGAGAGGGACGCAGTCCTGAAGCTAGATCACATATTGCCCTTCATCCCGCTTGAGTTACACATCTAGAAGCCGCCTTCCATGTGCTTATACCCCGCTAGCTGGACAGGTGGTGACTATTTTGCACACATCCAATTGTACCGAGTGATGGACTTTGTGTGTTACCTCTTGTCATCCTTCAAGCTAGCACCGTTATTGGTGGGTTTCCCTTTCTACCCAGACACATCTGAGTGCTCTCTTATTGTTCACAAGTAAATCATTCACCAACCCTGCTTGTTGTGTAGTCACCTTTGAACAACTTCTACAAGGATTGGTCAAGTTACCATGGAGATCAGCAATGGTGAGTCAAGAAGTTCAACCGCCACTAGTTGTGGAGAAGGAAAATCTTGCCTCCTTCAGCTGTAGCACACAATATAGTTCAGAGTCCTATTTCAATAGATAACCCGATTGATTTCCCTTCCAAACATAATTACAGGGTGGTGGTATGCAAGTAATTTTCTCTGAGTAGACCGATTGAAATGAATGAAAACGAGTGGTGTCCTTTGCATAACAACACAGTCGCCTAGCTCATGTGCAGCTCTCTGCATGAGGGATGGGTGTTAACCTTGAAGGGAAAGTTGATGATAGTGACTCCATGGATGAACCAATGCAGATAGAAGGAAGAGGAATGAATGTCATGAGAACTGAGTAGTTCTCTTAGGGCCAAACTGATGTCTGCCTGATATTAAACTTTATCAAGTTTTCCGTTTCTTAAGTACAGGTGTAGGGGTGTATGTGTGTGATCCTTGCAAGGAAAGTTGAACATCCCTTGTGTGATCAGAGCCAAAATCATCCTCCCCCTCCAGCATCTAATACTAAAGAAAACTTACCATTGCTATCAATGGGAATTTTTTTCCTTAAGCATTTTAGCTGCACAAGGAAGCCAATTTTGGCTCCGATTGCACTGGAGAGGGAAGAAATAAGCCCCCACTAACTTCCCTGTAATAATTTCTTCCCCATATGCTTGTAGTTAAGGAAAATGAGACTTGATACATAGCTGCACCTTAAGAGTAGCATATAGTTTGAACATAGGAAAGCTGCCTTATAGCATGTCAGGCCATTGTCCATCTAGTTCAGCATTGTCTACTCTGGCTGGCCATAGCTCTCCAGGCTTTCACACAGGGGGACATATCCAGACCTATCTGGAGATGGTAGGAACCTGATACCTTCTACCACTGAGCTACAGCCCTTCCTAAGTGAGTTTGGCTCTACTGCATTCAAAACAAATATATTTAGAAGTAGAACTTCCATCTTGGCCACCCACCACATTCAACCCTAGTAGTTTTGTGCTATTTGGAGAAAATAAACTGCACTCCTGTTTATCCAAATTTTGGCATTATCCAAACCTCTTGGTTGAGCCACAAACCATTTGGGATAAAGTAATTTATACCTGTGTAAGTATGGCTGAAAAATGAAAGCATGAGCAATGCACACTAAACATAGCTTCAAAACATCTGTAGAACTGGCTGTTCAGCTGCTCCTAGAGCAGAACACTGTGATATTAAAGCATCACCAGTGCTTTTTCTTCTTCTAGAAAAATAGGTGCCAGTACTCACCATGAAGTTGTTAGAGTAAGTGCCACAATTTTTAACAACAACAAAAAAGGTGCCGGTACTGCGTACACTTGATTACTTCCTAGAAAAATTTAAAAAAAGCACTGACAATTGCCTTGCTCTATGCTCACCTCTGTAGGTCTGGAACATTCCTGGAGAATTTCCTACAAGATAAGATAAAACATTTATGCATGTATTTGAATTATATATCTCTATATATCTTCCTCTACATTTTACCCCCAGGGGCAAGGAAGCAAAATCTCTTTGGTTGGCAGCCAAAAGAACACAGGAAGCTGCCTTATAGCGAGTCAGATGATTGGTCCAACTAGCTCAGTATAGTCTACCCTGATTGGCAGTTCTCCAGGGTTTCAGGCAGGAGCCTCTCCCAGCCCTAACTGGAAATACTGGGGATTGACCCTGGGACTTTCTGTATGCAAAGCAAATGCTCTTGCACTGAACCATGGCCTTTCACTTATCTGCAATAGTATACCACACTGGGCCACATGAGCCAATCATCTGACTCTGTATTAGGCAAACTCATATGTTTAAAACTGATGTACTTTATGGACAGTCTCTCAAAACACTCCCAAGTCGGAAATGGCCTGCCTGCTTTGAATCAATCTCAGAATTCAACCACTTGCAAAAACGGTACACAGAGCTTGCACCCCATGCCACCCCGCCCTGCAATTCCAGTTACTTAGTTGTGGAGGACTCCGTTTTCAGACACCACATCAAAAAATGGGGCAGATGGTTTTGTCTCATTGAGTCACGCTGTGTTCAACAGCTCACTGAGAACCTCCTTTCATGATGACAAACATGGCAACATTGGAAAAGGCCCCTTTGGTCCCCCACAAACCGTCTAAATAGGCAGTTAAAGGTGCCTCTGTCCAACCTGCAGTTTAGATTTCTGCTCCTCGTTAGAGACGTCAAGAAGATCCTCAATGTCGATTTCTGGCTCTGGAGCGGCTGTGGCTTCTGTCTCCTCCTGCAACTGGAGCAGAATCACCAATGCTCAAATTACACAGGCGCTGCCCTTCATGTTTTGGGGTTGCCCCCTTCTCTATTGCTTTTAGAAGGCACTGGAACCATCATCTCTTTCCTCCCCACCTCAATCTCTAATCAGATGCCACCACCATCCTGCCTGGGCTTCTCCAGCTCCACCATGTCTACCAGTCTGGTTGAAGCTGGCCAACTGGCCCCCGGCCAGGCATAGCTCTGTTTATTCAGGCAGAACCACTCCTGTTACGTCCCCAGGCAGGATCTTTCTTTAGCTAGTGCCTGGCACTCTGTTTGATCAGATACTTGCACCTGCCAATCAAGAGCCTCCTGCCACGCTCCAACGACTCCAGTGGCCTAACAAGTGTCAATGAGACGTGACTTTAAGCACATTTTTTAAATTGTGAGCTCTTAACTAGCCCCACCTTTCTTAGCAGCTGCAGGAAGACTCCACTCTGAATCAGGATTGTGGGGTGAGGTGGTTTCCCTGTGCTGTTTATCCCCTGAAAAAAAAATCTACCCCAACCTCTCATTTCCACCCAGCTGTAATGAATTATTACTATGGATTTGGTGACGATAATAAATACTGTAGCATCTCATATAGGACTGCTACCCAGGTAGGGTGATTCTGTTTCATTCAGGTGTATGTGTGTGCACACTTAATGAGGCACATAACACCTTCAGTTTTTGTTTCTTCATCTGGCCCACCCATTGCTACTCTGAAGGTAAATTTTATATATACATAAATTTGATTGATTGAAGCAAATTTCAAATGGTTGCCTCCTCCATCTTTCTAGGACCTCCGCCAGTGACACATGCACACAGTCATATTTCAGTTCCATATTACACAGACAGGTCAGCAAATGTTTTCTTTGATTACTTAACAACCTCCTTTCAATAAGGTTGAATAATATCCTCACCTTTACCTGCCTTTGAGAAGCAGGGGTTAGGCTGCTGGAAAGTAAAGCATCAGCAAAACTGTGTCGGGAAAACAACCTTTGGAATGAAGATAAGAGGGCAGGGCTTTTACATGCTGCCTGTACAGAAACAGGCTTGAAATACTCTTCTCAATGACCCAAATTGTGAAAGATAGCCCACAATTAGTTTGTTTGTTAATACGCTCCCTCAACCTCCTTCATCCCCTGCAAAGGATCCCAATAAGCTAATTCCACCTCGATTGGCAGAATTGGCAATATTACAGATGCCACATAACACCCATTCGGCCTTTATAAGAACACAATAGTGTGTCAGCATCTACACTTTGGAACTCCCTACCAATTGATATCAAGCAGCTACCTTCACTATATTCTTCTTGGCACTTGTTAAAAACATTGTTTAGGCAAGCCTACCCAGATGCTTAGAAATGCTGGTGTGAATTTTAATCTGTTTTAATAGTTTAGCTTTCTGTATATTTAAAAGTATTGTTAAAAAAAAAATACAATCAAGTGGTGTATGCATTTCACGAAACAAACAAACTTATTTTAGGTACAATCAAATTATCAAATGGTCTTCCAGACATAGAAATTTAGTGGTGCTATTGAGGGACCCTGCTGAGACCTCATTTAGAGTATTATGTTGAGTTTTAAGTTCCATAGTTCAAGAGCTGACAAGATGGAAGAGGACTCTACAAGATTGGGTAAAGATCTCAGGTGTTTCCAGGTGTGGATAATTAATCGGACACAATAATTGCTGTCCTGCTTTAGGCTGCAAGTGGAATAGCAACTCTGTTTTCAGGCTTATTGTCTTTAGGATTCAACATGTACCCAGGTGGGTAGCCCCTCCCCCCAAGAAAAACAGCCTCGAATGCTGAGGTGTCATGACCCATGACCTGGGAACCTTGCAGTGCATTGTTCAGATGAAGTTCAGGCTACTCATTAGAGGAAGAACAAACAGTGCCTTACTCAGGGCTAGCAGACACAGTCCTGCCACTATCTTCTGACTTAAAGGGTGAGTCCCCTGCATTACTTCTGTCTCTCAAACCTTGTAGAACCCAGAGACTACAAAATAAGGCAAGGGACCTTTAACCAGCAGACAAGCTCTTCCAGGGCAGTGGAATCTGCCACACTTTAGGCTTGGTTAGACTAAACAACTACAAAGGCTATAGCTCCCTGCTGCAACAGCTGCTCTTGTGGCTGTTTTAGAGGGGGCTTTTTGGAGCTGTCCAAGGTCCTGGATGCTCTCTGCTTGGCTTGTGACTACTAGACAGTGCCTTCAAGTCTCAAGTGTCCATGGGGAGGAAGAGAATTCTCACTTCAGCAAGGGCATGGAGGAAAGGGTTAAATGTCCCCCCCCCTTTTCCTCCACTTGCTGCAGTCTTGATCATAGTTACCTCCCTTTGGTGTGATGTATGGGGAGAGTAGAATAGAAATGGATATAAATGCAATGCTATTTGAGAAGGGAAGGGTTAAAGTAATATATCTGATTCATAGATAGGAGAGATGGATCATAGGGAAGGAAATTGTTAGAGCAATCTATACAATCCATAACTTGCCCAACAACCTAATAAGCAGCTGCCTTATAGGTCATCTACCTCTTGGGAAATTAAGCTTTGGAAAAGGATGGAAGTTGAAGAAGATCATCATGGGAGGATGTTTTGACAACGGCATCATGCAGATTCCCCATAAAAAGTGAGTGAACAGAGGGTAGGTGTTCCACAGAAAATGCCCAGTGTGGAAGTAGCCACAGAAAGTAAATGTGGATTAAATGGTTCAAGGTGAGTTTGGAAATGGAAAACATTTATTCAAGTTCATGCTACAAAACTCATTGGGATGACTATGGACAGATTTCTCAATCTCTCCCAGCTGATCATCTCCACAAAGGGATGTTGTGAAATTAAAATGCCCTTGCAAATTGGGCAGGACACACATGCCATAATCAATTATGCGTAACAAAAATGTCTGCAAATGTGACCTGAGGTTGGCAACATCGATCTTGCTGTGTGGGAATCCTTTGTAGACAAGCACAGTGTCTGGAGACATGCAGTCAAGTTGTGTATCCATAGCAATGACCTGAGAAGGAATGACCACTGGGAGAAGAAAAGCCATGGTGCATCTGCAACAGCACAACTTGACGCCTTCATCTGCCCCCGCTACAACAAAGCATGTCTCTCCCGCATTGGTCTCTACAAACCCAACAGGTGCTGTAACTTCCCAACAGTTTGACTTCACACATACACCCAAGGCAAACCCCTTCATTGTACCTGAGACAGATGGATGCCAATCAAAGTCAACCTTCCCCACCCTGATCCACCCTGGATGTTTTAGATTCAGGTTCCCAGCAGCCCCAGCCATCAGGACAGTGGTCAGGGGTGATGGGAGGGTACTAAACTGGGGAAGGCTGCCCTGAATAAAAAAGCAAATCCTTTGAGGCCAGTCTAAAATATCCAGAAATTCTGTAAGGTACCCAGACATGCGCCAAACATTTTTAGAGATATTGGAAAATAAAAGGGAAACAGTCACCCATTCTTTCAACTTGCATTCAGGACAACAAACAATGGCTTTTAGTTGCAGGAAGTAGATTTAAATTCAAGATTAGGACAAACTTCCTGATCATGGGAGCATTCCCACAACTGAAAAAGCTACTTAAGGTTTTGAGGTGTCCTGCTTGGAAATTTCCAAGGTAAGAGCAGAAAGGTGTCTGCCAGTAATGCTTTTTGGATATAAGATGTCTTTGCCTCAGGGTGGAGAGTTGGATGAGCTGATCCTTTCCAGGCAGATGCTTTGTGGCTCTACCATTAAGCCCCAGTCTAATCTCACACAGTAATCCATGCAGAATGGGAGTGGGAGAATTTAACAAGTTAATGAGTGTGACAGTGAATCACATTCCTTTATCACCAAAACAGATGTCCATTCCATTCCAAGCCATACATTGTGCTAGAGACAGTCCTAGCATAGGTAAAATTCTTTGGTCTTATGTGTGATGTCTTTATCCAGTCAAATAGTTACTCACCTGGTACTGATATAGCTCTTGCAACTGGGCATCAATCCACTCCTCCAGATCTAGCCATCTCTGAAGATCTTTTCGGTTATACTTGATGGTTAATTTGCCCAGCCTTCTGTGGGATGTTTCCTCTTCTGGTTTCTCTGGAGCATTAAAAGTGACCCGAGGAAGGGAACTTGGGCCCTGGGCTATGCTCACTAACTGTCCCACCTCCTCTGTACTCTCCGGGGACAATGTTCTCTCTTCCAGCATGTTTCTTCCCCCTACCCTCCTCCTCCTCCTTCAAAAAATTGCCATTGATTATTTTCAAAGCGCAGAAGCGCCTGTAGTGTCCCAGAGCAAGTCGCTAGATGAAAGAGAGAGAGAGAGAGAGAGAGAGAGAGAGAGAGAGAGAGAGAGAGAAGTCGCAGGAGAAGCAATCAATCAGCTGCTCTAGGAAAAAGCTGATTTGGTTTCACTGTTAGTGACACTGACAAAAGCAATGTGGGAGGGAGAGTAGTTGTAATAACATCTGTTGTTAGAAGAGGCTGAGCGATCATAGACCGGGCAGACAGAGTCCATTAATGTTTTATGCAATCCACTTCCTGAGGAGAATGAGCTAAGTGGGGATAATTGAGAGCGAGGAGAGGGAAGGCAGGCAATATTAAATTGCATGTTTCTGAAATATGCAAAAAACAGCCACCACACATTTCTCTGATGCATTTCTGATCAATACATTTTGTGCTTTAAATATGCTATTTCCTTTTAATAGTCTAACTCTAATACCCTTACGGTAAGGAGGCCTCTTTCTGATACAGTATCTATCTATCTATATCTATCTATCTATCTATCTATCTATCTGCTATCTATTGTTGTTGTTGTTGCCACTGCTAGTGTTGTTTTATTAAATTTGTATACCACCATATACCCCCAGGTCTCGGGGCAGTTCACAATACACACACACACACACACACACACACACACACACACACACAGCTGTGTTGAGTCAATATTGCCATAGAAAAGCAGGATATATATTTTACCCACACACATCTCTTTATTTATTTATTTGTGGCATTTCTTTATAGGAAAAGGTAAAAAGGTAAAGGACCCCTCGATGGTTAAGCCCAGTCAAAGACGACTCTGGAGTTTGGCACTCATCTCACTTTTCAAGCCAAGGGAGCCGGCATTTGTCCACAGACAGCTTTCTGGTTCATGTGACCAGCATGCCTAAATGGCTTCTAGCGCAATGGGACACCGTGATGGAAACCAGAGTGCACAGAAATGCCATTTACCTTCCTGCCACATTAGTACCTATTTATCTACTTGCACTGGTGTGCTTTTTGAACTGCTAGGTTGGCAGGAGCTGGGACAGAGCAGGAGGAGCTCACCCCATTGCATGGATTTGAACCGCCAACCTTCCAATTGACAAGCCCAAGAGGCCCAGTGGTTTAGACCACAGCGCCACTCACGTCCTTTAGTTGAAAAGGCTTTTAGAGCAGCTTACAAAAATCCATACCGAGGCAGTCCCTGTCTTCAGGTCTGTAATCTAAAAATACATGACACATGAGGAAAAAGGAATGGAAGGGAGGAGGGGTAAGTAAGCTCAAGTCCAAGTTCTTCATGTTCTTATAATGCAGTTCTATAGGTTATGGCTGTCCTCCCCTCATTAAAAGGAAGTCTACCCTGGAAGCACTCTTCACCCCCAGATCAGATCCAGAAGCTGAGCAGGTGACAATGTCCAGACCAGGAAGACCAAGTAGCTCCTGTTATAAAGGTCTTCCCTCAGAAAGATTACTTGATCTATACATCTTGCCCTTCCCAGACCAGAGAAGTGTGCTCAGAGATCCATGCCTCGTAGACTCGAGGCCTGAATTAAAGATTTAGATCTCTCTCCAGGAAGCTTCACTTGGGCTTGAGGCCTTAAGACTTGTCAGCCAGCAATAATGTCATTGCTTTGTAACAGAGCCTTAAAGTTACTACATGTGGGGGGGGGAGGTGAATTTCTGAAATAAAAATAATAAATTTCTTAAATACCAGTTTGAACTTAGTTTGAATACCCGGCTAAGAAAGAAATTTAAAAAACAAGTCTAGTTTGTATAAATGATTTCTGAATTAGACTCGATAGTGGAAACCAACAAAATCCCCTGTGATAGTTACTCTAATTCAATGCATTATTTCATATTTTGGTACATGAAATTAAACCTGAAACACAAATTTGCAAATATTTTTTCAGTTGGCAACACCAATTTCACCAAAGTTTTATGTGACATTCCAAATTTATACTCTGCATGTGAAATTTTACCTCAAGTCTTTAGACTTGTTGACATCTCCTGTCACGGACTGGTTGCAGACCTTTCTCATAAAAGTTAACGTTTGTATAGGTTACTGTACTAAGAAAAGAAATAAGAGGAGACATGTACAGACACATGTCTACAAAGTCCATTATAGTCTTAGCCAGGATCCGCATTCCATTCAGGCAGAGAATGAAACATATTACAGTTGTTCCTCAGGCAGTTAGAAGAAAGATGTTTCTGTTCTGGAACCAATTAAGCTACATCCTCTTCCAGTAGCCTCTATCCATCTCTCTGTCAAAACTAACAACTGGTGCACACACTAAACAATTCAGAAGCCATTTCTACAAGGAGCCAGGCCGTTGTAATCTCCTCGTGTCCTACTGCAGAGTGGGAAGCCACATTGCAAAACCCACAGGGTGATGGTCCAACGTTTGTCAGAGTAGCAGGTCCATTGAAATCAACTGAAAGGTCTGTAGATTTCATTGTGTGTAGTCTGAATATGACCGAGTTGGTTATTGCCCATATGGACTAACTTCATTATTTCCCAATATTTAAGATATATTGCCACTTCTTTCAAAACCAGGAACCAACAGCAAGAAGACTTGTTAGGGAAGAAGATTCATACTGGGTATGAAAGGAAGCTATGAAACCATTAGCGCCAGGTTTAATCCCTGACATCTCCAGTTAGGGCTGGGAATGTCCCCACCCCTGCCAGTGTAGCCAATATTGAGCTAGATGAACCAATGGGCTGTCTCCATATAAGGCTGCTTCCTATTTCCCTATGGCCTGGGCTGGATCTAGACACATCAAAGAAGCATTTCAGTTTAAAGCGTTTGTAAATTTAAACAGGGAAAACAAGTAGAGAAAAACGGGACTCCACATCGCCATCTGGTGGCACAATGTTATATTGCACATACAACATATATATAGTGGTACCTCGGGTTAAGTACTTAATTTGTTCCGGAGGTCCGTACTTAACCTGAAACTGTTCTTAACCTGAAGCACCACTTTAGCTAATGGGGCCTCCTGCTGCTGCCACGCCGCCGGAGCACAATTTCTGTTCTCATGCTGAAGCAAAGTTCTTAACCTGAAGCACTATTTCTGGGATAGCGGAGTCTGTAACCTGAAGCGTATGTAACCTGAAGCGTATGTAACCCGAGGTACCACTGTAAATCGCTTTTTGTTTAGCAGTCTAGCCAAGTCCCAGGACTGTTCAGTCAGTAGGTGTGACACTTTTCCTAAGCAGTGGAACTTCAGAGGGCATATTAATTACTTGTGTTTTCTTGCAGTTTGGCTCTCCTCATGGTTAATCTTGAAGGCTTGACAAAAGATTACTTAAGTCATTTCAGGGGTTGTGTTCAGCTCAGCTCCCATACGTGAAGCAGCAGCCATCATTTGTTTTTGATATCTTGTAAAACGTATCTTTTCACCCATGCTTTCCCTGACCCATAAGACTGGACCCTGTTTTTGTTTGTATAAACTCCCTGAATTCCTGTTTTTGTTTTTATATGCATTCATACTACTGTTTCACTGGTTTCATATTACCTTTTTCTTTTAAAGCTGTTGCTTACTGGATTTATGTTGTATATTGCCTAGATAGGTATTAAAAAATATATATATTAAGTGGTTGAAAAATGTTTTAAATAACAAAAGGAATGAACAAATACAACAGGAATGAATTCTGGTAACATACTGAGAGCACAATCCCAAGTGTGCTTGTTCAGAAGTAAGTTCTACTGAGTCCAATGGAATTTACTTTCCAATAAAGGTGCAAAGCACTACAGCTGAACATGCTACTGCAAGAGGAACCACAAAGAGGAAAGTGTTGGGCATCCAAACAGTTTCTGGCGTGGAATGTTGGGCTTTCTGCTGACAGTAAACAAGGGTTCTGCAAAGCCCTGGTAGGTCCCTCCTCACTCACTATAACCAGATAAACCCCAAGTATATGGGGTTGATGAACCTTCAGTTGCTCATCTGAAAGCTTATCTAGGGGGCAAATCAGAGAAACACATTGCAAAACGCTGCAGCTGTGTATTTCCTTGTGGACTCAGAGGCCTGTCATTCATTTTTCTGCTCTATTTCACACCACAGCTTAACTTGACTGTTAGTCATGAACTGCCGAACTCTGGAAACCTTCCCTAAGTCTCCCTTTCCTGTGCCACCTCTCTATCTTCCCTTAGGTCCACACCTCTTCCTCTTGCCTTAGAAATTTGACACCCAACAACATCTAAGGCAATTAAACTGGTGGGTGGAGATGGAGGAACCAAAGGACAAACAAGCCAATCCTTTTTCAGCTGCCTCTTAAAAGCTGTTTAGAAACAAGGCAGTCAACAGCTAGATGGAACAAGGTGAGAGTTTGCAGAGAGCAATCGGAGCCAAAAATTATTAAGATAAGAGATTGCAGGCCGGAGATTGCCTCTTGCAGCAGACCATAAAGCATGCCCTGAACAACAGGAGTGATGTTGACAGGTTGCCCAGAGACATCTGGCGTATCTAGGCAATCTGTCGGCATCATTTTTGTTGTCAAAGGAGTGGGTGTTTTACAGTTTGATCCAAAAGGCACTCGCTGACCTCTTTAAGTTTTATGTGAAAGGTCAGGTTGCCTTTGGCTGCAAACGTTCCCTGCAACTTGAGCATCCTTCCATCCTATTGTTGTCTCTACCATGCCTTGTTTTTAGACAACTAGAATAATGGGAAGAGATGTCAAACCAAAATGAAGAAATGATCCAAAACAAAACCACTCCACTTCTCTGACTGGTGAGAAGACTTACTCAGGTCTGCAGCCTATTTTCAGGGGCACTGGGGGAGCAAAGCTTGGCTCCCCTTTTCTTCCATTAGTGGATGCATAAAAGCCTTTCTGTGAGCCTAACCTGGATTCTGCCCTTAAATTTTAAGTTAGAAGAAAAGAATATAAACAGATTGCTGCACATAAACTTCATGTGGGCTAGCTTAGCTCTGAGTCATATTTAAGAAATC